CATGGACCAATCTTCTCCCTCAAGCTTGGCCAACACCAAGTGCTGGTCCTCAGCGCCTGGGACACAGTCAAAGAATGTCTTACAACAAACGATAGAGTTTTTGCCACACGACCAAGAATTGCAGGAGGCAAGTACATGGGCTATGACAATGCACTTTTTTCCCTAGCCCCTTATGGGCCCTACTGGCGCCACATCCGCAAGCTGGCCACGTTGGAGCTCCTCTCAACCAAAAGAGTCGAAATGTTGAGCCACGTTAGGACCTCAGAGGTTGACTTGTTCGTCAATAATCTGCTTTCACTTTGCACGAAGAATGGCGCGGGCTCCACACCAGTACATTTGAGTGAGTTAATTGAGTTCTTAACGTTCAACATAAATGTGAGGCTGATTGCTGGGAAGAGATTTACAGCTGAGCAATATAATGAGAAAAACAGTGAGGCTTGGTGTTTTGAAAAGGCTGTGAAGGAGGCTTTGTATCTGTTTGGCGTTTTTGTTTGGTCAGATGCTATGCCGTGGCTTGAGTGGCTGGACAGCTTGTTTGGGCATGTGGGTTCCATGAAAAGGTGTTTTAAGGAACTTGATTGTGTGCTTGGGAAATGGCTTGAAGAACATCGCCAGAGATCAAGGTCTCAAGGCAAGATAGATAGGGTTGAAAGTAACTTGATGGATGTGATGATCTCCAGCTTGCAAGAGGAGGATGATGTAATTTCTGGCCATAGCCTTGATAATGTCATCAAATCAACAGCACTGGTAAGTTTAATTTAGTGTAACAATTTAAAGCTATTCAGCAACAATATTAATTGTTTTCCTTAATTGCTTTTGGCAGGTTCTAATCCTAACTGGCACAGAAAGTACCTCCGTCACTCTAACATGGGCACTCTCCCTACTACTGAACAACCCAAAAACCCTAAAAGCTGCCCAACAAGAAATGGACATACACGTAGGAAGAGACAGATGGGTACAAGAATCAGACCTCCCTAACCTCAAATACCTCCAAGCCATTCTCAAAGAAACCCTACGCGTGTACCCACCTGGCCCACTCACAGGTCTGCGTGAAGCCACGGAGGATTGCCACCTGGCAGGCTACCACGTGCCCAAGGGCACCCGTTTACTAGTCAACATTTGGAAACTACAACGGGACCCGAGCATGTGGGCCAACCCAAGTGAATTCCAACCTGAGAGGTTCATGACCACTCATGCTGACGTGGAATTCAAAGGTCAAAATAATTTTGAGTATATTCCATTCAGCTCAGGCAGGAGGTCGTGCCCTGGCATGGTTTTCGGGCTGCAAGTGGTCCAATTAATTCTTGCTCGTTTGGTTCAGGGTTTTGATATGAGTAGGGTTGGTGATGAGGCAGTGGACATGCGTGAAGGGCTGGGTCTTGCCCTGCCCAAAGCAAATCCACTGGAGGCTTTGCTATCTCCACGCCTTCCTCTTCACCTCTATAAATAATGTCTTTGAAGAAGTTGGCAGCTTCAAACGTGGTCATGAAATGTTATAGTTCACTTTGTCATATATTGCTTATATAATAAATTCACTTGTGCCCAGTATGTGACATTATGAATTTTAAGTTTATTTGGAGGTTACATCTACTTTGAATATTTGTTTTAATATTTGGGGGGTTTTGTAATTTTAATATTTGACCTTTACAAGATTAATGGTGGTTCTTGTTACACAAGTATTCACTTTCGTTTTTGTCCACACAAAAAAAGTTTTCACTTTCGTCCTCGTAATTTTATTTTTCTTCGGTCTCACCCCTTTGAGTCAATGACTTCCAAATTGCAGAAACACTGGGGTTTTTCATGCCCAACCCATGATGTTCAACCCCATTTGATCAGTTTTGATGAAGTAATAATAGCACTCCCTCCTTTGCAAAGCTGATTCCAACAGGTGAGTATGTGGAAATTATATTGACTTACTACTTCAGAAAAAAAATAAAAAATAAAAAATAAAAAATGGGTTCTATATAAATTGATTTGTTTGTAAAATTCATACAGTGGCTCTTCACAAATAACACTTAAAACTTCGTTGATTACTAAAAAATAAAATAAAAAACACTTAAAACAAAGTTTTGAAGAAGCAATGTAAAGGGAGAGTGAGAAGGAGGAAAGAGACAAAGCCATTTTCTTTTTTTTGTTCTTTTTTTTTGGGGGTTGGGTTTGTGATTTTGGTAGACCCCAAACGGCAGCAGGTAGGGGACAATGATTCTCTGTGTTGATTAATTTTATTATTTTTTTTTAATAAAAAGGTGGATTTTGTTGATGGTATATTGTGGTTGTTCTTGCGTTCTGGAGCTTCTATGACTTGGCATTTGGTTATGTATTGCAGGAAATTGAGGGAGAGGTCTTTATCTGAGGGAGGGGGTAGGGTAGGGGTAATGGCAGTGGTTGGTTCAGTTGCTGGGTGGGGGTGAGGAGAGTGGGAAGATTGGTTTTTAAGTTTATTAGCCTCTTTGCACGCACTTCTGCACCTGCGAGAGACTTTTATTTTTTATTTTAAATTTAAATTTATTTTAGAATTAAAAGAAATAATGGGTAGTTGTATTCCATAAAAATAGAATCCATTATCTGATTTTTCTTTTTATTTTTATTTTTTTAATATGAAAAGGTGTGAATTTATCATATTATCCTCATTTAATTAATAATTTCAATTCTAAATGTATGACATTTTCTGATATTTTGAATGTTTTAATTTGCCTTTAATTTTGACCCAAAAACAATTAGAACTCGCAGAAGGGGAATGATGCAACGATAGATCTAATTGAAAGATAATCATAACAATTTTTGGAGTTGAGGGACGAAAAGTAAAATGGGGTCTTATTTAAGAGACAATTGCTACAATTTTTCCCAGAAACAAATATATGAACCCAATTCAGACTATCCCTTATTTTATCCACACCTGCACAAACGGTTGATAAGTTATGAAATTCTTTTTGTGGGCTTTATGTTTGTAGTGAACTTTATCTATGTAGTGGGTTTTTTGGCATGGCTCGGCCTTTGGTTTTCTTATGGTGGCCTCAATTTTGTTTTGCTCTCTCTTTTGTGCTTCTTAATAAAACTTATTTCTGACAATAAAATACAAACGATAATTTAAATTACCGAAAAAATAAGTTCAAATTTGATATCATTAGTCTACAAATCAATACACTTTTGTTCACGGAAATACACCCCGTTGGCAAAGTTTGATCGGTATACAAGGTTAACATTATTGTTCATGTGTTATAACATAAACTAAAGCCATCGATACGTGGAAAACGTTTTCGACCAAGGTCCCCACCCAATGGCCTAAATAAGCTCTGCTCCACAAACTGCTCAAAGTATCAGTGATGATATTTTTTAACATGCAACGAAATCTCGTCCATATGTTTTCATAGGGCCTGATACTTTTCAACCAGGAAACTTTGTAGAATATCTTTCACCCCAGGACAAAGAATCATGGTCGATCGAACAACGTTTGTTCTGTGTTTGATGTGTTTTTTCTTCTCAAAGTATCAGTGATGATATTTTTTTAACACTCAACGAAATCTCGTCCATATGTTTTCATAGGGCCTGATACTTTTCAACCAGGAAACTTTGTAGAATATCTTTCACTCCAGGACAAAGAATCATGGTCGATCGAACAACGTTTGTTCTGTGTTTGATGTGTTTTTTCTTCCACACCACAAGTTTAACCTTAGAATTCTGAAGGGTACGACCATTAATTCATAGCCACCCACCCAGCTATGTACTAGGAATTTAGAAGGCAAATATTAATTGGGTATGTAATGGTTGTTGAATGATATATGACATGTGTCACCTGTCAGTGGAATCGAAGGCTTTGTTAGGGTTATGAGGTGTGAAAATCACCAATAACGAGTACTTGAATATTCACGAGTGGCATTCATTTCATTATGGAAAGTACGAATCATTATTAGGATGACCTTTCAAAGGAAAATTCCACGCTTATCACATTTTTAGGACAACCTTTGTAATAGAATTGAGCCCCATTATATTGTTGGACAAAGACATATATTAGGAAGATTACACCCTAAATTTGCTAAAAAAATCTACAACCATGTTTATTTCTAGGAAGTTATGCGCAATTTTAACTACTTCAAAGTCGTAAAGAAGATTAATGGAGTGTTTGTCGGATTGACCTATGCCTTTGGTGTGCTTCCAAGTGGTCATGAGTTCAAGCCCCTATAATACCTGCGTATAAGTTTTCCTCCTCCCCTTCCTAACTTTCACAACCACAAAAAGTCTCAAAGAAGCCAATTGACATATTGGATAATTGATTAGCGGCCAGGAAATGGAAACTTGACAATGTAGAATTTGAATGGGTGACTTGACTCGGGAGTGATTTAGAATCACTTGTTTGAAAAAGTTTGCAAACGTGTAATCATTTAATCTGGTAGACATGGATATGAAGGTATGGCCCCAAGTAAGTTTGTCTTTCTTTTTTCCAGAGTCAGCAATGTCCTAACGGACCACAAATTTCTCAGTGCCATGCTCTGTGCTGGGTCTAATCATTTATAGCAGCGGCACCTGCACACTCAAAGGCTTTTCCCGAAGAGGAAACAGCACTGTTGTTATTACAAAAGAACCTTTAAATTATTTTGATTGACTATTTGTTAGTGTTAGCTAGCTGGATGCATCAAAATAGTAAACATTACTGTCATATAAGTAGAGTACAAAGCCAAAGTATCGCGCATGTATATATATATTTTTAAAGTATCAAACTCCAACCGACGCTATAGTGAATGAAAACCAGAGATGTTGGAAAGAGAAAAAAATTAAATATCTAATTATCCTATATATTTGAGATGTGGTGAGCATCCAATGTGTATCTCAATGCATGTGATACGAATCGTCCTGCATTTAACCTAATGTTTGTGCGTTTGTTTGTTTGTTTTGAAAGAGACGTATCTTGTGTCTATAAATACACATGCAAAATGAACTATATCTTACACGCAATTATATTCCCATCTGTAACACACACACACTCTCTCTCTCTCTCCAACACCATGGATTTTACAATTTCCCCAATCCAAATTCTTGAAACAATTTTATCTTTGCTTATTCTATATGCTGCCTTGAGAATCGCAGCTAACACTAAGAAGAAGATCACCAGCACAAAGACGACTGTGACTGCCAAATTAGTCCCCCAACCCTCTGGAGCATGGCCCTTCATAGGCCACCTCCCTCTGCTACGTGGCAAAGACCCAGTTGCCATAACCTTGGGAGCCATGGCCGATGACCATGGACCAATCTTCTCCCTCAAGCTTGGCCAACACCAAGTGCTGGTCCTCAGCGCCTGGGACACAGTCAAAGAATGTCTCACAACAAACGATAGAGTTTTTGCCACACGACCAAGCATTGCAGGAGGCAAGTACTTGGGCTACGACAATGCACTTTTTGCCCTAGCCCCCTACGGGCCCTACTGGCGCCACATCCGCAAGCTGGCCACGCTGGAGCTCCTCTCGACCAAAAGAGTCGAAATGCTAAGCCACGTTAGGACCTCGGAGGTTGACTTGTTCGTCAAAAATCTGTTCTCACTTTGCACGAAGAATGGCCCGAGCCCCTCGCCAGTGCATTTGAGTGAGTTAATTGAGTTCTTAACGTTCAACATAAACGTGAGACTGATTGCTGGGAAGAGATTCACAGCTGAGCAATATAATGAGAAAAACAGTGAGGCTTGGCTTTTTGAAAAGGCTGTGAAGGAGGCTTTGTTTCTGTTTGGTGTTTTTGTTTGGTCAGATGCTATTCCGTGTCTTGAGTGGCTGGACAGCTTGTTTGGGCATGTGGGTTCCATGAAAAGGTGTTTTAAGGAACTTGACTATGTGCTTGGGAAATGGCTTGGAGAACATCGCCAGAGATCAAGGCCTCAAGGCAAGATAGATAGGGTTGAAAGTGACTTGATGGATGTGATGATCTCCAGCTTTCAAGAGGAGGAGGATGTAATTTCTGGCCATAGCCTTGATAATGTCATCAAAGCAACAGCACTGGTAAGTTTAATTTAGTGTAACAATTTAAAGCTATTAAGCAACAATATTAATTGTTTTCCTTAATTGCTTTTTGGCAGGTTCTAATCCTAACTGGCACAGAAAGTACCTCCGTCACTTTAACATGGGCACTCTCCCTACTACTGAACAACCCAAAAACCCTAAAAGCTGCCCAACAAGAACTGGACATACACGTAGGAAGAGACACATGGGTACAAGAATCAGACCTCCCTAACCTCAAATACCTTCAAGCCATTCTCAAAGAAACCCTACGCATATACCCACCTGGCCCACTCACAGGCCTGCGTGAAGCCACCGAGGATTGCCACCTGGCAGGCTACCACGTGCCCAAGGGCACCCGTTTACTAGTCAACATTTGGAAACTACAACGGGACCCGCGCATGTGGGCCAACCCAAGTGAATTCCAACCTGAGAGGTTCATGACCACCCATGCTGACGTGGAATTCAAAGGTCAAAATAATTTTGAGTATATTCCGTTCAGCTCAGGCAGGAGGTCGTGCCCTGGGATGGTTTTGGGGCTGCAAGTGGTCCAATTAATTCTGGCTCGTTTGGTTCAGGGTTTTGATATGAGTAGGGTTGGTGAGGAGGCAGTGGACATGCGTGAAGGGCTGGGGCTTGCCCTGCCCAAAGCAAATCCGCTGGAGGCTTTGCTATCTCCACGCCTTCCTCTTCACCTCTATAAATAATGTCTTTGAAGAAGTTGGCAACTTCAAACGTGGGCATGAACTGTTATAGTTCACTTTGTCATATATTGCTTATATAATAAATTCACTTGTGCCCGGTATGTAACATTATGAATTTTATGTAAGGAGCTAAAGATAGGACAACGTTAATCTTGTAAATGACTTCATGTACGTACACTTGGAATTTATGAATGCATTAATATTTTGTCACTTCCATTTATTTAAGAGATGAGATGAGAGTGAGAGAGAAAAGAAAGGATGTGCAGTGGCAATTCACAATTTTGCATGAATTTGTAAGAATTCTTACAAATTTTACATGAATTTGTAAGAATTCTTACAAAATTTGCAAGTCTTTTGCAAAGAAATAATTCTCAAAGAAACAAAAACGTGGACTTTACAGACATAAACTCACTGATTGGAAGTTGGTTGAGCTGTCGATGTCTTTTTTTTTAAAATGTGTAAAACATTCACCTTAACCTCATAGGCACTGTCCGAGCCCACCCATTCTTGTTTGTTAATGTGTTCTTGTTGGCCTGTCATGTCACCTACAATTTGAAAGACCAATATATCTCAATCATTCAAGGGTTTTGGACAAAATCTCAGATCAAACCAAAAATATAATTATGACACTTGGCTCTGTTGGGAGAATTAGTCTCATATAGACTTGTATTGTGTGGTTGCACACACTTTTATTCATATCACTTGTCACGTTACGTGTTGTATATACCCATGTTCAAAATGTGAGTTTTACCAAGCCGGTGGACTAAGTTATGATTGAATCCTTTTTTCTTATTCTTTTTTATGATGATATATCGTCTTCTTTTGTTCTTTAAGTTTTTAGGAAGTGAAAAAAGTTAAAAATATAATAAAATTGCCGGGTGTAAAATAAGTGCTAACGAATTCATAACTCAATGTTAAGAATATTTGTCGCAGATCAATAATCTCGGGTTCAAGCCTTAATGACACCTTGTCCCCTTCCAATTGATTTTTTTTTTTTTTTTTTTTTTTATTTAGAAAAAAGAAAAAGAAAAAAAAGAAAGAAGTTGCGACTGCCTTTTTTCTTTTTATTTTTTTGTTAATTGGGCTAGATTTGTTTAGTTCAAGTGGATCGAAAGAGATGGGTAGCCCATTAGACAATCTGAATGGGCAACAAAATTGGCTGTACTCTCAATCTAAAAACGTTGCACAGGGTCCAATTTCTACTTGCCCGGTAAACAGAATCTGGAGCGAGGAAGTAATTGACGGTTGGGGGAACTCAGACACTTTGAATCTCCCAGGAAAGAAATGGCTGCCAATTTCTGGACGTCGTCCCACTAGTATGTATTTCAAAACCGAATATTATTTTCCATGTTTCTGATTATTTTTATTTTTTTTATTTTTGTGTTTTGCTTTTCCTTGTTTCTGATTATGGGTTGTTTGTTTTACGCAGCAAACAGCTTTTCGACCAGGAAGATGTGGATGTGGTCTTCCCACTTGATAAAGAGAAAGGCATCACTCTTGAAGACTTCAAGCTCATAAAGATGCATATGGCCAGCTGTATTTTCTCTCTCTCTCTCTCTCCCCTCTCTTGTTGGCTTTGGTTTCATTTTATGTTTCTGTTTTGATTGCCAAGAATTGGGTTTTTGTTTTACTTGTTGTTATAGGATTTTAAATGAGTTTTGTAATATGGGTTTTTGTTATTTTTTTAATATCTGTGCTTAATGCTGAACTGTTACATTTGGATTGAACTTTCTTCATTTCAATTGAGCTTCTTATGCCCCCATTTAAGAACTTGACTAGAGATGAAAAACATTATAAGTTTTGACAGGATCCCAATATCAAGAATGCCTAAACGAGGAAATGAAATCTACCTTTGGGATCTTTTTAACTGGATTGAAACTATAGAAAAAACTAATAGTGCTTCTATCACGTGGTTTTGTGTGTTGGTGTTCTGTAGATATTCATTTCCCTTAGAAGTTGTCATATGGAGCTTTGGCTTTTTACCATCTTACGAAGTTCTTATTTTTGGTATTTCTTTGTTGAAGTGATGCTATTTGTGATGAATATCCTTCAAATGTATACCATATTACTCTTTTTCTTTATGTAATCCGACTTTCTGAAATAGAGTTTCTGATACAAAGATTAATGTATGTTGTTCACATGCGCAAGCATGGTACTGCTTATCACTTATGTTTTGTATATGTTTACTATAAATTAATTGTTTTTTTCTTTTCCTTTCCTTTCTTTCAGATATATCAAAATTGGCACAACATGTAAAAGTGAGGCAAAGGTCGAGCTGATTGCTTCATTTACTTGAAGTGTAGGAAATTCTTAATTCACTTCTGCCTATTTATCTGATCTCTTATTTACTGGTTTCAGGGTTGTAGCTACTGCAGTTACATATATGAGACGAGTGTACACCAGGTATCTTAACTAATTATCCAATAGTGGGAGTAAAATGCTCTGTCACTAACCATAACTTCATGGTTCCTTCCTTATTTGAATGTATGGGTTATTCTCTTGTGGAAGTTCTAAATGTGTTGTTAACTTAACCCCTAAATCCTGCATTTCATGTTTGAGTCTGTATCTGTTAAGTTTCTCTCATTTGTTTAGCCAAGCCAGATTTTTATGCCTCTTAACTGATTTTGTCACTGAGGTTCATTTTGACGACGACAGAATAAATAACTAACAAGCTAGGCATATCCTCAAATCAAGACCCAATCATGATTGCACATGTCCATTGATTGTTTATGTTTTCGTGTTTACATATTGCACCCTGCTTATTAATGACGTGCTGTTAAGATGTGTGTTCAAACAGTCCTTAATCATGTAGTTAATTTAATTCTTATTCCTCCACACAAGTTCAGTGTATTATACTGTTCATTCTCACTTGCATGCTGGTTACATTGTTCTCATCTGTTGTGATGCTCACAACTCTATTTTGTCCCAGTTCATTATACAGCTACCGTTGACGTTCCTTTCTCTGGGCCTGGGGTTTAGCTATCTATCATTGCAGGACTTCAAAGTCTAGATGTACATAACTTCTATTTATTGCTTCAGGAAGAGTATGTCCGAGTATGATCCACGTCTTGTAGCTCCAACCTGCTTGTACCTGGCATCAAAAGCAGAAGAAAGCACGGTGCAGGCTAAACTTCTCGTATTTTACATCAGAAAAATATGTAAGTACTTGTTACTGAAAATAATAGATTACTTCTCCAACTTTTATTATGATTTACTTAATGTGAAGCACTCACAATTTACCACTTTTCTATTACAGATTCTGATGAGAAGTATAGATATGAGATCAAAGACATACTGGAAATGGAAATGAAGATTCTAGAAGCTCTCAACTATTATTTAGTTGTATATCATCCTTATCGTTCATTGTCTCAGTAAGTATTCTGTAGAGATAAATCCTTGTTTATCTGCTTAGTTCCCACCTTATTTAAGCTCTACAGTATTGCTTTATTTTGTTTCCCTCCATTGTTACTCTTAAACCTTTCAATTCCTGCAGATCATGAGTGGTTGGCACCATTGTATTTCTGCAAACATGGATACAGTCCAATTTAGTGTCATAGTTTTTAGCATACTAATAGAAGTCCAACTTTTAGTTTGCACCTAAAACTGTTATGTGTGATTCTGGTGATGCCATGAATGTTCTTCTTAGCTAGCTCACTCTCTCTATGTTGATAGGAAACTATCCTCTCTTCACTAAGAAGATTCTAAAAAGCATTTCACTCCATTTCTTTCCAGGTTGCTTCAAGATGCAAGCTTAAACGATATAAGTATGACTCAGTTAACTTGGTAAGAGCCCAATCTCCGGAGTGGTTTATTTTCTGAAGGTGTGATACATATCTGCGTGCGTATCTAGCTGCTATTTATTTATACATATCTTCAGAAGGCCCACAAGTCATAGCCTTGTTATTGGAGGGTTTCTGTATCTTTAGGGCTCTGCTTGTTGTGAAGGGTTTTCATGCAAAGATGCTTCCAAAATGAATGCAAGACTTGGGTCGAGCTGATAAAAGATGTTCTGTTTTTCTGTGTTTTCTGTATAAGCTTGAATTCACAGAATGCTTCTTTGGCGTTTCGGATGAGTGAATTTTTGTATGTAGACATTCTGACCCTTTTTACACTTTAAGACGTAAGGTAACCTTGACATGTTGATATACACAGGGGAGTAGTAAATGACACATACAAGATGGATCTTGCACTCGTACATCCTCCACACCTGATTGCTTTAGCTTGCATATACATTGCGAGCGTACTTAGAGAGAAAGATACCACAGCATGGTTTGAAGAGCTCCGTGTGGACATGAATGTGGTAAGTCCTTCGGATGTTTCTACATCTTTTCATTATTTTCTGTCTATATATTTCATGTTCTGTGTGAGGCGTGACCCTAATTTGGCACATCAGTTGACTGAAGATATTAGATTAATTATGAGGCGTTCTTTCTATTCATACCCTGGGAATTAATTACGATGCATATTCTGGCAGGTGAAAAACATATCAATGGAGATATTAGATTTCTATGAAAACCACCGAATGATCCCGGAAGAGAGGTTTAATGCTGCTCTCAACAAGCTAGCCTTCAAACCCTAGATGGGGCAAGCCTTCGTGCAAGAAGATTGTAAAGCTTACTGAGAAACCAATTGAATTGAATGAAGAAAAATGGCCATTGTGCTCGCAGCAGTGTAACTATCAATGTATCTTTACTTGTAGATTTTCAAGAAGTTGAGTATATCAAATCTATCATTTCCACACCTCAATAAACATTTTGAGACACATGGGATTTTCCCTGGCTTCATTGGTATACTCTTTTCAAACCAAATTACTTAGCAAAGACAAAACCAGAAACACAGACTCAAACCCACAAAGACAAAATATGATTTCATATCGCTCTTGATTTTGCTTAGCCTTTTCTCTTCTTCTTTGCCTGCTGCTTCTCTGTAATTGCACCAAATTCAAATCATACTATAAATGTAAGTATCTTTGAAATACAAAGAAAAGAAAAAAAAGAGAGAAATGGGTGAAGGGTAGAGAGAGTAAGAACACTCAGTGCCTACCTAGTCTCCTCTTAGCTTCAGATTTAGCAAAGAACTCCTTCCACTCATCTGTTAAGACGAAAACTGGGTCATCATCCTCTTCCTCTTCTTCTTCAAACCCAACAACATCACCAATTTCACCATGCTTCTGTTGCTCCTGCAATGCTCTGTTACCAAGAACCAACTAAAATGATGAGAAACCAATACAGATGGTGAAGTTGAAAACTTGAAATGGGTTTAGGGTAGAATCGTAATTGTACGCTTCTTCGTACCCAGAAGTCTCTGAAATCGAATGGGTTTGAAAAGGAATAGCAGCAGCAGCGGCAGCAGAGTGTTCTGGGTTTTGAGGAAAAGGAGCAAAATTGGTGTGTACGTGGCAATTGAAGAGGGTGCGATTGTTCTGGTGATGAAGATGATGGTGGTGGTGATGGTGAGGGCAGAGGAACAAGGGATGGTGGTGGTGGTGGTGGCGATGGTGGAGATGGTGGTGGGGATGGTGAAGTAAGCACGGTCTCCATGGCCTGCATCCATGTGGAGGATCCATGGGTTCTTGGAAGAGTGAGATCAATGATGGGCAGGGCAGCTGCTAGAAATCAAATTTCAAGATCCGAAGACCCGAACTAGATAATGGGTTGAAAGAATGGGCTGGCCAATGGGTAGGGCCAATTTGGCCCAACTCAATATTTTTCTTTAACTTGATGAAGAATGGCCTTCTATTTATCAATGAAGGAGAATGGGTTGATAGATGAGAGTAGAAACATGAAACGGATTTGTAGAAGTTGGTGTGGTGTGAGGTTCAATTCAATCGTTTAATGTTGAGGTGAGGAGTTTCTTTATCGGACAACTATCTAAGGGAGTAATTATACAATATTACGGTAGTATGATTATGTGGTACATCTTGTACATGTGTTATAATATGGGCGGACAACAAGGTTTATTTTCTCTCATTTTAGAAAATGGTATAAATAAATACACTTATATTATAACACATATACAAGATGTATCACGTGACCGTACTACCGTATTATTCTATAATCACTCCTATTAAGGCTATCTTCAAGTGAGTGCTATGTCCTCAAATATAATCCAAATCCCCAAAACTCATTTTCAAGAGTGGGCTACACCAAGAGCTACAAAAAAAAATGGAGGGCTAGACAAGGGGCCAATTCCTAAAATGAGGGCCATAGTGGCCCTTTGGCTAGCCTAGGCTAAATACTTGGATGAGGCCCAGCTAGTGACATCAGTTAGTTTTTTTTATTTAAAAAATTCCAATATTTTTTGTATAAATACCTACCTCATTCTTACATAATATATGAGAGCATCTTCATCATTGTGCATATTATCCTCCCTCAATTTCATCCTTCTACATAATTTTTCACAATATCTTCATTCTTTTACAAACTATCCTTCATTTTTTTTTCATTTAAATTAATTTTAAAGTTGTTTTTAGAACAAGAAAAAATTTAATCATAAATCTATAGAGCTAATCACATGCTGACACGTGGATGTAAAAAATTTCTATTCCACAATAGTGTAAAATTTATGTCAACGATACTGAACCCTTGATCTAGTTTAATCCCCTAACTCGTTTCCCGGCACCCAAATTTTTTTTCGCTTGAGCTAACCGCAAACTCTTGAACCAATCCAAACTTTATTATGCCACAAATAACATTAGATCCATTGGAACAAAGAGATATGCTATTTTGGAATAAAGTTAATATACACGACTTTTTGTAGAACCCCTAAGCACCACTGGCTAATAAGATAGAATATACATGGCATTGCTCTCCTTAGATCCTCTAGCAAAAAGTTCATATGCAATGATTTTCGTAAAACCCTTGACGACCACTAAGATTTGATGATAGAATAGAATAAATGAACTTTATACACAAAGATCCATTGACCATAAAGGAAACCCACCAAACCAGAGTACAGATCCAAGATATGCGGTGGGTGAGAGTTCTTAATTTCTTCGTTTTGGTGGGTTGGTGGAACGTAAACGCACACCAATCCCATATACCATTTGGTAATTTCTGGCTTGGTGTTTCTGACTTGAAGCGTCAAATGTTCTAATAATTTTTTTGTCTATATATTGATTCATATGACACGAGAACAGAGCGCAGACATAGCAGAGAGAGAACGAAATAAAAAAGAGGAAAGAACCGTGTGGTTAGTTGTCAGCGACCTAGGTCCTCCGGTCCCGTACAAAAAAACACAGCCCCAAAAGCCCAATCCACAGCCTTCCCCCCTCATGTGCGCAATTGGGTCCCACATTCCGATTAGAGACGAAGATCCACACATTCAAACGTCGAACTGGCAACCCTACGTCTCATTCTCACATCCCCTTAAGGCCTTAGCCTCCTCCTCCTCCTCTCTTTATAGCTCACTTCGTTAACTGAATAGTTTGATCATCTGGGTACCTCGGGATTATTGGTTTTGCGAGGATCCTATTGTTTGGTCATCTGGGTAGCTTTGGTTTTTAGTTTTCTTATTGATTCATTACTGGTTTTGGGGAAAGATTTGATTTTTATTTCCTGTGACCCATCTTTCTTCTGTTAAAGTGGGCACCTTTGGTTTTGATTGATTTCGTGATTTGAATTGCCGTGTCTTTGTGTGTTTGAAATCTGTAACTTGATTTGCGATCTGGGTCGGTGCTGGTTTTTGTTGGTTTTTGTGGTCTGTCAATGGGCGCTTTGGATGAGGGGCATTTCTGCTCGGAACTTGAGAATGGAGTGAAATTGGGTTGCATCGAGCTGAGTTTTGAGGAAGAACCTGAAACCATAGCTATTGAAGATGCTGTGAAAGTTCTCATGCAGGGTCTGGGAGAGGATGTTAACAGAGAAGGTTTGAAGAAGACACCTCTTCGCGTTGCCAAGGCCCTTCGGGAAGGAACAAGGGGTAACTATTTTCTCAGCCTTGTTCTGTTATAGTTTGTTTACTATTTGAAATTTGGGAAGCTTGCTACTTCAGTTCCTAGAGTTTGTTTTCTTTCCTGTTGTGTTAATAACATGGTGGGGGCATGGTTCTAAATCATTCTTTCATTGTATATTTGATTTGGACAGCCTTTTCATTCGTTATTCTAATAGCTACCAATTATTATTGAGGCTTGAGTTGTTCGTTAGCTGTTAGGATTTGATTCAAGTTTGTCAGCACTTTAATACACTTTGTGTAATATTATAAAATTTCCGTGTTAATCCCAAACTAATGGCATTCTATTTGCGTGTGTGCGGATGAAAAAATGTTTGTTGTCTTAGATGGTGACAGTAGTGTATACTTTCAAAATTTGCTTGGCAAGTCTACAGGATCATGGTACGAAAATGTTTGTTTTGCAATCCTCGTGGGGCTATATTGCTAAAAATTCCTTTCATGTTCACTCTTTCAAGCTGCTGACATTGCACCCATGGATGACGTTGCTGGATTAACCCTTCGTGGACATTTTTAGCAATGATACAAAATACCTTCCTCTCACCAACCTGCCTCCTTATTGTCCTCAAAGACTCTTGACCTTTCAGATGCACATGATTCAATTTTTTTTTGTAATTTCTTTTATCCTTGTTTTCCTTCCCAAACTAACCGGTCAGAACCATCTCCTAGAGAGCAAAGCATGGAGCGTGTTTATGTTGGTGGTGCTGATTTATTTATGCAGCATAGATCATGTTTCCTGATTCAATCAAGTATTTTTATGTGGGTGGTGCTGATTCCTCTTAAAGTATTCACCTGAAAACAAAGATATGCATACTGATTTTAAACCCTCAATTCTTTTCCAGGTTACAGACAAAAGGCTAAGGACATTGTGCAAGGTGCTTTATTTCCTGAATCTGGTCTCGACAATACAGTTGGTCATGCTGGAGGAGCTGGTGGACTCGTGGTTGTTCGAGATCTTGACCTCTTCTCGTATTGTGAATCTTGTATGCTACCATTCCAGGTTAAATGTCATGTGGGCTATGTCCCTTCTGGTCAACGGGTTGTAGGCTTAAGCAAGCTCTCTCGAGTAGCTGATGTGTTTGCAAAACGCCTCCAAGAGCCTCAGCACCTAGCAGACGAAGTGTGTTCAGCTTTGCAGCATGGCATCAAGCCAGCAGGTGTTGCAGTTGTACTCCAATGTTTACACATCCCTTTCCCAAAAGTAGAATTAGCTTTTCTTGACTCGAACCACCAAGGATGGGTAGAGTTACTGGTTAGTTCAGGTTCAGGAGTTTTTGAGAATGAAAATGCCAATCTTTGGGCAGATTTTTTGAATCTTCTGAGATTCAGAGGCATAAATGTCGAGAAAAATCGCATGAGAGACTCAAGCGATCAACACTGGTGTCCATCTCGATCAGGTGATATTGCTGCCTCCAAGATTGAATCAGTTAATCAGGGTATGGTCACTGCAGTAGCTTCAATTCTTAGGTCGTTAGGTGAAGACCCATTAAGGAAGGAGCTTGTAGGAACACCTGCTCGTTTCGTGAAGTGGTTGATGAACTTCCAAACTACTAATTTAGATATGAAGCTGAATGGCTTTGTTTCTGACAGGGTCGATCCTCTAAAGTTCAATGGGGATGGCTGCAAGGAAAAGAAAATCCACTCTGAGCTGAACTTGTCATTCTGGTCGCAGTGTGAGCATCATCTACTTCCCTTCTATGGTGTTGTGCATATAGGATATTTGTGCACTGAAGGATTCAATCCCATTGCGAAATCTCTTTTACAATCGATTGTATGTTTCTACGGTTTCAAGCTCCAAGTACAAGAAAGACTCACCCGGCAGATAGCAGAGACTATATCATCACTGTTAGGTGGAGATGTGATTGTGGTTGTGGAGGCAAATCACACCTGTATGATCTCGAGAGGCATCGAGAAGTTTGGAAGTAGTACAGCGACAATTGCTGTACTGGGTCGATTTTCGACTGACCCTGCTGCAAGGGCTAAGTTTTTGCAGAGCATTCCAAACACCGCATTTTCAGGACGATGATCCGAGTTCATCCATCTATTAAATGTCTATTTCTTTCGAAGTTATTTCTTTGCATTGGATTTGCTGTTAGCCATGGTGCCAGCATGACAGCGATAAGTCGAAGATCAAAGATCAAAGATCATCCTTTGGCCAATCTGGGTCTTGCCCATTTTTGTGATGGTGCTATTGAAGTTTCAGTTGAAGGTCCAGACTGTCTGGTAACACAGGATTCTAAAGTTTTGTATTTTTATCATCCATTGTCTGTAGCATAAGCCCTTGCAAGATTCCAAGGCGCGTCTTTGTTTTAAAGATTATATATTTTCTCATGTAATTTTTTTTTGAATACGAAGGATATTCAATACGAATAATACGTTTGATAGTTTATTACATTGATTCTGTTTGTTTATCAATTTCTTTTACACTGTTTGTTTTACTTACAGGCTGTGGGATTAATTGTGATTAGGAAGGGGAAGGCTCTGGCTTTTATTCACTAAGATTAGGTTAAAGGGCGTTCTGTGGAAGTTGTGGGCATGCAAATATCGGATAACATGGAAAAAAAAAGTACTTCCAAGGTAAAAAGGTTTTCTGTACAGAATCCAAAATCAGTAAGATAGAGAGAAAAAAACAGAAAGGAGAGATTGCTTGAGGTGAAAGAGATTCACATGCATATACAAAACAATATAAACATCAGCATTTAGCCACATATATACATTCCAACCGGTAACCACGTGAGTTTAGACTCTACAAGAGTGAATCATAAGAGATGAAAACAAACCAACTTAGTCGCCTAACCACAAGTGTCGGATTTTACTCCAATCTATCCAAACATCACGGTCTAACCACAAGTGTCGGATTTCACTCCAATCTATCCAAACATCAGGTTCTGTCCTATGTTCCTGAAGTTCTGCTTGGGGCGTAGGGCCATGGCCAGGTTTTTCCCTGCTTTTCTGAGCTTTTGTCCTAATGTTGTGAAGTTCTGCTTTGGGCAAGGGGCCATGGTATATATGCTCTTCGGACGAAGGGTCATGCTGAATATGCGCTAGAGGCGGAAGGCCATGCTGAATATGTGCTTGGGGGGAAGGGGGCGGAGGCCCATGCTGAATATGTACATCGGGCGAAGGGCCATGTTGAACATGCGCTTGGGGAGAAGAACCATGGCCCTGCTGAAGATTCATTTGAGGCGAAGGGCAATGCCGAATGTCCACTTGGGACGAAGGGAAAGGGCCATGCTGAATACACGCTTGATAATTCATACACCATATATTGATGGCAATTCCAAGGATTACTAACAGGAGCATACCTGGTAGTAACAGTGACATAGTAGGAACCTGCATGTAATTGATAAAAATCAGCAAACCTACAAAGCCATTTAAAATACTTGGACAATAGCATAGCAAACAGACGGGCCAATTCGGCTGAACAGTTCTTTTCTGGTAGGGGTTGAACAAATTTATTATTGAACGATGCATGAATTTGAAGGATCATTTAGAGCCATGCTGAGATACGAGATTTGGTGGGTGTGCATATTAGAAAATATTTAGGCTCCAAAAGCTGACTGTTGCATGTTAATCAGGAAGTTCTAGCACTGATTGTGATTTGTAAATAAAAAATGAAATTTCAAAGTGGTACATAGTTGAAGTTATCACATTCATGCCACTCAGTATATGTCATCCTTTAGCACAAATAGTTCAAGGAAAAAGAAAAAGAAAGCAAAAGAATATATATCACTGCTTGTAAAAAAAATACCTTTCTTTTATGGGGAAGATTTTTCTCAGCACGCTCAAGCGAATAGCGTAACATGTCAACTATTGCCAACTCAGTTACCGGATCACTGCTTTCTGCTAGCGCAAAGAGTTAAATTTAGTTCTGTACAATTAATTAGTATGAAGACCATACCGGAGAGGGTGATAACTTTAAGGGTTACCTGGGATGTCAAAAACTTGAGTTGCGGGTGGAATACCCAGTAGTTCTCCCAAATGGACACGAACATGAGCACGTTGAACAGGTGAAAGTAGATCACCATGCGTGACAACAACTAGGGGTTTATCATCTGGAAACAAAATGGAGATGCAGAGACTAAACACCTTAAAAATTTCAAGTTTCCACCACTTCCCTTCCCTCTTACCCTATAAAATTGAATCAATGAAATATTAAAGAAAAGTTTGAGTCATTAAAATTCGATACCTTTAAATGCCAGGTATGGGCAGTTGAAAGCTGAAGCAATCATTTGGGTGTATCGAGTCTCTGCATCTTCATCACTTTCTATTGATTTCAGAACTGAAAGGCCATTAACAACAAATATGACAAAATTAACCTTCCTGATCTCACTGGACAGATAACCATCATCACGAGCTTTGCACATTATCATGGTCCTCAAACTTTGGCTGTCTGAATCCCTGAGAGTCCATTGAGATAAATTGACGTGAATGACAGTAGACAAATTCCTAAAACCCAAAATGAGAGGGATGTGATGAATTAGAAATTCAGACCTGATAACAAGCTCCCCATGACGAACACCATTTTTCATCCAATGCTGCAGTATTTTTATGTTTTCATGTGAATCATCAGACAAACTGCGGGTATCATAGAGGCAGAAAGAAGTGGAACATCTCGGTATCATATATTCCTGGAGGAAAAAGGTTCCATCTCCAACAGATGAATTATCTGGCAAAGATAACAACACACATGAAGCTGTAGAACACAAATAACTTAAGTTCATCCCATAATACAGCAAATTAGCATATTTTATTATTCACAACTGCAGCCATACATGATACTTGGGCTCTTTCTGATGCAAACTTGTCATCTTCAAACACCTTTGATATTCTATTTACAAGACTACTCTTTCCAGATCCTTTTGGACCAACCAATAAAACAGTTGTCGTCTTTGGCACATCATAGTCCCTCAATTTCACAGCACCTACACTTTCAATCCATGCACCAGGAGTGTAGCTGTAAAATTCAAGGGGACACATCACTTCAAGCAACCAGACTACCATTCTAGCCATCACATAAATATTAACTTGAATTAATACCTCAATACTTTAATCTTGGCTCCTTCCAAACCTTTGCTCCGAATCCGCAGTCCGTCATTACTCAGCAAAATTTCTCTATAAACACTTTCCCTCCTCTTTTGTTTGACTTCAAAATCCAAAGAATTTGAAGAAAATCGAGAATCCACACTGTCAAGTTCTCCAAGCACCGACCCATTTAGTGTACCTACTGCAGCATCCTTGACATTCATGCTTAAATCATTTCTGCTCCATTGAAAACCAGAACCACTTTAAAGTTTCAAACTTTCTCAAACAGCATAAAAAATTTCAACAAACAAAACTTGTGTTTTTGTGATTCAATGCTACAAATAAGAAATTGAAATATGGGTTCTAGCAATATCGGCACAAGGCACATAATCCAGAACCAAATTTGATCATAAACTGAATGGAATTTATGAGAATTCATGAGCTACCTGAGAAGTGGAGATGAGAGCTGAGAAGAATCTTGCTCCAGCGAAAAGTCTTCCCCTGTATCTGCATATTGAACCCACTCAGCCACATCGCATGTAAAAACGCCACCTTCAAAAACTTTGCGTTAAGAGAAAAATGGGTAATCAGAGAGTTTACCACTGCCAGGAGGAGTTGTTATGTCGCCACCCATGTCAGCTCGCTTTGCACTTGCAGCCTTCAAACCGTGAGAGAGAGAGAGAGAGAGAGAGAGAGAGCGAGAAGTAGACTAATGGGTTTTTTTTTGGGAGATTCACTAATATACTCAATATGGGCCCAAATTATAAAAATACCCCATATAAAATGAACTTTATAAACACACCCAAAACTCATTTACAACATAACAAAGAGGCTTTAACTTCTTATAAATTACAAAACTACCATAAATTTCTTAAAACAAACCCAATCTCAAAATCTCATAAAAATACCCAAAACACTCAATAGGGCATTAAAGTAATTTAATAATCAATATTAAATCCAATAAGGCGAGCTGTCATTTTTGGGGTTTTTTTTTGGATTTGTTTATAGAAATTCAATGATGAAGGGTTTATCTATAATATTAGTGCTAAGAATATGTATATCACTAAATATCTCTATTTTTTTTTTGGGTCAAAAAATAGAATAATGCTTAGGAAGGATTGATAGTTAAGAAAACAGGTTGACGGAGACGGCGTGCAAGCCACGCGAAGTGATCATACGCAAGCTGCTGCCATATGTCATGGTATCTGGATGCCGATTGGGTACAAGCTAAATAAAATAATATTCTCAATTTATTTTCTTTCAGAAATAATATTTGTCAAGGAAATTATTATTAATTTTGAAAAACCAAAGGGAATCACAAAGAAAATCCTCCAATATCGTATCAAGAAAACATATTGCTGCTTCTTTGTTTAAAATCTTCTGGGGAAGTGAGGAATGGGAAAGAACCCACATTTTGAGTTGGGCATGTTTTTGTTTTTGTTTATTTATTTTTGCATAACACCAGAAGGAAATAAGAAGAAATATTCAAATACAATGAATTTAAATAAATAAAAACGTCGCTGACCGTTTAAGCAAAAAATTTACAGATTTGAAGTGGTTTTTTTATTCAAATTTTCATTGGTTAAAATCTCCGTTTAAGCATATATTCCAAGAGATAAATTTATGCTAGGGGCATTCTTTTCCTTGTTGCTGATCAGTTCCATGGTCAACAGTAAACTAAGGATAAAAACAAAACATTTTTTTTTGGTGTGTATAATTATAAATAACCAAATGCCACCAAGAAGTTCAAAGGAGACAAATGATAAGCAAACTAATATAAAAAAAATTATGTGGATTGTCCCCAATTTTCATATTGTCTCAGTAAAATGTAAGAAAAAATTTGGTGCCACAAGGCCTACAATGGCAATGTGGTTCTCCTTTTGGTGGTATGTGTTTAAAACCTAAGTTTCTACCTAACAAAAAATCTATACCTATTAACCTCTGAACATTCAACTAAACTTATCCCTCCCTCTTCACCAGCCATGGGAAATGTATCTGCTGATGAGGCACAAAAAACCCTGCTTGCATAACAAAGCCCTGAAAAAGATGCACCACAAAGCAGTTAGTGTACATAATGATCTGATCCTATGTAAATCAGATGCAAGACAAGAAAGTTAGAACAATCATACCTGAACAAATCTAAGGCAGATATCAGAAAAACATGCAGTAGCAGACTAGGCCTCAAAACCCAGAGGATGGTTTCTTCTCATTAATGCTGCTTTGGGTTCGCAGATGCAGACACTTGGGGGATCATAAAAGGAAGTCAAACCTACTCAATATCAGTATGGGATGACATATGGCAGAGCATAAACATCCAGAGACTCTATTTGCATAGCTTCTGCCCATACTTGGGGAGTCATTTCAATCTCAGGGGATCCCACTTTGGGTTTCTTTGACCCTGAACCATTGCCGCCGAGCAGCCATTCCTGATCGTCAAGATTGGACTCATCCGCCATCTTGGGAATGGAAAGTATCTCACTCAGATACTTGGAATCAGGATGTGGTTTTGCAGATGCTCCACCATTCTCATTAACTTTAACACGAGAAGATGATGGCTTTGTTGAGAATGCATTGAGTTGTTCAGGTCCTCTCAAACCATTAATTCTGTGTTCCTTGATATCTGCTTTACAATCGCTGGCTGCCCCCTGTCCCTCTGATAAAAACTGGAGAACAGTTTGGCTTGGTTCTGATTTCCTCCCATTTTCCACTACTGGGTGAGAAGAAACAGATCTTGACAACTTATGAGGCAGAAATCCATTTTCTGGCATAAAGTTTAAAGAATAAGGTACAGATAAGATTGTATCCCTCAATCTCAACTAAAACAGATGTATATAAATTTCTTTTCTTGGTAAGTATGTCTATAAAAATGATAATCGCAAGAAAACCGTTATTCAATCAGTAGCTCGAGGTTTTGGCAGAAAAGTATTTGGAGATTAAATAAACATGCAACCTATATAACAATGAGCGTTTAGGAGCTGGAACATCTATAAGTAACATAGGCCTCTATTACCATCTGGGAGACACACATCTATGTGTGTTTCCACTCACTGAATGGAAAATAGAATCCCTCAGTGTCATTGTTTTTGCAAAATAGGAAACGACTCACCATGTAAATATCCATTCATCTCAAGTTCCTTGCGTTTGCCAAGAATTCCCCCAGCAGCAGATTTCTTGCTATTCATCTGTAAAAGGTTTAATGCTTTATTACTGAAAGCATCTAGGGATTCCTTGCCATTTCCTTCTAGTTTAGGCTGTTCATCGGATGGTTTGCTTATCTCCTTCACCTTCTCCTTCTTCTCTTTCTTCTTATCCTTGTCCTTATCCTTCGATTTAACTTTCTTCTCTTTATCTCTCTCCTTGGGTTTATGACCTTTACTGTCATTATCTGTGTTTTTCTTCCGATCTCTTCCCTCCATCTGCTTCTCAACATCCTTCTCAATTGGCTTAGCAATGCCTTCAAGTCTTCTTTGCTCAATGCTAGGGAAGTTTTCAAAAAATGCCTCCGCTGAACATTTTCCCTCGACATGGTTTCTTTGTGCATTGGCAATCCTATCATCTTCTTTCTTATCCTTAATTCTCTCTTTTTCTCTGGACTGAGTTGACAACAAAGGTTTTTGATCAGAAACCATAATCTTCTGAACAACCGGACTTCCTGTTGCTCTTTCACTATTCCTATAGACTTCCAGTTGCTTCTCAATTGGCTTAGTAATGCCTTCAAGTCTTCTTTGGTCAATGCTCGGGACATGTTGAACAGTTTTTCCCTCGATATGGTTTCTTTGTGCATTGACAGTCCTATCCACTTCTTTCTTATCCTTAATTCTCTCTTTTTCTCTGGACTGATTTGACAACAAAGATCTTTGATCAGCAACCAAAATCTTCTGAACCACCTGACTCCCAGTAGCTCTGTCATCATTCCTACATCTCCGATCCAATTCCTGCACGTATTTATAATCCTTGATGTCAACATTATGGAATCCGTTTGGAACATGATTCTGTCCATTATAAGACTCTGACTGCCCTTCAATTCTCTTCTCTTCTGATGTCCAAGTAATCCCATTATCCCCACCCCTTTCCTTCTTGTCTTTGTGCTTTTCTTTTCTGTCTTTCCTTTCACCATGTTTTTCTTTACTTCTGTCTTTGTCCTTTTTCTCTTTACCGTCTCTTTTCTCTTTGTCCTTCTTATCCTTCTTATCCTTTTTATGCTTTTTCTCCTTGTGCTTCTCCTAAAAATAATATCCCCATGAGAAGCAGTGTATTTAGTAAAAATGCGAAATAATTCATAGAAACTTAAAGGAAAACAATAAAAAGAAGCACATGTTAGTACAAAATCCTCCTGAAAACAAAGAGTGAGAGACACAAGATGCAAAACACTGCTAAGGGTGGTGTGCTGGTCAGAGTACTTGTCCCTCAAGCTCAACGCTTAGGGTCAAGTTGCTACACCCTCACACAATGCTATGAGATCTTGCCTAGTTAATTTTTTGAAGAGCTCTTCAGAACAACAGTCCCTGTTTAGCCCTTTACAAGTTTTTAAAATCACAAAAGAGTACGGCAGTTGTGAAACAGTATCCCTTTTTTTTACTTTATGTTTTTAAGTTCCTCTTCTTTTGCTTTGATAGACATAAATATAATAATTTTCACATCAAAAAAAAACAGCAGAGAAAATATTTTACACAAATTAAGAGACACCTTTACTTTCTATTTTTTTCTCAGTTCCTATTATTTTCCTTCATGTATAATGAACACTACACAAATGATGATGACGATGAAGTGTGAATACAATATTTATAAATAAATAAAAATGAGATAGCAGACACAATATGCCAATTTGTAATATCAAAATAATGATATTATCACATTCAGAGAATTTGACAAACACTATCGACAGAACTTTAATAAAACAAAGATGAGACACAGTTTACCAAACAAGAATTCAATGTCCTTCCAGAGTCCAACCATCACACTATACAGGTGTTAAAAATTCTTTAAAGGAACCTAGGGTCTAAGCTAATATGACATGTTCAACCAAGGCAATAAGAATCTTTTTTATGCAAGAGCAGACTAGGAAAGTATCCCATCAAAGTTATTATGAAGCAACATGTCCCATTTTATCATTCATGCCAGATGGGTGCTTGTGTATGCAAAATGTTCCAGATACTCATCCCATACCTATACCGTTTCATGCTAAACAAAAAAAATTTACACATTATATAGGACCAAGAAAAAAGGATAGACATTTTACTAACAAAAAAATGGTTACTCATGCACTGGGAGGGAAATTCAATAGAGTTGGGCTACCCTACGTGAGAAATTCATGTAACAAAACTAATCCCACAAAATGATAATCACTTGAGTTAAAAGTCAGATAGCAACCAATTGCTCTCACCTTTTTCACAAATGTCATGAAACCTCTATATGCCTATTATGGCATGAATCTTGGTATCCAAGGACTTTCCCATGGAAAAATCATATTTTTTTCTGCTCGGTTACCTACATAGGATGTGTATCATAAGACTTTTAAAGTACTAGGGTAGACTGAATATACTTCATGACACGGTCAAAACTAGTCTCTCTGACAATCTGGTCATTCAAGACAGTTGCAAATTTAATGTGCCTGCCCCTCATAATCTTCCTCCTAAGAGTACCCCATGACTTCATCAGTTAAAACCTACATTGATATAAGTTTCATGGCCCCGTAGCACAGCCTCCAAAAGTTAAAATGACAAGGAAGCAACTGATGAAAATCCAACACAGCACATAAAAATGCAGGGATTAACAAACAAGAACTCATGAGAAACGAATGTAAATCAATTCTGCAATGATAAAAAGGAAAATATGTAGACCTTTGCAAGTAAGTCTATATCATTGATTCCAACTTTCTTTTCATATCCTGGAGGAGGAAATGGAAAGCAGCGAGACATTGCACGCAATCCTTGAAATGGAAAAGTGGGATCCGTCCACCAGCAGAAATGCTTCTCCTAGTTTCCAGTACTGTTGTTCCAACACAGGAACAGAGCAGAAACAATGCTCCTGTCCATGCACCATGACCCCAAACTCATTTCCAGCTTAAAAATCACTCCATGATCTACTAAAATCAACCCAAAGCCAAAACTGATGATAACCAATATGCAAGATCTCCTCTTATCACAGTGTTACTTCTAGGATTGCACAATTTATGAAAATCTGACACAAAAACTAAAAGTATCCAAAGGCTCACATGAACTACTCCACTATACCAAACTCTGTATTAATTCATCTCTATCTATCCAGATAAGACAGCATTCAATCACGCTTATGTCCAAGCAACCGATTTGTCGACAAATTTAGAAGTTCTGCAGCAATCTGATCCTCTGTCTTTCTTACTAGGCCAATAGAGAATGATCACCTGCTCATCAGCAAAAACCAACATCAGGAGCATGTCCTGACTATAAGGCCAAAAATTCATACAACAAATGCAACACAGACCACAACCTTGAAAACGAAAGAATCCGTGTAATTTTAAATGGAACACAGATAATCCTCAACTTTTAAATGGAAGCCGTGTAATTCCAAGCTTCGCTTTCTATTTACAGCAGTGAATCTTCTTACAATGACCCCTAATACTATAAAAATCACAATTCGGGTTTCTCCCAGTGACGATTTGGCCAAACCCTAGAAAAATCACCAGAAGAATATGTCAGACACAAAACCCAGTTGCAAATAAAGACTAATTCCAAAAATTTCAATCCCAAAATACATGAAAACCCATAAAATTAAACTAAACCACTAGAATCCCACGAAAACAAATTAAGTTGCATACTTGGGATTGAGGGTTTTGATTTTGATGGTTCCAGAGAGAAAAAAAAAGAAAAATTTCACGGGAGGGAAGATAAAACAAAGAGAAGAACTTTTGGTTTTTGCAAAGTAGACATTGTACATGAATAAGAATATGAAGATCTCATTCCAAAAAGAGAGAGAGAAAAGAAAAGAGGGATTTATCAAACTCTCTCTTTCTCTCTCTCTCTCTCTCTCTCTCTCTCTCTCTCTGTCCAATCTAGCTATGTGTATGTAAACATGTATGTGTGTCTACCTCTCTATCTTTGTATGAGTGTGTATTTGTAAATGGGTTTTGTGTATGTGAGCAATTTCAGATCTTCAAATTGTTTGATGATGCGGGGTTATTCTCAGGGAAGAGGGTTTTCTCTCTCTCTCTCTCTCTTTCTCTTTCTCCGAATGTTCTCAGTCCTCTCAAATCCCCTTAAAAGGGAAGAGAAAATAGAGGGAAGGGCCAAAGGGGAAATGGGGTATTTATAAAAGAGGATTGGATATACGTGTCAAATAAAAAGAAGAATCCAGACGCCAGACAAATCACAATGAACATGAGAGATAAATTGTAAAATATGGTTGGTAAAATTAACTTACCCTTTTTCTACTATATGTTTGAGTTTAAAAAAGAACACTTTTTTATTAAAAAAAAAAAAAAAAAAAAAAAAAAAAAAAAAAAAAAATCTAATTAAAAAAAAAGAAAAAAAAGAAAAAAAACACTACCAAGATGTCTTGAAGGTTTGAACATGAGATCACTATTCTATAAGACCCCTTTTCACTAGAGTAAATCTCGTTGGTCAAATAAAAAAGATTACTTTATTAGTAATCACACAAGTTTGTTATGTGTTATATTAATGAACAACATAATTGATATATCTATAACAGAAGAAATATTTTAAAATATAATATAATAAATAAATTCATATTTTATAACATGAATAAATTAATAACACCTTGTAAGGACAACCTTCACACCAAAAAATTCTTGAGTTTTTTCTTTGAGTTTGAGGTAATAAATCTGTTTTTTTGGCCAAAGGTATCAAATGTTTGATATGATGCATTTGCTTCTTCCACAACAAAGCCACGTGTGCTTGCCGCCCATTTGCAGTCTTTATGTGAAGCAATTCGGCAGCGTCACTTGTCTTGTTTTGCTTTTATCATCACATCTCATCTTCATCGCCTGTCGCAATCTCAGTGCGTGTCCACTTAAACATGGCACATATAAAATACCAACGCAAAACAAAACGATTGAAAACTGAGGAACTGATACTGAACATGGCAAGAGAAGTTCGTGAATTTGTGAGATTTGCGGCTATCAAAAATTGGAGGCAAGCAGGTAGCATAATGTTAGGATATTGCATCCTATAAAAATACGATCTTTTTTGTTGCTTATCGAGTCGGTTTTAATGTAGTCGTATTTATCATCCTAATAATGTTGAAAGATGTTTCAAATTTGAATATCATGTTACACGTTAATAAAAGAAAGAATCATTTTTGTTGGCCTACATTTGACCCCATTATTAGTTGAAAGATTTATTTGCAAAAACTGATTGAGTTTCAGTTATGCACAGATTTTGTCAAATGATAATTGTTCCTTAACAATTGGTGCACACGTTTTTTTTCCTGTTATTTTCACCCCTTTAAAAGCTGTCATTGAAGATAGTTTTTTCGTGGGTGTAAATATTCTCAATCGTCAACTGTCGTATCGTATGGGTCAAGGCACGAGAATCAACACTGACTACTTGATGTCGAACGTCACTAAACCAAGCATGTTTTGGGGCACAAAATCAGGTAAGTTGCAAAAGTTTGTCAAGGGTTTGAAGCAGATAACTCAGGGGGGGCAAGCTTGCAGAGTATAGCTGCATATTGGGTTGAGTGGCTTTTTTCTTTTTTCCTTGTTGCTGCCTGAAACCTTTACAGAATGCAACCCTCTCTTCGGATTCTCGAGAGTATTTTATGCTAATCATCAAAATTTTCAGATCACAACTGTTCGAGACACCGATACTCGAGTAAAAATTCAAATAAATTCAACAAACCAGAAAAACAAGCACATGGGATTAGGGGAATGCATGTGTTTCGAAAATATATTGAAGATTGACTTTTCAATATTAAAGAATCAGAGAGAAATGTTTTTAATACACTCTACATGTTCATGGTACAGTGACAGACTATATGACAGCGTCCTCAGTAAAACTTTGTATTAACAGATGTAATAAATTACAGCCCCGCATTATTCGGTGAGAGACGAGTTTATTAACTCAATTCATTCAGAGGCAATGGCTTTGTGGGAAGGAAGAAGACATGGCCAACAATGGACCATCTAAGATGTTAGGCTGCAACGGTGGGATGGAGAAACCAGCTGATTGTGGAACTCTGACTGATGGATGTTGAATTGAACTGCCAGAAAGGGGTGGAGATGAGTAGATATCATGTTAGTAATGTTCATATGAAAAAAAACTTATCGACCACAAGACAACTATTGTATCAGCCATAGCTTCTTGGTCTGTCACGTTTTTCTTTTGTTTCTTCCATAGGTAAATTACACAAGCACAGAGGCAGATAAGTATAGTCTATATCGGCACATGAACTGACCTGAATGATAAAGAAAAGGAAGGCTCTACTGGGGCACAGATTCCACCTTGATCAGGAGGCATTAGAGACCAAAAAACTGGAGAAAAGTGACAAGAGTACATCAATTTCAAGAAAAATGAAGCTAAGACGAGAAGGCAAATAGTTTTTTCTTCCGTCTTCCCGAAGAAAAATGTTAAATTTGATCCACATAACCATCTTCTTCTTACTTATGGTTAGATTCATTTGCAGTAAAAAGGGAAAAATAATCAGTAACCAAGTAAAGAGATTCTGAATTTTCCCTGGCATTTGAGCAAACTATCCAAATAATTGGAGGCTTTAGAAGGAGAAGAAAAGAAGTTTTCTTCAGAACAACTTGCCCGAAATTTTGCTTGCACAACTGTATGAGTAACCATTAACATATTTCTCTTCCTAATTAAGGTAGGCCCACTAATCTGAAAGGATGATATTAGAGAAAGATGCAAAGAATTACCAGATCGTCCTGAATGATCTTCCAAACCAGAGCAAAATAAAGAATCCTGCATAATGAAATTAACAAAATTCATACCACAATAAATATCTAGCATTAAGGATCTAATGCTAGAAGATGCCACAAAACAAAAGCATCTCTAGAAAAGAAGCCCATTCACTCACCTCTTTTGTATGCTGCGATACATCATGAACCACATCTGCAGGCAACAATTACATAATAAGATGAAAATATTCCTCCAAAAAATTTATACATATGAAAGAAACTGAAAAATAGAAAGAATCTACAAAAAAAGGGGGGGGGAAGTCCAGATTTTCCAAAGATTATGACTTCTCAAATAAATCCTTGAAATGTGATGGGAAATCAATTCTGCTGAATTTAGAGGAATAATCATACTCTAGTTATGAAATACAGAGGAGAAAAATGGAAGCATCTCCGGTCTACACAAATGATGACATTTAAACTTGAAATCCCATATCCTAAAAATAAAAAAATAATGATGCATGGGAAACAAAATTCACTTCAAATGTGTTATGTGAATCAAGCAAAATAACGTGCTACAAGGTGTTGAAATTCTTTCATTTCAACAGTCCATCCGGACTTGCTAAGCAAAATCCTAATATATCTTAAACTTTGAGTGGTCGAATAGTGCCAATGCCTAGAGCATGAAATGAAGCAGGTTCTGGGCCAAGAATGCGACCCTGCTGAACCTAAATGGATGAGAAAAAAGCTAAAACAGAAGACTTGGCTTAGGAATGTGCCCAAAGCATGCAAGGCACAAATTGCAATTAAACCAAAATTTTGTGTCATAATTGTTTTCGTTTTCCCATTGCCATCCCTGTCCATGCCTAAAATAACCAATTCACTGGGCTACTAACACAGGAGGAACAACGATATTTACCAAATTCTGGAACACTGGGCTTCACAGCCAGCGTCAAGCCAAGAAAGCAGTCCTCAGGTTCAGCACCAAAGTCTGATAATTTCAACTCAAGCGTTGGCTTTGCTCCTGTGAAATAATGCAGGAGAATAATTAATAATGGACACTAATAAGGGAGGTAGGTACACAAGAAAAAAGGAGAATGCGAAACCTTACCCATGATACTTAGCTTCAGGTCAAGTGGATCACGGAGTGAATGAGGAACCCAGCCAACCTATCTATCTTATGTTAGTAAGATGATCAAATTTATAAGATTGCAAATTAAATAAAAATAAAAGAAAAGCAGAGAGGAAGAGAAGAAGACTATGTTACATGGAAAAAGGGATGTTGTAATGATTCATCTGCAGCTGGCCTCCTTGATGGATCCCATGAACATAGTTGCTGTAGACAGTGAAGAAAGAAAAATATATAAGCATTAAACAAATTTTCCTAGGAATTACTAATGGAAGAAAATTGTACAAACAACTCTCACTTGGATCAAATCAATAGCTTCTGGGCTTGCGTTTGGAATGATATCAGAGAGGTTTGCAGGCAAGATCTATCCAAAAGAATGATACAGTGAGTTAAAGCCAAGAAATATGAAAATTGCAGTAAACAGGTCCATGCAAAAGCTTGCCTTTTCATAATTAATAATGCCATATAATCGAGAGGCATTTGTCCCTTCAGCGAAGATAGTCAAGTCTGGAGTACCAAGCACACAGCATATCTTGAACAATTGGTCTATCTCACTGTCCATTGAAGAACTCGTTTTGTAAGATGTAAATAAGAAGTTCTCCCACGTTTTTCTTATTTTGAGTCACATCATATGTTTCATTAAATCTCAAACTAACGAGGTCTATGACTCAAAAATACTGGACATGTTCCGAAAGTAAAATACCAGTTAAAAATACAAACAAATTCTTCCTCGTTTGAACCAGCTCAATGCACAGTCAAAATGTCAAAGAAATAAAGCACACCAGGACAGGCAGTAATAAATGGACTTAATTAGAGGTAAGTGCAAAAGAATAATTTTTACACACATTTTTCTCACCAAGACCAAAAACAATAAATGCAGGATGATATAATCACCTTTCACCAGGGAAAATAGGGGACAAATTGAAAAGCTCAGCTAGGATTGCGCCAGCAGCCCACATGTCTGTATATTATTCATTTGTTAATCACCACTTGAAGAAGAACAAAGAGATAATAAATCTCAAGCTTGATATAGGAAAATCTCATGCAGCCTAATCATAGATATGGCAACACCAATAAAAACCTCAAATATTCTTAAAACTTTTCATAATGAACAGGAGTACAATAAAGAACTAATAAAGATTGTGCTTACCAACTGCAGGAGTGTATAATTTGGACTGTAACAGGACTTCTGGTGCTCGATACCTAGGATGCCCACAAACGCCATAAAATGTAAAAGATAATCAATATGCATAGCTCTGCCTGTGCAACACACTCGGAGACATTCATGCAGACACGTGCATGCACACAATAAGATAACACGATTTAATAGGAATGCCCCTTCCCCAACTACCATACACTCACAGATGCACAAAATAAGATACTGAGATTGAATATGATTCACTCACCAACGTGTGGAAACATATTCGGTATAAGGAGGAACCGATGATACTTCTCTAGCCAATCCGAAGTCGGCAATTTTAAGAACATCATTTGTCACCAGCAAATTCTCTAAGGGGGAAAAATGGTCTTGCTGTTAATTTCTTTAGATAAAATATTTCAAACTATAGAGATGCATGAAAACACAACACTGATAATATGTTATACCCGGTTTTAGATCTCGGTGAAAATATCCACTTCTATGGAGGTGATTAAGTCCATGCAGCAATTGAGACATAAAGCTACGAATCTCATCCTCTGAAAAGGGTCTTCTTTGTTCTTTCATTATTTGGTATAGATTATAGTTCTGGAAACATGAAACTTTGGAATCAAACACATATTACATGATGAGATAAATTTGATCAACTGGGGTTCATCAAGTTTCAAATAAGAGTGTGATATCATTTTGCACGAGATATACAATAAAAATAAATAAACCACATATCAATGAGAAGGCAAAAGGTCTCTCACCATGTACTCAAAAATGAGGAACACCTCATTGTTTTCCCTGACAACCTCCTTCAACTTTATGATATTGGGGTGATTTAATTTACGGAGTACCTGGGCAAAGCATTTGACTTATCAATCAAAACAATGAGAAGGACTTATCTATTTGATTTAGCAATCTGCAAAATGTGAAAGCTCATATTCAACAATATTGAACCATTAAAATTTCCATGGGAGATACCTTAATCTCTCGTAATCTCCAGTATTCCTCCCAGAAAAAGAACTTCCTCTTCATCTTTTTGACTGCAACCTGAGGTCAGAAAAATAGAATAAAACTAGGATGGATATGTTTATGTAAAATTGCCCTACCCTACACTCCTAACTAATTCACTCTTATTACAAAACTAGAAATAACACTTGATCTTAATTTCATCTTCTGTCGCAATATTTCTTTAAAATGCCATTATCAACTCCACACAAAATTAAGAATCATCAAAAGTATCTGATCCAAAAGTTCACAATTTGTTGCAAAACTAAATAAGTTGAGAGGTAAAAATCGAATATATATATTATGAGAAAGATTAATTTCTTTTGTAAGGAGAAGCATACAATCTCATTTGTTCTCCAATCACGAGCCTTATATACACTACCACAAGTGCCATCACCAAGCTCCTCCAAAATTTTATATCTGGAAAAAATAATTCAGATAGCAACAAACTATAAGAATAAAAAATTGTGAACCTTTTGATTTTAGACAATTCAATGCATTTGAAAGCAACTAACCTTTCCATTATTTAAATTGCAACAGATTATAATCGACAATCTTTCAGTGGAATTTAAACAGCCTCCAAGAAGAGGTGTCTATGCTGTCAACACAGTTTTGGTCATTGGCTTCTAGATATGGTATAGTGCTTACGTCTAGCATCAAGCATTTGGCATAGTCAAGAATCAACTTGTCATTGTAGGAGCGGTTCACAATCACCAAGAAATCTATCAACATTTTGCAACCCTCCACGTGAACTCCAGAGACCAAGCATTAAACTTAGCTGAAGAGTTTTAATCCATTTTCTTTACATCTGCTTCACTTATACCCTCATATAAAGAACTGGGGCTGTTGAGCTGCAGTAGATGGTAAAGAAAAACAAAATTAATTTTCAACTCTTAACAAATTCAACCATTCAACATGAAGCAAAGATCATGTCTTTTAATAGCCACCACAACTGATCACTGTTTTCCTGTATGGTCGCCACAAAAGAAGCAGACAGAAAGAAAATCGAACCCAATAATTTCGTTAGGCTTGCAAGACTAAATCTTTTTCCCTTCGTTGGTCTAATCTTACATGAACTCTACAATTCAAAATTGTGATACCCTGCCCCATCCTATTTGTTCAAAGATCAAACCAAGCATTTTTGAAAATGACAAATCTATTAGAGCTATATCCCCTCCCATCAATCCAAGTCCTAAACATGAAAATATATACTCAATTAGAAAAGTAATTCAAATACTCTAAAAAGAATCAAACTTTAGAATATCAGTTATAAAAATAAAGTATTTGTTTACGGCACAACAATCATCTCCACTCATTTAAGCCTGGTTCGACTACAAACTTGGGAGCTAAAGCAACAAAGAATAGGACCCAGAATTCTATTTTGTTTCATTTTCTTTCTTCTTTTATTCCTTCATTTCTTAAGAACCAACCACAGCCTAAAATGAGAACCTCAAGTGGTATTTCAATCTGTAAACAGCTAAAAATACAATCAAACACAAAGCCTGAAATTCAGAAAATTATAGAAAGAACAAAAAGAAAAATGAAAGAGACTGAACTCACAATTGATGCTAAATTGAAACAACCAGAGAAACTTTACGAGCAGGATATAGATCAGCAATGCATAAAGATTTTTCTTGGAGAAACCAAGAAAGAAAAATTTAGAGAGAGAATCTTCGTTTGAGAGGAAGGGAAGCTTCAGAAAGAGAGAAAATTTGGATTGCTGGTGAGGCCATGAGAGGGAGAAGGATTCCGCATAAGAAGCAAAGAAGAAGAAACCAAGCAAATTATTTAAAAAAAATACGAAATTATATAAAATATTTGTTTGTAATGATTTTATTGGTTCGTTAGATCATTAAAAATTAAAAATAGAAAATGCTTGGTTTACTCGTGGTGGGGAAGGGAGGTGGTCCCGCGCAATTGCCCCAAAATTGTTGTGGGTCCATTACCTCGAGAAATTATACAATGACACTGTGGTACCATGTCAGCATGTACATTTTCCATTCAAATATAGCCACATGTCTGTTCTTTTGACAGCTGGACGCATCAATTTATTTATATAAATAGAATTAAAATGATACCTTTTAGATTTATCCTCCCCCTCTTTTTATTTGAATTGTTACCTTAAAAAAAAAAAATACTAAAACTCATTTTAAAAAACACAAAATAAAAAAGAATCCCTTTTAGAAAGAAAAGACCATTTAAAGAAGTGAATTGAAAATATTATATTCTAGATTCTTTTGGGATAATGTTGAACAAATTGAAAGTCAATCTCCATGTTCACATCAATAAAAACATTAAAATCAGGAAATTTGGAATTTCCATAATCATGAGGACAGAGCTAATATGAAAAACTAAATGGTGTTGATAATTTACAAAATTTGACTTCATGAAGTCCACTCTTACAATGATTAGAGATTTTACAAAGTTAGTACTGAATTTCTCTCTTTAATGATAAAAGAAAGATATCTCAAATTTCTAATCTCTAGTTTAACCAAAAAAGAAAAATTCTAATCCATAGCTGATGAGGATGAGCACCATTGTAGAGAACAACTTAAAATCTGGTATCTGCATAAGACCAACTGAAGCACTAGCATAGCTGAAAATGACCTAGTCTGCTAGATAATAGGCCTCCCTCTGCAACCCATTTGCTCAATCAATTTGAGAATGTCCAGGCAATGCTCAGGTTCCTCTTTCTTTACTAGGATCTCCAGATATGGTAAAATTGCAGCCTTTTCCTTGATGTCATTGTGTCTTAATAGGTCAGAGAACAGTTCTTCACCTTGTTCAGCCCTGCCTTCACTATAAAGACCCTGAATCACTGAACAGTATGATGAAACAGATGGAACAAAACCATGGTTCAGAATCATTTTCATGAAGTCCAGACAACGATCAAATTGGCGTTCCTTGCAGTAGCTGTTGATGAGAGCACAAACAGCCTTCTCAGGAAGCAGACCACGTTTTAGTAAATCCTTGGTAATCTGATCTGCTTCAGCAACTCTTGCCTCCCGGCATAAACCCATAACAACAAAGTTGTACAAATCTGTTGCCGACCCACCATATCTTTTGATCTTTTCTTCAAGACTGAAAGCATGTTCGATCTCCATATTTCTAAAAACATGTCTGGAAATGCAATCATCATTAATGTCCCTTGAAGGTACTGTTCCAGCATCTACAAAGTTGGAAGAACTAACTGATCTTGCTTCTTCCTTAGCCTCGCTTGACAAAACAGAACCTGCAAGGAGCGCAGAATAGATTCGAGTGCTTGGTTGATAACCTTTTTGAACCATAACACGCAGAATCTCATAGGCATGATCCAACCTACTAGCATTAACAAGAGCTTCAATTAATACAGTATATGTAATGTGGTTTGGAGGTATCCCGAAATCAGACATACTAAAGAGAAGGATTTCAGCTTCCTCTACTCTTCCATTTTGGCAGAGGCCATTGATCACAACGGTATAGGTGTAGACATTTGGAGGGCAGCTAGTCTGCCTCATCAAATCCAACATTTTCAGTGCACAGGTAATCTCACCAGTTTGGCAAAGCGCATTGACTAATATTGTATAAGTCACTACAGACGGAACTGATCCATACTTTAGCATCTTCCCCAACATTGCCTGCGTTGCATGCACCTTATCATCTTTGCTGAGAACATCAAGAAAACAATTGAATGTGTGTGCTGTTGTCAAGGTCCTCTTCTCTACCATCTTCCCAAAAAGCATTGATGCATTTCCGATTTCACCAATCTTGCAATACCCATCAATAAGAGCTGTCATAGTAACTTCATCAGGGGAAATACCTTTCTTTACCATTGAACCTAAAATGCTGATTGCATGCCCTGGTCTCCCTTGTTTACAGATCCCATCAATTAAGGCAGTGAAAGAAAAACAATCTGGTTCAAGACCAAATGAGCTCATTGACTTAAATGTTTCAAAAGCCAATCCAAGTTGGCCTTCTCGGCAAAAGCCATCAATTAAAATATTGTAAGTTACTCTGTTAGGCAACAAACCATTATCAACTACTCTTTTCAAAAGAAACATGGCTTTGTAAGTTTTATAAACTTTGCATAGCCCTTCCATGAGCTCATTGTAGGTACGAATGTTAGGCTTACATTGTCTTTTCTCCATCACACCAAGTAGCTCAAAAGCAGAAATCACGCGCCCTTCTTTGCAGTATCCATTTATCAGTGCATTGTAAGTTACTGTGCCAGGAAAAAGCCCATCTTTAAGCATCTTTCTAAACATTGCATTGGCCTCCTCAATCTTTCCTTCCCTGCATAATCTATCAATCAATATGGTATAAGTATGAACATTAGGCTTACAACCCTTTGAAACCATCTCATGAAGCAAACCTAGAGCCTTATCAGTCAACCCAATGTCACACAAAGCCTTGATGAGTACAGTATATGTACGAGTAGTCGGCTGGCAGCCCTTCTCACTCATCTCTTTTTTCAGATGAAAAGCTTCATCAAGTTTACCAATCTGACAATAACCATGAATCAATATGGAGTACGTCACGGAATTAGGTCCACAGCCACGCCCTTTAGACATTATATCAAACACCCGGGAGGCCTCCCGGAGATTACATTCTCTACAATTACCCAACACCAAAGAAGTACAAATATGAGTGTCCAACAGAAACCCAAGTTTTAAAACCATGCACAAGAACATTTCAGCAGATTGCACAAACCCATTCTTGCATAATGCATTAATTATAGTCCTGTAGTCAATAACACCAAGAAGAAACCCATTGTCTACCATTCTTTTATACACCAAGAATGACAAAAACCCCAAATCCAAACTAGCTAAAGACATCAAAAGACTACTATAACAAGGATAACTCAACCAAAATCCAATCTTTCGCATATTATCAAATGCCTCCATCAGCTTTAGAATCTCAGGTTCACTATTACTGAACTCCTTGATTAACAAAATTATGGCTTTTTGTGCAATCACATACAAATTGGAAGAAGACACCATCAAATTCAACAGAAGAATTCTATTATCAAAGTCATAACAATAAGTAGAATGCTTGCAAACCCACTTGAAAAACCGTACCCCAAGTTCAATGTCGTTGCCGTGAAGCTGTAAAACCTTGGTAGCTGCACATGGGGCCATGTGAGAGACCAGTGACTTAAGAAGATTGTTCCTTTCCCAATTGGGTTGCTTAAGAAAAGCTGATACTCGAGAGGTCGTGTCATCTAAGCTTTCTGGGATTGCTTGGCTGCGTGAAGATTGATATGAAACAGAGGAAAGCGAGGGAGGAAGTTCAAACAAGGAAGGAGCTCTCGAGAGGACGTTTAGGATCTTATTTGTGCGAACCAACATGCAGAGACTGAGGTGTGAGATGAAGATCAACTATTTTTCATTTTGCAAACTGAAAATAAGGGCTGTTTTGGAGGGACGTCTTCGAGTATTTCAAAATATATATAATTTTTTTCTTTTTTATTTCTGTGAGCCTCCTCCACCTAGAAACCCTGTAGCTTGGAGAAGAAGAACATCTTCAGTACAATTTTCTGGCTAATGGGCTTGTCAAATTTGGGTCATAAATTGAACTCGGGCTATACTCAATACAACAATAGCACTCCTCAACTTGGGTCATCGTGGCATCATGATGAGCCCCGTAGTTTAAATTAAATTAAAGTAAAATATGTTTATATATACATACATAAAAAAGAAGCTATTCTCCCATGTTCCTCTATTTTTAGTGTCAAAGTTTGTAAATTATTCTTAAATATATTGTCATGGTTTTTTTAAACAAGCAATAGTCTAAATTATACGAGGATATAGTTTCTCAAAAACACTATTAAGGTGTCATGAGGTCTCGAACTTGAGACCATTAATTTGCAAGTCAATGCCCTTTTTCATTGGTTAGACCCTGTTGGCATATTGCGATGTTTTAGTACTTGCTTTTTTAAGCAAAAGCTCTCCAATCTTGCTGACCACAATGCAAAATGAACAGGGAACTCAAAGCATCATCATTTACAGCAATATGGTAGCAAGAAATTATAACCGCACATCACTGGATGCATTAATACACAACCTTCTCATTTAGCTACATAAATTTGGGCAGTTCTAAGCATCGTATCAACCTAAGGCTCCACAATTATCTTTCCAGTAGCATGCCCATCAATGCTCTTAGCCCAAGCGTCCTCTGCCTTGGTCAGGGGATACTTTGAGTCTATTATTGTCTTGAGCTTCCCTTCTCTCACCAACTTAAGAAGATAATCCAGGTTCTGAGCCTTGGGAGATAAGAGCAGTGGCACCAGTTGCTTCTTGGAAAAGGTAAGTTTTCCCAGAGCAAAGTTCGCTACGGCACTGAGGCCGGGAGTGATATCTATTACCTTACCATTTGTACTCAAATTAGGCTCAAAAGTTGACCAAGGAATGCCAGTTGCACAATGGATCACAGCATCATATTTTCGACCAGATGGACTCTTCAGAGTTGCTCCTTCTGGGGTCTTGTAGTCAATAACCTCATCAGCACCTAGGCTCTTGACCAATTCAAGGTTACGAGCTCCACAAGTGGCTGTCACATGAGTGTTTCCGAGCTTTGCTAGTTGAACTGCATAGAGACCTACACCGCCCGAAGCAGCTGTGATCAGAACGTTTGCTTGCTTACCACTTCCATCAAGCTTGATCCCAGCAGATTGGATAAGGGCCTGGTGAGCAGTGAGACCAGCAACAGGTAATCCTACGGCAGTGGCTGCTGAAACTTCAGGTGGCCTTGCAGCAGTCAAGCTTTCCTTAGTCACGGCAAGCTCAGCTAGTCCGCCTCCATTCTAAAATTCAATATCCATGAACAGACGAAACAGACAAACCGGCTTAGCATGTATCAATTAAATGATGCATGACATATTATAAATGAGACATTCTACCACTTGGATTTCAAATTCAGCACATTGGGAATGGTTTCTACATGCAAAAGTTCAGTTTCATGCCAACTGTAATGACACTAAGGAAAGAGGCACAAAATACCGACGAGGGGTTACTGAGGGTTTACAGACACAAGGATTCTGGTGGATCAATGGATACTACTTTACAAATAGGTAGAAAATTATTCATAGATGTTTTATGGAAAGAATAGCTATATTATGTTCTCAAGTATATAAATGTTCAAGTGAAACGGGGAACATTTTCATGTCAAGTGAACCAAAACATATGGAAACTTACACGAGGATTAACCATAGCTACAACTTTGTCACCAGCTTTGAATTTTTTCACTCCTGGTCCTACCTGTACAACCTCTCCTGCCACATCAGTACCTGTTCCAAATTTCAACAAGGAATATCTTCAGTCAACAGAACAATACTCAGGAAAAGATGGTCCAGTGAAAGTTCAATACATTAGGTTTTAAATCTCATCAAAGAAAATGCATACTCCTTCCCTCCCAAAAACACACGAAGGCCACCCCAGAAGCTATTTTGACCAAATGAATAAGAAAACAGAACATTCAAGTGCAAATTATTAGCATGTTAAGCGTTTACAGAACACTCATCCTACGTTTTCAAGACGAAGCTCAATATAATATTTGGAAAGAAGTATAATTAAAGAGGTGTAAACATGAAAAGCATCCCCTAGACAGCAGAGTGTCTCAAGAAGATAGCAAAACCAAATTACCAGGTATGTGTGGAAATCTGCGAGGCAACAATGGCCACAGCATGCCTTTCTGAACTTTCCAATCAAATGGGTTCAGACTAGCTGCCTCCAATTTCAGCAACACCTCATCTTTGTTTGGATTGGGAATTGGAATTTCAACATGCTGCAATTAGCACCAAAATTGAGCGAGGGCCAATGACTTACAATAATATGTTCTTCAATGCATAAACAAATTGAATGTTTCCCAGTACAAAAGCTAGTCTTGGTCATTCTCAACCACAACCTCAACCCCCTGCCCCCTCCTCCCCCCCTCCCCCAACAGAAAAAAACATGGAAAGGAGAAAACTCAGAAAAGCCTCTCCCTTTATATTTTCCTTCTTAACATTTCAAATATTCAATTACTCTAACAATAACAAGTACTTGAAAATGGACTCATTTCATTACAAGGTTTGGACACCAATTTTCTTATAGTGGAAAAGGGTTTTTCTTCAAGGACAATCAGAGAGTATAATTCAAGAGAAACAAAAGAAAGGAAACTAATTTGACAGAGGGAAACAAAATGAGTAACCTTTAAGCCGGAAGGTCCTCCACCGTAGCCATCATACTGAACCGCATGCATAACATTTTTCGCCATGGCCTCAGTTTTGTTCAGAAGAGTCGACAGAACTTGAAGCTCCTCTCAGATTTTACTAAGCTTGGGTGCACCGTACACCACTGTGAGACATGTGAAATGACTAAATAGCCCACGTCTATCGTGGAACAAACTTATACACGTGTTCTATGTCACACGCAACAGAGAAAATGTGTCGTCTATAAACACATTCACTTCTCTTGACCATCGGAGTAAGAGGAAGACTTTGAGTTATCTTGTTGATGAGGTTGTGCGACAGGAAGGTGAGGAGGAAGAAATAGAATGGTTAGCGGCGGGATGGTATCATAAGATAAATACACATTGACCACAATGGCGTCGTTCCGTGCCTCACCGACTTCAATCTGGCTCGTCGTACTCGAACTTTCCAGATTCGGATCGTTGTGTGGGCTTCACACAGCTGGTATCATTGCTGCAACATTCGGCATGGCCAACCTAGTGGCTCGTCCCTTCGGAGGGTTTGCTTCTGATCGAGCAGCCAGGTACTTTGGCATGAGAGGAAGGCTATGGAGGATGATTGCCAAAAGTCCCACATCGACAAAATAAGTGATCATACGGAGGTTTATAAGGAATAACATGACATTTCCCGTTGCCGAGCCTAGTAGCGTGGGTTTGCAACTAAGTAGGGCATTAAAGTGATTGGATGTTTGATTGAAACCTTCTTAAATGAGGTATAGTGGTCTTCTTAAGTGAGGTATAGTGGTCTTGGACTGTTCATCTAAACCATGATCTTGGTGGTGAAGTCGCACAAAGCACAACCCCAACCCTCGGGGCTAGCAGGGTCCCCCAACCACAAAGGTTGGGTAGCAAGCCTCAAAATGAGTACTTGACTGGGGGTTTGTTTGACCCCACGGACCGAGATCCCGACATGCCTCATTGTGCTGCCTGAGATAGGAACTCATCACACAATCACTTTTTCTCTCCAGCTCCTCCCATTTTCAACCTCTTATTCTTATACAAGTACTTGTTTTTCATCTTTCTTTTGTGTTGGGAGTGGGAGTTATCTACAACAACTATCGTTCTTGAGATCCATTCAAATATGCCTAATCTAGTATTTGTCCCACATCCACTTCAAATATATTTCATTTATTTTTATTTTTTGCTAGGTAGGAACAGAGTAGATTTGTTTCATGATTCATAACGCTTATGCTTTATATTTTCTTATTTATATTTTATTTTTGCTAGTCTCTAAACCCATATTACTTCTTTGGTAACTGATCTTTTTTTAGAGAACCAGATGAATTACTGTGAAATATAATCAACATGAAAATGAACAATAAATCCAAACCTCATTATTTACAACATCGATTCATGATTATAAAAAACCTCACATTAGCGAGGGAGTTTTAGTTCAAGTGATCAAGAGTATTAATCCTGCATTTGAAGTCCTAAGTTTGATTCCCCCTCCTCCTCAATATCGCTTGTATTAAAAAAAACAAAAACAAACTCCACAATATTATATGAATTAATTACAATTTTGGTCATTGGAGTTTGGCTCGAAATAAATTTTAGTCACTGTGATTTTAATTTTCCCGATTTCATCACTGTACTTGCAGTCGTTAACAAATCAAGTCAAAGCCTTCAATTCCATTAGTTTGGTAGGAGCTTTATTGTCCTAAAAATTAAATAAATTTTTAAAATCAAATACATAAATTTAAAAAAGGAAAAAAGAAAAAGACAAAGCCACCCCATTCTAACCTCTCTATCATATCCATCAAATCCCAACGAACCAAAATTGTAATTACCCCATTAATTGCACATAACCATCTGTATCAAACGACTTCCATTATTTCGACCAAAAAACAAACGACTCCCATTAAAGACATGAAGTTTATATCCCACTATAGTTTTCTACTTAAGGCTCCACAATTATCTTCCCAGTTGCATGTCCATCAATACTCTTAGCCCAAGCATCTTCAGCCTTGCTCAGAGGATGCTTCGAGTCGATCACAGTCTTGAGCTTTCCTTCCTTCACTAACTTGACAAGATAATCAAGGTTCTCACTCTTGGCACTCATGAACATTGGCACCAGCTGCTTCTTGGAGAAGGTGAGTGTGTTCTGAGCAATAGCAGCCCAGGTACTTGGACCAGGAGTAATGTTTATAACCTTCCCGTTGGCGCTCAAATTAGGCTTGAAAGTTGACCAGGGAATGCCCGTTATTGCACAATGGACAGCGACGTCATATTTCCTACCAGATGGGCTATTCAGAGCTGCTCCTTCTGGGGTCTTGTAGTCAAGAACCTCATCTGCCCCCAAGCTCTTGATAAATTCAATATTACGAGCACCGCATGTGGCTGTAACATGAGTGTTTCCGAGCTTTGCTAGTTGGACTGCATAATGACCCACACCACCAGAGGCAGCAGTAATCAAGATGTTCTTTTTCTGGCCACTTCCGTCGAGCTTAAGCCCTGCAGCTTGGGTGAGAGCCTGGAGAGCTGTGAGACCAGCAATAGGTAAGCCTGCACCTTGAGCTGCTGAAACTTCAGGTGGCCTGGCAACTGTCAAGCTCTCACTAGCTGTGACAAACTCAGCCAGTCCACCTCCATTCTAACAAACAAATGAAATTTATAAGTGAAACTTGTTGCCAAGTGCAATAAATTCTTCAAGAAGGAAAGAGATTAACCAAAGGAATACAATGAAGGCTTACAGCGAGGGTGAGATATGCCACAACTTTGTCGCCCGGTTTGAACTTTTGGACCCCTTTTCCAACTTCTACAACCTCTCCAGCAACATCAGTAGCTGTTCCCAATATTTTCATTAGCCAATCAATGTTAACAAACCAACCTACCAGAGCCTAAGACTCACAAACACTGCTTGTATAAATCACAAAACTCTTCTCGTAACATAGGAATGATGTTCACCCATTTTAAAAATTGAAGCACAAATTTGTTTCAGAATCCAAGTAATTTATCTACCTCAACTCTCCCAATACTTCCACAAATGAATAAAAGTCTCAATGAGAGATTTTATCGAGAGTCGAGACGCATTAATCTGTAACCATTATGATCACTTCTTCAAAGAGGGCAACTCTTTGGGACACAGAGGGTATGCTTTATGTTCCAATGATGTAGTAATTAATAAAAATCAGGCAGTTTATTGATCAGCATTTTGCAGCTTATATGCTACCAATTGAATGACATGAATATAAGAAGGGGTTTAGGGGAAAACCAGGCAAAACAGAACTTACCAGGTGTATGAGGGAATTTGGGTGGAAAAAAAGGCCGCATCTTGCCTTTCTGAATTCTCCAATCAACCGGGTTTATAGTAGCTGCTTCCAATTTCAGCAAGATCTCACCTTTCTTTGGAGTGGGCACTGGAACCTCTACATGCTGCACCAAACATAAAATATATTTAAAACAATTTATTAAAGTCTTTTTACACTTGTATGATTTCGTCCATGGATTTATTATATTGCTTTCGAAAAGCAAAGAAGAGGCACAAGCAAGTAAACATTCAACACAACCCTGAAGCATTTTCTCACTGGTTGTTCAGTTTCTCTTTTTTCCCTTTGGGATTTCAAGGCCATACAAATTTTTGATGCACTCAGTTTTAAGCCTGAACTCTCCCACCACTCCAAAAGTTGACGCATTTTTTTTCATTTTTTTTACACACTAGAGAATATTAAGCGGTTAACAAAATGTCAGAAGGAAAAATCACAGCAGGGAATGAAATATGAGAGAATTCTACCAAATAACATTGATAGAAGAAACAAGTAGATAAAGAAGGAACCTTTAAACCAGAAGCTCCCCCACCGTAGCTGTTGTACTGAACCGCACGCATAAGCTTTGTCGCCATGGCTGCCAATGTCATACCCTGAGTCAGCAGAGACAGACGAGAAAGGAAAGATCCTAGATTTTACGAGAGAGAGAGAGAGAGAGAGAGAGAGAGAGAGAGAGAGAGAGAGAGGACGTGTTACTACATTCTTGTGGAATGGTTTTGACGTATATATAGGCTGTGCTTTCTTTGAAAAGTGCTATAGGTTGTGCTTTCTTTGAAAAAGTTTTGATTTTCACAATGTGTTGGCCGAAAATTGAATCGAACTTAAAAGAAAAATTTTGGAAAATTCTGATTGCCGACTTGAACCAAACTTTTACAATTCGATTTTTAGAGGCAAGTTCTACTCATGAGCTCGTATTAGTATCACAGCATCATCATACCAGTGGCACTCAAATTAGGCTGAAAAGTTGACAAAGGAATGCCTAATGGATCACATCACAGCATCATATTTTGGACCAAATGGAGATGGACTCTTCTCTTGTAGAGCTGCTTGCTCCTTCTGAGGTCTTGACCAAGTCAAGGCTACGAGCTCCACAAAAGTGCGAGTGGCTGTCACATGAGGTACGTGTGAAAATTGGCGAGGCAAAAAAGTCCACGGCATAGCTTTCTCAGACTTTCCATTCCAATCAAATGGGGTTGTCTTTAGACTAGCCCGCCTCCAATTTCAGCAACACCTATCCCTTGATCTTTGTTTGGATTTGGAGTTGGAATTTCAACATGCTGCAATTAGCACCAAAATTGATTAAGGGCCAATGACTTAACAATAATATGTTCTTCAATGCATAAACAAATTGTATGTTTCCTTTCCAAGTACAAAAGCTAGTCTTGGTCATTCTCAGCCACAATCTCCACCACACCCCTACGAGAAGAAAGAAGAACTTGCATGTCATGGGGATAGCACTGTTTTGCTATCCCCAATCAATCACGTTATTCCACGTGTGATATGTGACATGCAAGTTTTTCTCCACCCGTACCCCTTCCCTCAACAGAAAAACATTAGCAAAAGGGAAGGAGAAAACTCAGAAAAGACTCTCCCTTTATCTTTTCCTTCATAACATTTCAAATTTTGATTTACTCAAACAAGTACTTGAAAAAAATCACCATGTGAAAATGGGTTTCATTTAATTTTCATATGGTTTATTGTGGACAAGTTGATCGTGTAATGTAAAAGGGTTTTTCTTCAAGGACAAACAGAGAGTATAATTCAAGAGAAACAAAAGGAAACTAATTTGACAGAGGGAAACTTTTATTTAGAAATTGAAGAAATGTAAATTTGAATAACCTCTAAGCCAGAAGGTCCTCCGCCACCACAGCCTGCATGCATAACATTTTTCACCATAGCCTCCCTCATTTTTTTTCTCCCACCCTAAGCCTCCCTCAGTTTTGTTCAGAAGAATCGACAGAACTTGAAACTCGTCTCAGATTTTATGAAGTAAGCTTGCGTTGTTCCTAGTGCGTAATTAGCCCACGTCTATAGTAAAACAGAGTAGATTTGTTCATGATTCATAATGCTTCTGCTTTCTATTTTTTATATATTTATATTTCATTTGATTATATCAACCATCGTCATCTCTCTCTAGAGTCTAAACCCATATTACTGGTTTGGTAACCGAGTAAATTCGTTTTTGAGAGAATCATATGAATTTACTGTGAAGTATAATCAACATGAAAATGAACAATATATAATCCAAACCTCAATATTTACAATATTGATTCAGGATTATAAAACCCCACATTATTATATAATTTTATATTACACAAAACATAACCATCTGTATCAAACAACTTCCATCAAGTACATGAGGTTTATATCCCACTATAGTTTTAGTTTGTCTACTTAAGGCTCCACAATTATCTTCCCAGTTGCATGTCCATCAATACTCTTAGCCCAAGCATCTTCAGCCTTGCTCAGAGGATGCCTCGAGTCAATCACAGTCTTGAGCTTTCCTTCCTTCACTAACTTGACAAGATAATCAAGGTTCTCACTCTTGGCACTCATGAACAGTGGCACCAGCTGCTTCTTGGAGAAGGTGAGTTTCTTCAGAGCAAAAGTAGCAAAGGCACTTACACTAGGAGTAAGGTCTATAACCTTCCCGTTGGCGCTCAAATTAGGCTCGAAAGTTGACCAGGGAATGCCCGTTGCACAATGGACCACGGCATCATATTTCCTACCAGATGGACTATTCAGAGCTGCTCCTTCTGGGGTCTTGTAGTCGAGAACCTCATCTGCCCCCAAGCTCTTGACAAATTCGATGTTACGAGCACTGCACGTGGCTGTAACATGAGTGTTTCCGAGCTTTGCTAGTTGGACTGCATACTGACCCACACCACCAGAGGCAGCAGTAATCAATATGTTCTTTTGCTGGCCAGATCCGTCAAGCTTGACCCCTGCAGCTTGGGTGAGAGCCTGGTGAGCTGTGAGACCAGCAACAGGTAAGCCTGCACCTTCAGCCGCTGAAACTTCAGGTGGCCTGGCAACTGTCAAGCTCTCACTAGCTGCAGCAAATTCAGCCAGTCCACCTCCATTCTAACAAACAAATGAAATTTATAAGTGACACTTCCTCGAGAAATGGAGAGCTTAACCAAAGGAATAAAATGAACACTTACAGTGTGGGTGAGGAATGCCACAACTTTGTCGCCCGGTTTGAACTTTTGGACCCCTTGTCCAACTTCTACAACCTCCCCAGCAACATCAGTAACTGTTCCCAAGATTGTCATTAGCTAATCAATGTTAACAAACCAACCTATCAGCCTATGACTCACAAAACAACTCTTCTAACAATATATGAATGATATTCTTCCACTTAAAAATCAATGCACAAATTTGTTTAACTTTTCTACCTCAACTCTTCCAATACTTCCACAAATGAATAAAGTCTGAATGAGAGATTTTACTGAAATATATTAATCCATAACCATCATGATCACTTTTCAATATTCACTTCTTCATAGATGGCAATCTCTTTCGAGACACAGAGGGTATGCTTTATGTTCCAATGATGCAGTAATTAATCAAGATCAAAAAGTTTATCAATCAATACGTTCCCAGAAAGTTAACTGTTTCTAGGAACAGGCAAATTCTAGTAGAACTTAACAAAATTGAGTAAATTCACATCACCAAAAACTACAGGCAGTGATAAAAGATTTGCAAAAACAAGCCCAGCAGTCTGTAAAGGAGGCAGGTAAAAAACTGGAGTCTTCAATTCTAGTCACCGAGAGAGCATTCAATTTTTTATTCATTTTTCAGTTGAGTTTGATACCATGTTGGTCATCCCAGAAACACCGGTGTGCCAAAAAGGCATAACCTTTTTTTTGGTGTTGTGGAATAATTTATATATTATAATGTCAAAGATGCATAGATCTGAAATAGACAACTACAAACACCAGGCAAAACAGCACTTACCAGGTATATGAGGGAATTTGCGTGGCAAAACAGGCCGAAACATGCCTTTCTGAATTTTCCAATCAACTGGGTTTAAACTAGCAGCTTCCAATTTCAGCAAGATATCACCTTTCTTTGGAGTGGGGACTGGAACCTCCGCATGCTGAAAACAAACATAAATTATAAACAATTTTTAAGTTCTCTACAAGTAAGTAAATATTCAACACAACCCTGAAGCATTTTCTCATTGGTTGTTCTGTTTCTCGTTTTTCCTTTTGGATTTCGTGGCCAAAAATATTTTTGATGCAATCAATTTTAAGCCTGAACTCTCCCACCCACCACTCTAAAAGTTAATACAGTTTTTTTTTCTTCTTTTACACACCACAGAATATTAAGCGGTTAACAAAATACCAGAAGCAAAAATCACAGCAGGAATGAAAGATGAGAGTAAACAAGTAGAAAAAGAAAGAACCTTTAAACCAGAAGCTCCTCCACCGTAGCTGTCGTACTGAACCGCATGCATAAGCTTCGACGCCATGGCTGCTGCCATAACCTGAGTCGGCAGAGACAGAAGAGAAAGGAAAGATCCAAGATTTGAACAGAGAGAGAGAGAGAGAGAGAGAGAGAGAGAGAGAGGAAGCGTTACTAGATTCTTGTGGAATGGTTTTGACGTAGAGGCCCTTTGACGTATACCACACGTGGATGCATCTCAAGTTGCCAACTGTAATATTAAATAAAATGACGGAAATACCCTGTCATTTTTTATGTATGCTAGAGATTGTGCTCCCCCGAAAGTTTTGATTTTATAATGTGTAGGTCGACAATTGAATCAAAAAATTTATTCATTTTTTTCCAAGTTCTGATTGCCGCTTTGAATCAAATTTTTACAAACCGATTTTTAGGGGAAAGTTCTACTCATGAGCTCGTATTAGTATCAGAGCCTAGTTTCACTCAAGAATACCTTACAATTCTTGAATTTCTCAACAAAATAAAGAAAAAGGCACAAAGTATTAATACGTTGTTCTAATGCACATGAAATTTACAGTCCCAAAAAAAGTATATGAAGTTTACAATCCTTAATATAAGTACATGTACTTCACAATTTGAAGATATATTATTTTGGCTACCTAAGGCTCCACAATGATCTTCCCAGTAGCATGGCCATCAATACTCTTAGCCCAAGCATCTTCAGCCTTGCTTATAGGATGCTTTGAGTCGATCACCGTCTTGAGCTTTCCTTCCTTCACCAATTTAACAAGATAATCCAAGCTCTCAGCCTTGGGGATCATGAGCAATGGCACCAAGGACTTCTTGGAGAAAGTGAGTTTCTTTAAAAGAAATGTAATGAAAGAACTTGCATTTGGAGCAATGTCTATAACTTTCCCTTTTACACTCAAATTAGGCTCAAAAGTTGACCAAGCAATGCCGGTTGCACAGTTAATCACAGCATCGTATTTCCGCCCAGACGGGCTCTTCAGAGCTGCCCCATCCGGGGTCTTGTAGTCAAGAACTTCATCTGCCCCTAAGCTCTTAACCAATTCAACGTTACGAGCTCCACAGGTGGCTGTGACATGAGTGTTTCCGAGCTTCGCTAGTTGGACTGCATAGTGTCCAACGCCACCAGAGGCAGCAGTGATCAATATGTTCTTCTGCTTGCCAGTTCCGTCAAGCTTGATCCCTGCAGATTGGGTGATAGCCTGGTGAGCCGTGATGCCAGCAATAGGTAAGCCTGCACCTTCAGCTGCTGACACTTCAGCTGGCCTGGCAACCATGAATCTCTCATTACTTGAAGCAAACTCAGCCAGTCCACCTCCACTCTATCAATTATGTAATATCACAACAGACATTGTGAGGGCATATATGACATCATTAAGTACCAAGAACATGAATTTGTTATGTGGAAGAAATCCTAATCAGAAACAAGCAAAGGAATAAAATGGCACTTACAAAATGGCTGAGCAATACCACAACTTTGTCACCCACTTTGAACTTTTTGGCTCCTTGTCCAACCTCTACAATCTCCCCAGCCACATCAGTTGCTGTTCCACATAATGCCACCAACCAAATCACAAAACAAGTCATGTCTTTCACCATAAGAAGACGAAAATTGATGCGTAAGTTTCAGAATCAACTGTAACTTGGGATAAGCAGAAGCCTGTTTGCCAACATGTTTATGCACAAAACTGAAAAATTATGCACTCATTACAAATGTCAACAAAAACGAAAACAAACACAATCACAAACCAGAGTCAAAACAGAATTACCAGGTATTTGAGGGAATTTTCCTGGGAAGAGAGGCCGCAACTGGCCCTTCTGAATTTTCCAATCAACTGGGTTTAGACTGGCTGCTTCCAATTTCAGCAAGACCTCATTTTTCTTCGGGGTTGGGATTGGAACCTCGACATGCTGCAACAAACATAACATTTACATAACAATTTGTAAAAAGTTGCTCCTTTATTGCTGTTAATCCAAGCAAGTGATGGAAACTAAAAGAAGAATAGGAGCAGATAAAGAAGGAACCTCTAAACCAGAAGGTCCTCCACCATAGCTGTCGTATTGAATTGCATGCATAAGCTTGGCCGACATGGCTGATGATACACAGAGACAGATTGACAGAGAGAGACAGAGTTGCGAGATTTCTGAAATTGGGTTCCTTGAGTTTTATGGTACCCCATGTCACATAAATGACAAACACTAAGGACGCTCATTGTTTTCTTCGTTTTATTTTTTGTTTCTTTTTATTTATTTAGTTATATATAATACAAAAAGTAGAATAATTGGATTGTGTCCGATGCTATAAACCAGAACTTGGTTTTCTTGAGAAGTCATGATGATGATAATTTTTTTATAAAAAAAATACAAGTGATAATTTATACGAATAAATTAATCTGTTTACGAGGTGAGGAACTCAAACTTGGGTGTACATGAGCAACTGTCCTGCCCAATTGACCTAGCCCACATTGCAACAATGATCAAGATTAATAGTGTGGTGTTTGAGCATTTTGTTTGATTAGTGATATATTCTAATTAATATCCCATATAAAACTAGCAGTTGAAAAGGAGCATTTATCCCAAATCTTCTCATTTACAATATCCAATCATGAATAAAACCAAAAAGTCCACACATTATTATATTAACACCCTTATTCTGTTGCACATGAATTTTAATACAATCCCAAAATAAATAAAAATCATGAGGTTTAAACTCCCAAGATATTTTGCCTAAGGCTCCACAATGATCTTCCCAGTGCATTGGCTATTGATTCTCTTAGCCCAAGCATCTTCAGCCTTGCTTAGAGAATGGTTTGAATCAATCAGAGTCTTGAGTTTTCCTTCCTTCACCAACTGAACAAGACAATCCAAGTTCTCAGCGTTGGCATTTATCATCAGTGGCACCAGCCTCTTATCGGAGAAAGTGATTTTCTTTAGAAGAAAAGTAAACAAGGAACTTGCACCAGGAGTAAGGTCAATGACCTTCCCTCTTGCACTCAAATTTGGCTCAAAAACTGACCAAGGAATGGCTGCGGATGCACTGTGGATCACGAAATCATATTTTCGACCCGACGGGCTCTTAAGAGCTTCCCCCTCAGTTGTCTTGTAGTCAAGAACCTCATCTGCCCCTAAGCTCTTCACCAATTCAAGGTTTCTAGCTCCACAAGTGGCTGTTACATGAGTGTTTCCAAGCTTTGCTAGTTGGACTGCATAGAGACCAACACCGCCGGCGGCACCAGTGATCAGTATGTTCTTGAGCTGGCCAGTTCCATCAAGCTTGATCCCTGCGGCTTTGGTGAGAGCCTGGTGAGCTGAGAGACCAGCAACAGGCAAGCCTGCACCTTCAGCTGCTGAAACTTCAGGTGGCCTAGAAACTACTGATTTCTCTTTAGCTGCAGCAAACTCAGCCAGCCCACCTCCATTCTATGACAAGAGACAAAAAAATGAGGCCAAAAATTAAGAAGCAGATAAATTTTATCTGTAAAACTTTTAACCATACACAAGTATATCTTCAAGCAAAGGTGAGTGGTGCTTACACTGTAAGTAAGTAAGGCCACAACTTTGTCACCAACTTTGAACTTTTGAACTCCTTGTCCAACCTCTACAATCTCCCCAGCCACATCGGTAACTGTTTTCCATAATCCCATCATCAGCCAGAGATAACAAATCAAAAGCCTCCCAGCCTAAAACTTGAACACATATTGAATGCAGAAATGACAAAACAGGTCATCATTTTTCAGCTTGGGAACAATATTTGTTTCAGAATCCAACTAATCCAACTCTCTCCCAACCAAGACTTCCACATATGAATCAAATGTAAATGAGACATATATGAAACACAATATGAACTATTATCCTAATTTCTTACAATTTTCACATAGGCTTAAATCTGACATGTATACCACCCAAAAAAAAAAAAAAAAAAAAAAAAAAAAAAAAAGTGCAGACCACTGGCAAAGGAAGAATTACCAGGCGTGTGAGGCAATTTTCTTGGAAGAAAAGGCCGTGCCATGCCTTTCTGAATTTTAAAATCACCTGGATTTAGACTAGCTGCTTCCACTTTCAGCAAAACCTCGTCTTTCTTCGGAGTGGGGATTGGAATCTCAACATGCTGCAATAAAACATAACAAAAGTATAGCAGTTGATTAAGGTATAACTCCAGACATAGACAAGGAACACAAAAGGCCTAAAAGAAGCAAGCTGCAAAACAGCAAGAAACAAGTAGTACAATGTCTCAGAGTCTTAAATCCATTTCTCTTTAAAGCAAGCAGCACAAGCAACTCTCTTCACCAGTTCAGCTCAACATTTTTCACTGGTTGTAAATTCTCTCCCTTTTTAGGATCTCAATTTCGAACATATTTTGATGCACTCAATTTGAAATTGAGACGAATAGAATAGAAAATGTCAGAAGCAAAAAGAAATAAAAATTCAAAGACTTCTACAAGAACATTGGCAGAACACATGAAGGAAAAGGAGCATATAATCTAAGAACCTTTAAACCAGAAGGTCCTCCACCATAGCTTTTGTACTGGACTGCATGCATAAGCTTTGCCACCATGGCTTCCAAACTCGGAGACAGAGAGTGCTAGAATTGTGAGAGACAAATTTTTTCTGTGACAATGCAATACATTTATACCAATGAAAACATCATGTGAACTGCCATACATTATACTGTAACGTGTAGAGTTTATAAACTATTGTGCTCCTCAAATGTCAACCTATGAGGAATAATATTGGAGCATTTTGTTTGATTAATGATTGTCTCATAGTTTACAAATTTGAACTTGATTTAATAATTTAATAATTCTATGAAAATTTTATTCCAATCACATATAAAATAAGAACACAAGAGAATAAAGCAATTGTATTCTGAATTTGTTGTTCTATATTGCATATTTATCCACAATGGCTAGGCTTGTTTTCCAAGCAAAATCTAACTCAGAATTAATAAACATTAGTTCTTGTTCTTATTCTTAATTTGCAAAGGACTATTGGTACATTAATATTTTATGATGCAAACATCTTTTACAACCAATTAAGGAGGTATTTACACATAATCAGAGCATTCTCATATCCTAAAGCATCCTTGTAAATGTTCGTTAGTCACCGTGGTAGAAATTATATCAGATAAACCATAAAAAAACTCTGGGAAATCTGTGAGTAACCCATCAAGCCAAGCCTTTGTTTTCTCCTTGAAATTTTCTTTGCTTTCTTTTACAAAATCAAAGAAAACAGAGATTAGAACTATACAATCCCAAAATAAGTACATGAAGTTTACAATCCAAAGATACTTTATCTACTTAAGGCTCCACAATAATCTTCCCAATAGCATGCCCATCTATACTTTTACCCCAAGCATCTTCAACCTTGGCTAGAGCATGCTTTGAGTCAATCACTGTCTTGAGTTTTCCTTCTTTTACCAGCTTAACAAGATACTCCAGGTTCTCAGCCTTGGGATTCATGAGCAGCGGCACCAGCTGCTTCTTGGACAAGGTGAGTGTGTTTAGTACCAAAGTAAGCAAGGCGCTTGGACCGATAGTAATGTCTATAACCTTCCCTTCTGCACTTAAATTAGGCTCAAAACTTGACCAAGGAGTGCCGGTTGCACAGTGTATCACGGCATCATATTTTCGACCAGATGGACTCTTAAGAGCTGCTCCTTCTGGGGTCTTGTAGTCAAGAACCTCGTCTGCCCCTAAGCTCTTCACCAAATCAATGTTCCGAGCTCCACAAGTGGCTGTGACATGGTTGTTTCCAAGCTTTGCTAGTTGGACTGCATAGTGACCTACACCACCAGAGGCAGCGGTAACGAGTATGTTCTTAAGCTCACCAGTTCCATCAAGCTTGATATTTGCAGCTTGAGTGAGAGCCTGGAGAGCTGTAAGACCGGCAATAGGTAATCCCGCGCCTTCAGCTGCCGAAACTTCAGGGGGCCTAGCAACTGTCAATCTCTCACTAGCCACAGCATACTCAGCCAATCCACCTCCGTTCTTTCAAAACATATGATATGACAACAGAGATAAAGCAAGGCAGAGATAATATCAGAAACAAACACATGAGTTTTGTATGTGAAACTTCTAACCAGAAGGAATAAATTGAGCACTTACAAAATAGTTTAGCAATGCCACAACTTTTTCACCTTCTTTGAACTTTTTGACTCCTTGTCCGGCCTCTATAACCTCTCCAGCGACATCATTAACTGTTTTCGACAATCTCATCAGCCAAACTTAACAAACCAGCCTACCTGCTATGACTCAAAGACATCTTATGCACATAAATTACAGAACAACTCATCTTTTTCTGCACAGAATAGAAACTATATTCATCTTTTCAGACCATAGGCAAAACAGAATTACCAGGTATGTGAGGGAGTTTGCCTGGGAAAACAGGCCACAATATCCCTTTCTGAATTTTCCAATCAGATGGATTTAGACTAGCTGCTTCCAATTTCAGAACAACCTCATCTTTTTTTGGAGTGGGAAATGGAACTTCTACATGCTGCAACAAACATAAAAATCTATGAGGCATCCTTGGGCATCTTTAAATTGTCATCCAGAAGAGGGTTTTCAGATACTTTTGCCTAACCCAGAGACCTTCATCCATCTGACAAATTCTCCAACCAATTTTAGCCAACATTGCTTAATTTTACAAATAAGGGCATATTAGCACAGACAAATAGAAATGTCTCAAAAGTCTCAAAGTCCCTTGGCTTTATTGCTTTTTAAAGCAATCAGCAAAACAAAACAAGTACATATTTCCAGCACCAAGAAATCTTTTCACAACTTCAATTCAACTATGAAACATTTCCTTGCTGGTGGTTCATTCTCTCTCAAAATATAATAGTGATGGAAAATTGAACAAAAAGAGCAGATAAATAAAGAACCTTTAAACCAGAAGCTCCTCCACCATAACAGTTGTACTGAACTGCATGCATAAGTTTGGGAGCCACGGCTGCCATTATCGGAGACAGAGAGATTAATGAGAGTGGTGAGAATGAAATTTTTGCAGCACCATCAATTGTTATACTGTGACTTGCTGAATTTATCAATTGTTAGAAAATTTTGGTTCTCCTCAGAAGTCAACGATGAGGTTTGAGCATTTTGTTTGATTAAGGATTATTTCATAGTATAAAATTGAACTCTCCACAGTACAATAATGCTATAAAAATTATATTCCAAATCATACATAAAAAAAACAAGAACACAGAGAGATTAATTAAAGAAAGCAATTGAATATCCTAAGTGTAGTTTTGTCTCATATATGAGGCAGCTTCACATTGTACTGAACAAATAATCACAAATATAAGCAGTGCAATAAAAAATACTACAGTCAATCGTGTGTTCCTAATTTCGAGCTGTTAATGTATCTAGGCCTTATTGTAAATCCACGCGCTTCTATGACCTAAGCGTGTGACTGACTGTAGCACTCCTCTGAGGCAACATGGGAGACCCTCACAAATAGCATGAAATACAACAAATTACCCACAAAAAATGGTTCTTAATTATTTATTAGTTATTCCTATACCTTTTCAAGTAATCTAAGACAGATTTTTAGTTGGCATGATGCTTTTCGAAATCTCAAAATTGATACACATTTGTTCATATACTTTATGAGCTACACATCTTTTACAACCAATTGAAGAGGTATTTGCAAATAATCAAGCATTCTCTGCAACATATCCAAAAGCATCCTTGCAATTGTTCCACAAATCAGCCACTATGGTAAAAACCATCTCAGACAACCCTTCAGAAACCTCTGGAACATCTGTGAGCAACCCATCAAGTGAAGTCTTTGTTTTCTCCATGAGATCTCCAATCGCAGAAGTTGTAACTACAGCAGACCCTGTGAGAATTTCTTTTAGATAATCAAAGATAGTAGAAATTAGAGCACTTATTGCTTCCATTAGAAGGCCCACAAAATACTCAGAACATGACTTAATGACCTCTGTGACTTGTTGTAATGTGCCATGGATGGCTTGGCCTGGTCCTCTGAATCCATGGATCAACAGCACCAGAATATGGGCTGTACCAGAGAAGATCAACCACGAAACCAAGTTCGATATGAAGCTCAATGCAAAGAAGAAGAGTTTGAGAAGGAACACAACCATTTTTGTTGATTGGTTTGAGTCTTGGGATAGCAAGCAGTGCAGGAAACAACTTGGTTTGTTATATATATATGTGTGTACAGAGTTGAGGTCACAAGTTTACTAATGAAATGGGAAACCCATTAGTTTAATTTGTCTGTTCTAGTTTTATAAGGAGCAGTTGTTGTATCACCATCTTCTGGGAAATTTCAATGTCATTAAGAAATAACATTGGAGCTTTCTTAGAGACTAATTCTAACTAAAGATAATAGTAATTAATTAAGTAAAAAAGGGTTTTCAAAGTTATGTTTCTGGGATTTCCACGTCTGTGGATAGTTATCTTATATCTGCTTATAAATAAATCCACTCCCTTGACTTTGAGAGTCAAATGAGAGAGAGTCTTACCCAAAACATAATTCAATCAAGTGGGTGTTTGCAACTAAGTAATTATGAGTTGTCTCACACATAATGTAAGCCATGGAGCAACAGAAACATCTGAAATACTGTCAAATACTACTAACAGTTGAAAATGAACATTTAGTCCCAAACCTTCTCATTTACAGTATCCAATGATGCACAAAACCAAAAAGAAAAAGAAAAATCCACACACTATTAAATACCTTATTCTTTTGTACATGAGGTTTACTACAATTGCAAAAAGTTTCATGAAGTTTACAATCCTAGGAAATTTTGTCTACTCAAGGCTCCACAATGATCTTCCCAGTGCATTGGGTATTGATTCTTTTAGCCCAAGCATCTTCAGCCTTGCTCAGAGGGTAGTTTGAGTCAATTACTGTCTTGAGTTTTCCTTCCTTGGCCAACTTAACAAGACAATCCAAGTTCTCAGCCTTGGCACTTATAGCCAGTAGCACCAGCTTCTTCTTGGAGAAAGTGAATTTCTTCAGAACAAAAGTAAACAGATTACTTGCACCAATAGTAAGGTCTATTACCTTCCCTCTTGCACTCAAATTTGCCTCGAAGACTGACCAAGGAATGGCTGATGATGCACTGTGGATCACAACATCATATTTTCGACCTGACGGGCTCTTCAGGGATGCCCCTTCAGGTGTTTTGTAGTCAAGAACCTCATCTGCCCCTAAGCTCTTCACCAATTCAATGTTCCGAGCTCCACAGGTGGCTGTAACATGAGTGTTTCCAAGCTTTGCTAGTTGGACTGCATAGAGACCGACACCACCGGCGGCACCAGTAATCAGTATGTTCTTTAGCTGGCCAGTTCCATCAAGCTTGATCATTGCATCCTTGGTGAGAGCCTGGTGAGCTGTGAGACCAGCCATAGGTAAGCCTGCACCTTCAGCTGCCGAAACTTCAGGAGGCCTAGCAACTACTAGTTTCTCTTTAGCTACAGCAAACTCAGCCAGTCCACCTCCATTCTATCAACATGCAACAGTTCATATGATCAGTAACAGAAACAGAAGTTTTATATCTTCAACCAAGGCATCATGATTGGAATAAAATGAGCACTTACACCAAAGCTCAGTAATGCCACAACTTTGTCTCCCACTTTGAACTTCTTGACTCCTTGTCCAACCTCTACTATCTCTCCGGCTACGTCGGTAACTGTTCCCCATAATGTCATCAGCCAAAGTTAACGTCAACAAATCAACCAACCGGCCTAAGATTCGAAGACACTGAATGCATAAATCACAAAACTGATCTCATCTTTGTAGTTGCTCATATGGGTACCCAAAAAGCATTTAAAATGTTTTATTTTTATAGTTACCACTGATTGGGGCAGCATAAGCAGACGATGTTTATTTTTATAGTTACCACTGATTGGGGCAGCATAAGAGGACGATGGTTTGCTAACATGTTCGTGGACTGAAAAGTTATTCACTCAGTAACTCTCAATTACAAGCCAGCATGTGCTGTTGTGTCCTAATTTCTGTTTACAAATGTCGAATAAGCATAAATCTGACATACTAACAAGGCATTGTCTAGCAAAGAAAAAATTGTTAAGTGCAGACCACTGGAAAAAGAGAGTTACCAGGTGTGTGAGGCAATTTGCGTGGGATAAAAGGGCGCACCAGGCCTTTCTGAATTTTAAAATCACTTGGATTCAGACTAGCTGCTTCTGTTTTCAGCAAAACTTCATCTTTCTTCAGAGAGGGGATTGGAATCTCAACATGCTGCAACAAAAACAACACATATAACAGTTTACTAAGGCAGCTCCAGCAAGAAACCAACACAGGGAAGGACAAAGAAAACCAGAAAAACCAAGCAAGGCTAACAATATAGAACAAAGTCTAAAAGAAACAAGTAGTCCAATGTCTCAAAGTCTTAAAAGCCCCGTCCCATGGCTGTATTGCTCTTTAAGCAAGCAGCACAAACAACTACATACTCACAGCACCAAAAAGTATTTTCACAAGTTCAGATAAACCGTGATACACTTTCTCTTTAGCATATTAATATCAGACATATTTTTTATGCAGTAAACTCTTAAAATAACTAAATGTGAAACTAAGATGTCAGAAGCAAAAATAAAAAAAACAAAAAACAAAAATCCAGGAATCCTACAAAAGCATTGGTAAAAAAAATATAAAGAAAAGGAGCAGATTCACAAGGAACCTTTAAACCAGAAGGTCCTCCACCATAGCTTTTGTACTGAACCGCATGCATAAGCTTTGCCGACATGGCTGCCAAACTCCGAGACTGAGAGGGTGAGAATTGTGAGGGAGAAATTTTTTAAATGCACCACCAAGTGAACCCTATCTATATACCAACGCCCCCCATCATGTGAACTGCATATATTATACTGCAATTTGCTCAGTTTATAAATTGTTGGAAAACTTCGTGCCGCATGAGAAGTCAACCTTCAAAATTGTTGTATTGCAACCTTCGTGTGATTGATGATTATCTCATTTACAAAATTGAACTTTTTGATTGTCAGTACAGTAATCTATGAAAATAGTAGTTCAATCACATATAAAATAATAACAGATTTAGAATAAAGCCTTTGTATTCAGAACTTGTTGTTCTATATGTATCTATAGGGCTTGACTTGGTCATCAAGCAAAATCTAACCCAGCCGCAGACTATATTCCAGAATCTCCTCTTCCATAACTTTGGTTTGCTTAATAAGTCAACGTTGAGGTTTGAGCAATTTGTTTGATTAAAGGGTTATTTCATAGTATAAAATAATGTTAGGAAAATTATATTCTAAATCATACATATAAAACAAGAACACAGAGAGAACAAAGCTAACAATTGAATATCCTATGTTTGTAATTTGGTCTCGTACTTGAGCCATCTTCACATTGCACTGACAAATCCTCACACATATAAGCAATCAAGTACGACCGTGAATCTAGTGCTACTATTTCTAGATGTTAATTTATGTAGACCCTGTTGTAGAATCCACATGCATTTATGGTTAGAAATCACTTAAGCGGGTGAATGATTGACTGTAGCACTCCTCCAATGTAACATGGGGGTTCAAGTTAACCCCCACACATAGCATAAAATACAACGAATTACCTGCAAAGTTGGTTCTTCCTATACCTTTTCTAGTAATCTAAGACAGTATTAGTTGGTATGATGATCTCAAATGTTATGCCCATTTGTTCTTACACATTTTTACAACCAATTGAAGAGGTATGTACAAAAATAATCAAGCATTCTCCGCAACATATCCAAAAGCATCCCTGCAATTGTTCCACAAATCAGCCACCATGGTAAAAATCATCTCAGAAACCTCTGGGAAATCAGTGAGCAACCCGTCAAGCAATTCAAGCGAAGTCTTTATTTTCTCCATGAGATCTCCAATTGCAGAAGTGGTAACTCCAGCAGACCCTGTGACACTTTGTTTTAGATAATCAAAGAAAGCTGAGACTAGAGCACTTATTGCTTCCAATACAAGGCCCACAAAGTACTCAGAACATGACCTGATGACCTCTGTGACTTGTTGTAATGTGCCATGGATGGCTAGGCCTGGTGCTCTGAATCCATGGATTAATAATACTAGAACACGAGCAGTAGCAGAGAAGATCAAGCCCAAAACCAAGCTCGATACGAAGCTCAATGCAAAGAAGATGAGTTTGAAAAGGAACACAACCATTTTTGCTGATTGGTTTGAGTCTTTTTGCAGGCAGCAGAGATTATATATATGTACGTGTTTGATTGAACCTTGAACAGAGTTGAGGTCACAAAGGTTATAGCTTATACGCCATGTTAATTGTTTACCGGTGAAATGGGAAACCCATATTAGTTTAATTTGTTTGCGTGTAATTTTTATAAGAAATACGAATGGAACTTTTACAATGACCGATTCTAACTAAAGCTAAAGAAAATAGTAATTAATTGAATCAATTAATTCAAATTCATATTCGCTTACCCAAAACACAATTAAATAAGTATTAATCTGCGGTTTTGGATCCATGATTGCTCAACACTTGAGCATCTCTTCTTTGCCTTCATTCGGGTGAACATGTTGAAAAAGATTTGTGTACAGAATTCAACTGATTTTCAGAAGAAACTTCCAAAATCCAAAATGACAATTAACCCAGAAGAGATTTCAAGAAATGGCATCAGCCCCCATACATGGTCTTACGACTATGGTTAAAAAATTTAATGGGTAAAATGGGTCATGTTGTGTTATTTGTTATTTGTCTTAGTCGTGCTTAACGGGCGTATTCAGATTGAGCTAATTTTCACTCGACACAAACATGTCATACCACAGGCCCGCAAAAACCCGTTTGGCAGGTGATTAGAATGTGTCAAAAAATTTTGGCAAAAATATAGCAATGGTTACTTTTAGTCCCTCATCTCACCCCCACCCCAACAACCACCTCTCTCTCCCTCTCTCTCCTCCAGCCACCCTTCACAGACCAAACCCCACAAATTCGCCGCCGACCCACCCCCACAGACCCACTCCGACCTCGACCCACTCTCTCCTTCTCTCATTTTCTTCCTCCCTCTGTTCGTCAACCCCCTCATCCTCCCAACTTTTTTCATCGATTGGTCTTCCTCAATCGATTGAACAATCTAAACAAAACCCCAAAGGATTCATTGGAGAGAGAGAGTTGTAGTTGGGTTTGGGTAGAATGAGGTGGTGACTAGATAAAAGTCTTATTTGCCCTTAAAATTTGATATGAATTTCTCAATTTGTCCTTAATTTTAACAGAAAATTTAACGGAATTGAAGGAAGGACGAGAGGTGCAATGCGATATCTAAATGAAGAATGATCATAACAATTTTTTGGGTTAAGGGACAAAAAGTAAAGTGAGATCTTATTTAAGGGACCATTGCTACAATTTTGCAAAGTTTTTTTCTTTTTTGATCTGACAATTGTCAAAAGTTGACTAGTAATTGCAAATTGGTGCATTATTCATATAATAACACTAAAGCGTATACTAGATTCGAAAAGACAGATGTTCACAAAATAATTGTAATTAACAGCATAATTGTAAGGATAATTGCAATAGAACCCAAATTTAATATTACGTTAAAAATGCATATGACACTTTAATAAAATCATTTGAACTGGGAGTTTTTAAACTTGCAAGATGCTTTTGGAGAAAGCAATCTTGACCTATTTACAAGTTACTTGCAGAGTCAAGATTTCATCAAATATTATTGCACTGCATGCTGTAACTTGTAAGCATCAATTCCACAAGTTCAAATTGTGCACTCAAGATAAGAGTTGCCTCACACATCTGATTTACTGTCAAAAGATAACCACACATTGCTAGTACAATATTCTTCTATTGCACATGAAGTTAACGAGGTAGTCCAGATTCTCACCTTTGGGATTTATAATCAATCGCACCAGCTCTTTCCTGGAGATGCTGAGTCTCTGCAGAACACAAGTGATCAAGGTACTTGGGCCGGAAGTAAGGTCTATAACCTTCCCATTTGCACTCAAATTTGGCTAGCTTCAGCTTTCTTAGGACTTGGGCCATTTTGATCAATTCTTTGTAGGGCCGTAGTTGGCCTTGAGATCTTTAGTTTCAGGGCATCATGAGGTAAGGCACATTCTTTTGTATTTTTGTCTTGAGCTCCATTGGAGTCTCTGTTGGATTTCAGGGGACCCTCTGAACTGAATTGCAAGTTTACTGCAGCAATACTCGAAAGGTTTTCCTTGTGCAGTCGATTGTTTTAATGATAGACAGAGATGGCTTCTATGAGATCTCTCATTGCAGTTAGTGAGGTTCTAAACAGACCTCAGAAAAATGCGCATTGTTGTTGTCATCCTTAGAGATTTTCCTGGGTTAATAAGGGAGCTGCTGATTAGAAAGAGCAACATGAGCCTGGATTCGTAGAAAGAACTGAAGTTTATAAAAATCCCAATATATTTACTCTAACTCTAAGTCTCCACAATGATCTTCCCAATAGCATAGCCATCAGTTTTCCTAGCCCAAGCATCTTCAGCCTCGCTCAGATGGTGCTTTGAGTCAATCAAAGTCTTGAGCTTTCCTTCCTTCATCAACTCAACAAGATAGTCCAGATTCTCACCTTTGGGATTTATGATCAATGGCACCAGCTGTTTCCTGGAGAAGCTGAGTCTCTGTAGAACAATAGTGATCCAGGTACTTGGCCTGGAAGTAAGGTCTATAACCTTCCCATTTGCACTCAAATTCGGCTCGAAAGTCGACCAAGGAATGCCTCCTGATGCACAGTGGATCACAACATCATATTTTCGACCGGATGGGCTCTTGAGAGCAGCCCCATCAGGGGTCTTGTAGTCAAGAACCTCATCTGCCCCTAGGCTCTTGACAATGTCAACATTACGAGCACCGCAAGTGGCAGTAACATGAGTGTTTCCAAGCTTGGCTAGCTGGACTACATAGTGCCCGACGCCACCAGAGGCGCCGGTGATCAGTATGTTCTTGAGCTGGCCAGTTCCATCAAGCTTGATCCCTGCAGCTTTGGTGAGAGCCTGGTGAGCTGTGAGGCCAGAACTAGGCAAGCCTGCACCTTCAGCTGCTGAAACTTCTGGGGGCCTAGCAGATGTTATAAATGTCTCACTAGCTATAGCAAACTCAGCTAATCCACCTCCATTCTGTCAATATGTGTAAAATCACATCAAACACGAACTGAGGCTTTATTGATAGTATATATCAGTAAAAAACATATGAATTTATATATTTGAAACTTACTATAAAGTTGAGCATTGCCACAACTTTGTCACCCTCTTTAAATTTTTCAACTCCTTGTTCAACCTCTACAACCTCTCCAGCCACATCAACAGCTGTTCCGGATAATATCAGCCAAAGTTAACAATCCAAATGAATGCATAAATCAGAAAACAACTAATTCTCCAGCTAATCCATCTACCCAACAACACTGCTCATTTTTATATTTATGAATCGATGAATCAATTAACTATATTAGACAGATAAATTAGCCCAATCGACTATTGTTTGGGATAGAAGCAGAGGTTTGTTTTCTACCATGATGCATGTTTTTGGACTGACTTTTTGTTCACTCGTCTATTGATTTTTGCTTCACAAGCAGAGATCACTGAGGAATGTTCAATACGAAAATACAGACCAAAGGCAAAACAGAAATACCAGGTATGAAAGGGAATTTTTGTGGCAAAAGAGGCCGAAACACGCCTTTCTGAATTTTCCAGTCAGATGCGTTCAGGCTAGCCGCTTCCAGTTTCAGCAAAACCTCATCTTTCTTAGGACTGGGGATTGGAACCTTAACATGCTGCAAAAAAACATATATAACAATTTACCAAGATAGCTCCAGAATATGAGAGAATTCTACCCAAAAACACTGATAAAGAAAGCTGAAACAAACAGGAGTTAGCAGACGGATAAAGAACCTTTAAACCATCAGGCCCTCCACCATAGCTTTCATACACAACCGCATCCATAAGCCTTGCAGCCACGGATGCCGTAGCTGGAGTACCTTTAGAACTTGTCATCTTTTCACACAATAAATCGTTGAATTTAATTTATTTTTCGCCAGAGAATGATGTTTGCATGGTACACTTAATTATAATAAATATGAATTGAGTGTCAAAACTGACAACTGACAAGTTTTAATATTACATTAGATTACTCGAAGTCAAGACACATTATACAAGGTTTGATCCGTTGACGCATGGGAAAAATATCCCACGTGTCATTGTGCCCGGGATAGCTGTGTCATTGTGTCATTGGTCGGGATAGTAAAAAGTGTTATTGCCGTTGCATGAGAGTTTCACTCCCTTAAAAGACATTGTTTGGAAACTTGTACTAGACCAGGAATTAGACTAGTCAATTTAATTTAATTAAGAAACCAGAGAAGAGGAGGCCGATGACCAAATAGCCTCAAAACATTACACTCATTTCAACTCAGAGGTACTAAATTCAACGTTTCATAGGTGGAAATGCTAGGAATCTGGAATGATTTCTACCATTTGATAAGAAGAACAGAACAAGAATCATTGATTATTGGCTAGGAATCAAAACTATATTTTATTTATAATCATGATGTACACTATACAACGGAAAATTACTAGGGGCTTGCATGGCTGGCGGAGCCAAAAACGCAGAGTACGATCCTTGCTATTTACAAAGAAAATTTCACCCAAACCATATTGAGCAAAAGAAACTGTCATACCCACTAGTTAGTTCTCCTTAAGCTTATACACTGTCTCGATGCATTCTTCGGTGTCCCAAAGGAAAGAACCAAACGCAACAGCCTCCAAAACTAGCCTCTTCACACTTGAATATGAAGTTGAGATAACTTCATCGGTCTCGGGTGAATTCATGGTCCCATCATCCCCAAAAAGAGCACAACAGTGATTTTTAACTAAATTCACAGCCACCTCAGATCTCAGTTTTGCGCATCTCTGAAGTGTGTCAGGATCAAACCCCATCACATAACAACTCAACTTTCCTTGTGTCTTTTCCGACCTACTTGACCCTTTATAATTCGCTTGAATGTTGCCTATGCGACCAAAGAGGAGATTTTTCATTCCATTAGGACACATCTCCTGATAGTGAAGGGAGGTTCTATGACTCAGATGAAGGTCTTGGCTTTCCAGAGCTAGAATCCGATCCAGACGATGTCTTAAGGAGGCAGATTTCAAAAAGTAGCCGTATAAGATGGAGGCCACGTATACTCGACCAAGCATTTGACGTGTGATCTTTGTCATTGCCCAATTGTCTGTGACACTAGAATTTACTCTCAAGCCAATGACTGTACTGACATGTTCCCTTATCATCTCCAAAATCTCAAAGCTGTAAAGGGACTCTAGCTCCCAGTCCTTTGAAGGCCATATCTCTAGTCTCCCATTGTAGATGCATCTAGAGAGCTTAGGAACCAAATGAACTTTGATCTCAGAAAACTTGTAAAAGATTAACAGGTACATTACATCTTCAACAACAATCTGGCACTCCTGCTCCTTCAGTTGCGCAATCCTCCTGACATTCAAGAATACCTTAAGTCAAAGAAATAGATGTGATTCTAAAGAAAATCTAATTGGAAAATCCAAATACGAAAGCTTCAACCCACCAAGAATTCCACGGAGTAGTTCACCAATTTACTTACTCTAATAAGGTAGTAAAAGGGTCGCTAGGCAAGAACACCCAGCAACATTACTGCAGTCACCGCCTACGTGCACAGGTACAAAGTGCATGTTAGGCATAGCAAGTGCATTCAAGAATGCCCTACTCAAATCAAAGATCATCATGGTGCTTCCTACACCGGCAAATTTAAAAGGTAACAATATAGCACATAAGCAACAAATTCATTATTAATGAACTGAAACCTCAATGAGCTTTCACATATCATTATATATCACACAAACTTCTGCGAATAGTTTCTCTCAGGACAGGCAACAATCTTAAGTGATGCCCAGTTCAGGGCAATCTAGCCATCCTTACAAACCTAATGACTTCCTAACTAAGAAACAACAAGGGAACCTCTCCATCCTCCAACACAGTCAATCATAGAGTCTATGAGTCAATCATTGAAGAAGTTCATCGTCCACACACAATTTTTTTAAACAGAGCAAAAAAGAAAAGGCTTTGTAGAAAAACTCATATCACACAGCATTCTACAGAGAATCACTCATATCACACAGAAAACTACAGAGAAGCACTTGATTCTCTTGATAGAGCGCCAAATTACTATATACTGAAAACCCATTATGTTCATAACAATTGCTTATGAAATACTGAAGAAAGAAAAAAATACGGAAAATTTGAACTTACTGTTTTTTACTCATTTGACCAAAAAAAAAAAACTATTTTGTACTCATTAAGAGATTAACACTCAGAGGGATTGGATTATAGTTCTTGTATAACAGTTAAATTGCTTGAACCTAACATAAATTTTGAATTTGTATGAGAAGAAATAGGAATGAACACAAAGAATTAAGACCTGAACGCAGGACAATTAAATTAAAAAAATTTAAAGTGATGAGGTATAGGAAAAAACCTATGAAGGCAGGCCTCGTGAGAGGCAGCGCTCAGAGACATACGAGAGAGGGCGAGTTCTCGATCATCAGCCAACTTCTTGAGCTCCTGAGCCACCGCAAGGTGAAACAGCTGGGGGTGGTTCTGCAGAACGGTGCTGAGGTCCTTTCCGGGTCGGGTCCTCGGGTCGAGTGGCGAGTTGAGGCTGCTGAACTCGCAGTGACTCGCCCCGGCTCCGACGACGACGGTCAACGGCCTGAACCGCCTGGTCACCGACTGGAGGGCGGGCCTGGGAGCAAAACGGGGCGTTATGCGGGGCTTTAGGGTTGAGAGCGGGGAGATACAATGGTCCATCAACAATGTCTGGTGCTGAAATTGGGTGGAGAGACTGAGACTGAGAAAATTGAGAGGTTTTTGAAGAAGAAGAAGAATATATGGAAGGTTTTTGGATAGAGGTTCAGTGGTCGAGTCAGAGACAGAGAGGGATTGGATAGCGTGCGGGGTCGGCAGTATGACTTTTGTTGGACCACGTGGCGTGATCTGGACCGTTGGGGTTTAAAGGATAAGTGGATCTGTTGATGTAGGTATGGCCCACGAGCACATTGGTTCGGGCTTGTCTGTGGTTCCCACGTTGACCACTCACTTAACCCGAATGATTAGTTATTTGATAAGGATTAGGATAAGTAGTAATGCGATAAGTAGCAGGACAAGGTTTTTATATTTTATTCTTATTTTGAATAGCTTATTGATTTGAAACCTAACCTACGCCCTTCTTTTTACCAACCTATCACAGACAATCGGAGGATGAAACAAACATGGATTGATTAATGAATTTCCCTCATCTTTTTTATTTTTTTTATTTAAAGAATTTGAAAATTTTACTTCATATGTTAGAGTTTGGAAATATATTCAATCTTCTTGAGGAATTCTGTCATGACTGGAGTTCTTCTTTCCGGTTGGTAACGGCTTTTTAAGTATTTTTGGTCCAAATAAATCTTTTCTAGCAACTTTTCTTTTTCGAGAAGGATAAAAAGGTAGTAATTTATTGATAAGAGGAGTAGAAATAAGTACAAAAAAATCGGACCATGTCCTGAAGGTTTAGGCGAGCCTATCTTTATATAAGGGTTCTATCGTCGTTAATTAAGGTCATCTCCAAGTGAGGGTCAATTCCTAAATTATAGCCATAAATCCCCAAAAACCATCTCAAAGTGCGGGATACCAAAAACAAGGGATGGCTACACAAAAGGCCAATCTTTGGCCAACTCGGGCTAAATATTTGGATAGGGCCCAGTTGGCATCACCTAGCTATTAGGTGACATCAGCTACCTTTTTTATTTTTTATACCTACCTCATTCTTACATAGTTTCTCACAATATCTTCATTCTTTTACAAACTATCCTCTATCTTTTTCTATTTACATTAATTTTTAAGTTGTTTTTAAAACAAGACAAAGACTTGAACATGACACTGTATTGTCAATTATTATTAGTTACATATACCAAAATATTTAATTAGGAGTGCGACATGGAGAAAAAAATCTAATCAGAAATCTATATGGTTAATCACGTGCCGACAAGTGGATGTCAAAAATCCTATTTTAAAATTTTTTTTATCTTCTAAAATGTATTTTAAATAAATAGTCTACCCTCTTAACGTCAAGTGGAAGAAAAAAATTGCCGTTAATAGCGCGCCCCGCGTCCCCCTAATGTCATATCTTATGTTAATCTAGCATATGTTATTCAACTCATGCTTTCCAGCTAAGATTCTAATTTAGAAATTCATTATATCATTCTCAGCAAAGTGGAGAGTGGACCCTTTTTTTCTTCTGTGTCAGTTGCAATTTCTTTAAAAATAATCACAGATATGTATTTGATACTTAAGCAACAATTCAAACCAATTAATTATGTGATTAGATGACTAAATATTTGTTTAATTTGGTATGCTTCTTTAAGGGATCTGCCCTTGTCAAATTCTCAGTCGTTTCAAAATTAGTGACCAAGTTTCCTTATAGGGTTAGAGGATGAAGAGCTTACTTCAAAGTTGCAGATAGATTGTAGTCTTTGTAACTTGGAAAGCACCAAATGACTGTCATCTTCCACACAACACATATGCTTACTTAGGTAACTGGTAAATATATGGACAGAAAAATTTACCTCATCACTTTCAATTTCAGAGCAGCATTTAGATCACCTGTTTGTTTGCTTGCCAAAGTAATTGTTATAGCATTTACTCAAACTTTAAAGCCATCTTTCTCCACCATGAAGTTTCATGCCATTGATCTCCCTAATGGAAAATACAAACCCAACAACACCCACAAAGATCTTTTTCTGCTAGCCCTACCTTAGTTTTGCTCACTACAATCCCTCTCTGTCAACATCTCAAATTCCCCATTGCCATCTGCTAAGAGCAATGCCGGCTGTTTGAAAAGCATCAAAAAAGAAGATCAATGGCAGATATTTAGTGGCAACTGGGTTCCATATCCTGATGCTTACTACACAAATGAAACTTGCAATTTGATCATTGATCAGCAAAACTGCATGAAGTTTGGGAGAGCCGATACGGAGTTCATGAAATGGAGGTGGAAGCCTGATGCTTGTTGTGAGTTGCCCTTGTTTGATGCAACTCAGTTCTTGGAGCTTGTTAGAGGCAAGTCATTGGCTTTCCTTGGTGACTCTCTGGAAAAAAATCAAATGCAGTCATTGCTTTGCCTCTTCGCCAGTGTAAGCATTCAAATTAGCCTACAAACATTTTAAACATTCCAAGACATAGTTTGTTCTTACAAGATTGTGTGTTTTTTGTTTTTCTTTCAGGTGACTTATACTGAGGACATTTCTCACAAATATTCCTCAAACACAGATTACTTCAAGCGCTATGTCTACCATGATTACAATTTCACCATAGCAACTCTCTGGTCCCCCTACTTGGTTAAATCTAGAGACGCAGACCCCAGTGGAAATGACATTAACAGCATCATGAGCCTCTATTTAGATGAGCTGGACGAGGCATGCATGGCTAACTCGGGTCGTACAATTCGACTATGTGATCGTCTCAGCAGGACAATGGTTCTTCCGGACACTGACATACCACGAACATGACAACATGACATTGTTTGTCACCTCCTACGGATACAGAAAGGCCTTCCAAACAGTGTTTAGAACTCTTGAATGTTGAAACTAGCAAATTAATATCTATAATAATTGTTTAAGAATTTCTTTTTTAAGAAAATAGTACGGCCATGCGGCTATACTTTTTCGACACGTGGCGCCCAGCATTGGCCGGTCTTTTTATATATATGTTTCCCTCAAGAACCTTGCGGAGCAATATATTTCTTCTCAAGTATCGAACCATATATCCTCTACTTTCCGAAACTAGAACTTAGAGTTTTAAATACATCTCAGTTATACAAGAGCAAAGAATTACACCAAACATGGGAAAGCTTTTTAAAACACTAAATTAAGATACCAATATCACAGTGACTCAAAGCAATCTATCAATCAGAACCTGAAGGAACTAGGATGCTACTAACTAACTTGTAGACCTTGCAGCTTTTGGTGTTCTGGAACAAGCACTCACAACATACCATGTTATTCTGAACTACATACGTACGTCAAACCATTTATCCAACATTTTTGAAACTCCATGAACATGTGAATCTTAACATATGTATGTCAAACATTTTGAAACCCTATTAGCATGTGAATGTTTTCCTCAAGTATGAACAAAAATGATAAAGGTGACATTTTTTTAAATAGGGAACTTTCAAGGAGCCAAAACTAAGGAGGTCTCTAACCCTAATTGAGAGAAGACAACCTAAAGTGAAAGAACTAACACCACCAATCTTCGAACTAAATACATGCAACTGTATAGATGATAAATTAAATACATGTAAGAGCAATAAAAAAATAACAGAGATACCAATCTTAAAACTAAAAGACCCCAGAGGTCATCTGAAAACTCACTTCTTGGTTTCATCAATTCAAACATTTTAAATTTAATTTTCTTTAATTAATTTCATGGCTCTGCCATTGCTGTGAGGAGTGTTACTGGGTAATCTTTCTTTAATTTCATGGTTCCAATAAATTATTGAATTTATATCACATAAAACATAGCCAAAATAACAACAACAAGAAGGAAACCAAATCAAGACGAAATTGTATATTTGGAAAATAAAAATAAAAATATACGATCTTTTAAACCAGTTAGATATAATAGGCACAAATTTGATAGTTCAGAAGCTAGTATTTACCTACTTTTGGACAAATTGGGACCATGGTAGTGCATTTCCCCTCCTGTTACTCATCTGACAGAGGTGCCACGGCGGCTATGGCACCGTAGGAGTGCTGGCCACGACGTTTCGAAGAGTTAGGGTTAGGGTATATTCGAATCGTCATTTCCTATCCTTCAATGTATATTCGAATATTTTAAAGGTATAGCCGGGCGGCTATACTATTTAAATAATATATTTTACGAGTAACGCCGCGCGGCTATACTATTTAAATAATATATTATACAAGTAACGCCGCGCGCGTATACTCTTTAGATAATATATTCCACAGGTACCGCCGTGCGGCTATACTCTTTACCAAAAAGGTTATAGCCGGACGGCTATACAATTTAAATAATATATCTTAACCGTACAGCCGAGCGGCTATACTACGCTGTTAACAGAGTATAGCCGCGCGGCTAGACACTTCAAATATTAGCATCTCCGAATGTTATGAGTTAAGCGATACATTTAGGATAATATCTTTTGCGATTTCAGCCTTTTCGTGATCAAGGCAATCCAATTTTATCGTCACAGGTAGAGGTTTCATAAAGACAAGATCTCTCAAATCTTTGTTTGTTTTTAATGAGAATTGGATGCATGAATCTCTTCCTATCTTCCACTTTTCTCTGAATGTATAATATCTGCTATCCCTGATTATCCTCTAATAATTCTTTCTTTCTTCTAAGTTTTAAATACAATGCCGCATAAACAATAACCTGCACAATGCCCCTATGCCACCTGCAATGTGTCGAGCCCCATTGCGGTTTCTATCTCAACCATTCACGCAATCCTCGAATCCTATTCGAGCAACTCAAAGACCAAGTTCACCGTCCAGCTTGACAACAATCAAACATGGGTTATGTAAACCTCCTCCCCAGCTAATTTGATTAGAAGCAGCCCATCAACCTTAACTTTTGATGGCTATTCTGGGAATATTCAGATTGCATTGGTGCCGGGTTCTGATCCAAAATACGTGACAATCCTTGACCGGTTTAGTTCTGCTTACCCCGTTTCTGATGAAGCTGTGTTCACAAAGCCATTCACTCTGGAATATAAATGGGAAAAGTATGGACGGGGAGATTTGCTTATGCTAGCTCATCCTCTCCATCTTCACCTTCTGTCCAATGCTACTGTTTTGGAGGATTTCAAGTACAAGAGCATTGATGGCGATCTGGTTGGCATCATTGGCGATTTGTGGGAGTTGAAATCTCATAATATATCAGTCACTTGGCATTCAATCGGAGGTGTCAAACAAGCCTCATACCCTGAAATTGTTTCTGCGCTTCGTCGTGATGTTAAGGCTCTTAGTTCGACGCCAATAACAACTGAATCGTCATACTTTTATGGGAAATTGGTTGCCAGAGCAGCAAGGTTGGCTGTGATTGCTGAGGAGGTGGATTGTCTTGATGTGGTTCCCGCAATTAGGAAATACTTGGCGGACGCCATTGAGCCATGGTTGGATGGTACTTTAAGTGGGAATGGTTTTTTGTATGATCCTAAATGGGGTGGACTTGTCACCCAACAAGGATCAACCGATCGCGGTGCAGATTTTGGGTTTGGAGTTTATAATGATCACCATTATCATCTTGGATATTTTGTTTACGGTATTTCAGTGCTTGCAAAGATTGACCGTGCATGGGGGAGAAAGTACAAGCCTCAAGCTTATTCTCTTGCAGCAGATTTCATCAACAATGGCAACCAATCGAATTCAAACTATCCGCGGTTGAGATGCTTTGATCTGTACAAACTGCACTCATGGGCTGGAGGACTGACTGAATTTGGAGATGGAAGGGACCAAGAGAGCACAAGTGAGGCAGTGAATGCTTACTACTCAGCTGCATTGATGGGCTTAGCCTATGGAGACACCAATCTTTTCAATAGTGGATCAATGCTTACATCTCTGGAAATTCAAGCAGCTCAAATGTGGTGGCATGTAAGAGAAGGAGATACACTTTATGAGGAAGAATTCACAAAGGAAAATAGGATTGTGGGAATTTTATGGGCAAACAAGAGAGACAGTGGACTTTGGTTTGCTCCTCCAGAGGCAAAAGAAATGAGGCTTGGAATTCAGTTGCTGCCCATATCCCCAATCACTGAGATCTTGTTCTCTGATGATGGCTTTGCTAAGGAAATTGTGGAATGGGCATTGCCAGCCCTGAGTAGAGAAGGAGTTGAGGAAGGATGGAAGGGCTTTGTCTATGCCTTGCAAGGGATTTATGATAAGGATGGTGCTTCAGAGAAGATTAAGAGCTTGAAGGGTTTTGATGGATTCATAGTAGGAACTTAGGTTCACAGTAGGATCTTTGAGTTAAGTTTTGTAAATTAGTCTTTAGGTTGTGTTTTTTTCAATTTTTTTTGTAGTTGGTAGCTTCACTAAGTCAATTAGAAGTTCAATTTATAGCAATGGTCATGAACTATACATCCACCCCTACCTAATCAAATCCTCCTCCTCCTCTCTGTGTCTCTCTTACCCTTCTCGCTTTTCCAACTCTGCTTTCATATACCAAATTGTCAAAGCTAACTTCACTATCTGTGCAACACGCAAGACCAAGCCAAAACATTAACATCTGTATAACTTTTCAATTCCTTTTCATGCCAAGAAAGATATGAGTTCCAAATAACAAGTTACAATGTTTTGCTTAATCTGATGTTCACACAGGAGAGACGTACTCACGAGGAAGCGTTATCTTTAAGTAAAAGAAACCACTAGTGGGTTTTCACAGCATAAAAAAAGAACTGAACAAAAATGCCATTGTAAAGAAAAAAGCTCTCTATTTTGATAATCTCATGTGCAAAAAGTTCTTTATCTTTAAGTTCCAGACACGCAGTTTTTTCAAGTCCATGATTTTTATATGAAATACGAATCTCTCCTGTAAACAATATTGTCAAGTGTAATTGATCAATACTCGCTAAGTCTTCTTGAAAGTCTCTCAAACTTAATTATGGGTGGGCGCAGTCCGACTTCATTTGAATTAAAATCACGGGAGAAATCAAACTAAACTAAACCAGACCACTATTGAGTGGTTTGGTTCAGGTAGTTTGGCTATGAGTTCTTTGGACTCTCCTTTATCTACTTATCGGCCCTGCAAGACGAGAAAAAAATATAAGGCCCATATGAGGTATCCTATTTTGTCTTGGTGATTAAATATAATTTCAATTTCATACAGAAGGGAAGCCCATCATTTTTATGCAACATGTAATGCATTGATCTCTTAAGAAAACTGTAGGTGGTGATACTTGTAGATACACATCTATAAGGAGAGATTCTAGGCCTTCTAAAAACTTTTTAACCGCGAATATAGAGATAAGTGCTTTATCATTGAAGTTAGGAAATACAAGCACCTCTTACTTTCAACTATCTCCACATATGATTGCTGGCGTTTAAACAGTCTACGTTGTAAATGCTAAACTTTAGAAGCAAAAAATAGGATGAACAGCGAACAAAACTGTAGGAAAAAACTGAATGACAACCAAAACTCATATAAATTGAGTGTCTCTTAAGCCAATATTGAATACAATACAACAATTGGAGCCAAATTAAGTAAGATAATGGGGATTTCAAGCATGAAGACATTCATCCTCTGTTTGCTCATTGTTGGCATGGTGGCGCTGAACGAAGGAGTGGAAGCTGAGGGGACCCGCATTAACCCTGGAGTTCTTGACCCATGCCTAAAACCAGGAGGGCCACATCCTGGTTGTAGTGGTCCTAGTGGCAGCAACGGTGAACGTAAAACCGCTAACCCCTACGAACGTGGTTGCTCGAAAATTAATCAGTGCCGTGGTTAGAAAGGTTACTTATGTTCTAATTACGGCTAGCTAAGCCAGTAAAGAAAAACCTGATTATGTCAATATATATGACGTACATGGTTTATGTTCAAGGAAGAACAATGGCCTTTCGTGGTGAAAGGTCTTAAGGGGTTTTATTTGTATTGGATAAGTAACGTTGTAGAAAGAAGTGTTTTGCTTTTCTAATATAGTAATTTATATGTGCTCTTTATTCTTGCCCCTTCAAAAAGAAACATAACTTTCCATATGCTTTACCTTTTAATTATTTAAAGATGAATACTAACTAATATATTAAGAGATGATGATCACGTGGCGATCTTAATGTTATGTCGTCTCCAATTTGATAACATTCAGAACCACATCTAGATAACATAATGAAGTCATCTAAATGTCATTACTTATTTGGTGACTCAATTTGAATTAGAGGAATTGAGTTCAAGCCAAGTTATATGAGTTCCATTTAAAGATATAATTTGTAAAACACGCCAAATGATGGTGAAGATATTAATTCAATTTAATTGGAATAGTACAATCTAATCTAGGGGTGGGCACGGTCCGGATTGGATCAATTTCACCTCAAAACCACGGCCGAACTAATTTCAATATGACGGTTTGGTTTGGTTTGGATAAAAGTTATAAAGGAAACTGAACCAAACCAAACCAATTTAAGACGGATTGGTTCGGTTTGGTTCGGCCGGTTTGGGCCTAAGCCCAATTCTCTTTCATTTTGCATTTTTTCAACATTGTTAGACCAATTATAACCAAAAAATTCACGACTTGCTTCATACATAAATCATTTTGTAGAGTACGAAATCATCCTAAAGCTCAAAATGTCATAAAACTTCATATTTCACTAACAAATATAGCTCAATTCAAATATTCATATATAGTTATTAATTAATTAGAGTATTACACATGTAAAATAAAATATAAATAAATAAATATACACATAAACTGTCCGATTTGGTTTAAACCAGTTTACAAAACCTCAAAACCAAACCAAACCAAACTATGTACGGTTCGGTTTGGTTTTTAAACCGTTTGACTTTTTTTTTGTCAAAACCAAACCAAACCAGTAATTATGATTTGGTTCAACCAATTTCATCGGTTTGGCCGGATTGATGCCCACCCCTAATCTGATCTACCAAACAAGGCCAAGTAACATTAGATTGCAGAAATGACAAATAGCATAATGAAGTCAGAAAACACTTTATGTGGGCATTCATGATGTATTTGGGAATGGGAAGAATTATGAAGTGTTTGCTTTCTCTCACACTTAATTATGGGTGGGCGTGATCCGAGTTTGTTTGAATTAAAATCACAAGAGAAATCAAACTAAACTAAACCAAACCACTATTGAGTGGTTTGGTTCAGGTGGTTTGGCTATTTAGATTTGTGACATACTTTTTTTAGTTTTGTTCTCTGGTCATGTTTGGTGGGCTGAACTGGATTGGATATATTCAATTAAAATGAACATGGGTCTAGTCTGTTGTTTGATGGGCTTAATTGTATCTCATACTGAATATTGAACCTTGGATCCAAGTCCCAAATACCTACGGCCCGGTAACCCAATCTCATACGTGGGTTTACAACAACACGAGCTCCTCTTCATCTCTGAGGACGCAAGCTCCTCTTTATCTCCACGAATGCAAGCTCCTCGTCATCTCCCTCAGCCTCCTTCACATTGTATGTTCTATGGTTCTGCCTTCTTCTCTCTCCCATCTCTCTCTCTCTCTTCTCCTTTCTCATGCCTTCTCAAAATATTTGATTCTGTCAAATCCAATCTCGCAATCTCTTGGTACTTGCAGTTCTCATCCTATTCTCTCTTCTTCTTCTTTTTTTTCTTTTTTTTTTTGGCCATTTTTTGTATGATCTAGGGTTTTCTTGCTAATCTCAAATCGGTGTTTGTTGTACAAATAAGGTTTGGTTTTGGGAAATTTGGGTGTCGTTTTGGTCTTGTTTGGGCTCACTATCTGGGGTTGATTTGTTTGTTTTCTGGGTATTCATGTTGTGTTTGTGTGTGGTTGTATTCACGATATGGGGTTGATTTCTTCTTTCGAAAATGTTCAGATTTTCTTGTGGAGAATCTTTCAAGTTTCATAGCTTCATACAATCGATGATTTCTTTTGTTTCAATTTAACTTTTGTTTCCCTTCTGTTTTGCTATTCTGTTTTCCAAAATTTCCAAAATTATTTTATCCAGTCCGATCCAAAGTAGGTATAACATCAAACAATAGACTCAAAGTCTGGTCCAGTCTTAACCAATCCAATCCAAAATACAAAGTTAAATCCAATCATGTCCTATTCGTACCACCAAACAAGGTCTTAGTGATTTAGCCTAACAACTAGGGATGGCAACGGGCTGGTTAGGGGCTGGGTATGGCAATACCATCCCCGTTCCCGCTCACCATCCCCGTCCCCGTCCCCGTCCCCGGCCCAATCCCCAGTTTAATTCTACTTATCGGTCCAGCAAGACAAGAAAAAAGTATGTGGTATCTTATTTGGGGAATGCTAGCAACTTTCTCTCTAATCTTCTCTTTTGGACATTCTCCCTCCTCCTCATGACATGTATCATTTTCTTTACACTTAAAACAATGACATTAATGCATTAGACAATATATCTTTTGTTCCCAAATTTACCCTTATTAAATGTATTAACTTTATATTTCCTTCAATTTACAACTTAACTTAAACAATTATATTTTAAAAATAAACATTAAAAGTTCAATTAAATAAATATTTGAAAATAAAAAAGAAGTATACTTCCCTAAAAAAAAACTTTTTTTGGTTTCAAAAATAAGTATTGCAATAAAACCGTTCAAAATTATGGAATTTAAAAAAAAAATACAGATAAATATTTTTTAAAATTAATGAACATTCTAATTTATTAAAAAAGTTAAAAGATAAAAGAAACATAAAAATAATAATAATAATAAAAATAATAAAACCCAACCCACCGTGCACTGTACTTCTCACTCTCCTCCTTCAATCCAGACCCCAAAATCCATTCTCCCTTCCCTCACCAAGAAAAAGAAGTAAACAGAATTTTTTTATTAATTAAAAAAAAACTAACGTTAATTTTGTGGAAGATTTTAAAATTCTCTTTTAATTTTTTAACAAGGTGAAAATAAAAGTTAGTTTGTTCAATGCATTTAACAAGGGTAAATTTGGAAAACAAAACATACATTGTCTAATGTATTAATGACATTATTTTTAAGTGTAGAGAAAGTGACACATGTCATGAAGAAAAGGGAGAAGGTCCAAAAGAAAAAGTTAAAGAGAAGGTTGCTAGCATTCCTCATCTTATTTTGTCTTGATGATTAAATATAATTTCAATTTCATACAGAAGGGAAGCCTATCATTTTTATGCAATATGTAATCCATTGATCTCTTAAGAAAACTGTAAGTGGTGATACTTGTAGATACACATCTATAAGGAGAGATTCTAGGCCTTCTAAAAACTTTCTAACCGCAAATATAGAGATAAGTGCTTTATCATTGAAGTTAGAAAATACAAGCGCCTCTTACTTTCAACTATCTTCACATATGATTGCTTCCATTCAAACAGTCTACGTTGTAAATGCTATACTTTAGAAACAAAAAATAGGATGAACAGCGAACAAAACTGTAGAGAAAAACTGAATGACAACCAAAACTCATATAAATTGAGTCTCTTAATCCAATATTGAATACAATACAACAATTGGAGCCAAATTAAGTAAGATCATGGGGATTTCAAGCATGAAGACATTCATCCTCTGTTTGCTCATTGTTGGCATGGTGGCGCTGAATGAAGGAGTGGAAGCTGGGGGGACCCGCATTAACCCTGGAGTTCTTGACCCATGCCTAAAACCAGGAGGGCCACATCCTGGTTGTAGTGGTGGCAGCAACGGTAAACATAAACCCGCTAACCCCTACAACCGTGGTTGCTTGAAAATTAATCGGTGTCGTGGTGAGAAAGGATAATTATGTTATAATTACGGCTAGCTAAGCCAAGAAACAAAAAATTGATTATGTTAATATATACGATGTACGTGGTTTATGTTCTAGGGAGAACAAGGCCTTTCATGGTGAAAGTCTTAAGGGGTTTTATTTGTATTGGATAAGTAACGTTACAGAAAAGGGTTTTACTTGGCTATAATACACTAATGCATGTGTGCTCTTTACTCTTGCCCCTTCAAAAAGAAACAGAACTTTTCATACGCTTTACCTTTTAATTATTTAAAGATGAATACTAACTCATATATTAAGAGATGATGATCATGTGGCAATCGTAATGTTATGTCATCTCGAATTTGATAACATTCAAAGTCACATCTAGATAACGTAATGAAGTCATCCAAATGTCATTCCTTATTTGGTGGCTCGATTTGGATTAGAGGTATTAAGTGAATTAAGTTCAAGTCAATTCTTATAAATCCCATTTAAAGATATAATTGTAAAACACGCCAGCCAAATGACAGTGAAGGTATTAATTCAATTTAATTGGAATAGTGCAATCTGATTTACCAAACAAGGCCAAAGTAACATTAAATTGAAGAAATGACAAATAGCAGAATGAGTCAGAAATCACTTTTCGTGGGCATTCATGATATATTTGGGAATGGGAAGAATTATGGGGCGTGTTTGATACACCGTGCAGGTATGGACTGGTTTGGCTAAGATTTTATTCCACGTTTGTTTCATCCAGTTCTAATTTTAAATGGGATTAACTAATATGGGCCCCACCAAAAACACCTCCGTAGGTGTTCTTAGTGAAACACATCTGGAGAGGAGGGACTAACAGTCATGACCCAAGCGATGAGCAACCAACACTACCCAAGCTCCCCACAACCAGTGACCCCCTAAGCGGCAGCTATTTGTGCAAATTTCTCATGGGAGAATATTTGCGGGTTGATTCATCAACCTTCGATCTTCCTTCTATCTCTTCATTGATTTCTTCAAAATAAATAGGAATAAATAAACCGCACCAGAGGGGTGTCGGCCAAAGGCCCTCCGATGCCTAAGTTAGTTCAATTGGATATTTGAGAAAAGATGCAGCAATAGCTAAAATGGATAAAATGTTCTCTCACTGGGAGAGCCGGGTGGCCAGAGCCTTGTGTGGTGGCACTTAGTCATATGAGAGAGAGGGGAGAGAGAGGGTTTTTTTTGGTTGAGAAAGCCTTACCTCAAATGTCTTGTGTGACTGTGTGCGCTAGGCTTACCTCCTTGTGCGCTAGGCTTTTGGGAGAATAATTCTTATTTGGTTATGATTATTCTTCCCAAAAATATGATAGGAATTACTCCAAGAGAATTGGTGGAAATTGGTTCCTTGATTTAGAGAGATATTCATATCTTAAATCGAAGATAATTTCCCTAATTATATAGGAATTAATTAGGATAATTAGTTTGATCTAAGGAATATTCTTTTTTCACGTGTCGTCTTCTTATTGGACGATGAAATATATGTTCCTACAGCAGCCACAACCACCATATGAAGAGAAAATTTGCGGGAAAAAATAAAGATAAATTTTTGGAAAATAAATAAAGAGGATGGAGAAGAAGATGAGGAAAGAGATGCGAAGAAGAATAAGAATAAAGAGAAACAAAGAGAAAGACAAGAAGAAGGGGAGAGAGAGAGAGAGAGAAGGAAAGTCAAAAAAATATTTTTTTTAAATTAATCCTAGTCCAATCAAACATACACCAAACACAGTACAAGTGTTAAGCTTATGACAGACTAACAAAATCCAAGACAATCTTAGTATTTAGTCTAGTCCATGATTGTCCGCCGTACTAAATAACCCCATGAAGTATTTGCTTTCTATATTGAGAAACAGTAAAAGACTACAATGCATAATTGGTCATCGAAAACTTGGAAAATTTTAACCCAATTGATTAGCTTGAAAAGTTTATCACTTTGATCTTTAAATTTAATTTAGGGTTTTTTGCGGTCCCTGAACTATTTGCATATTGTCAATTTAGCCTTTTAATAATTTTTTTGGTAAATTAAGAACTCCAATTGTTTAAAAATTACCAATTAAGGGCCTACCATCAATTTTTAAAAATTCTATCCAAATTTCCCATAATATATCTGTCACTTGGCATTGAATCAAAGGTGTCAAACAAGCCTCATACCCTGAAATTGTTTATGCGCCTCGTCGCGATGTTAAGGCTCTTAGTTAGACGCCAATAACAACTGCATCGTCTTACTTTTATGGGAAGTTGGTTGAGAAATCAGCAAGGTTGGCTTTGATTGCTGAGGAGGTGGATTGTCTTGACGTGGTTCCAGCAATTAGGCAATACTTGGCTGACGCCATTGAGCCGTGGTTGGATGGTACTTTTAGTGGGAATGGTTTTTGGTATGATCCTAAATCTAAATGGGGTGGACTTGTCACCCAACAAGGATCAACCGATCGCGGTGCAGATTTTGGGTTTGGAGTTTACAATGATCACCAGTGATATTCTTATGTATGTAACTTAACTAAATCAATCAGAACAATTTATAGCAATGGTCATGAACAATACATCCACCCCTACCTAACCAAATCCTCCTCCTCCTCTCTGTCTCTCTCTTACTTTTCCATGCTTTGCTAACTTCACTATCTGTGCACGCAAGACCAAGCCAAAACATTAACATCTATGTAGCTTTTCAATTCCTTTTCATGCCAAGAAAGATATGCGTTCCAAATAACAAGTTGCTTAATCTGCTGTTCACACAAGGAAGCATTATCTTCAAGTAAAAACAACCACTAGTGTGTTTTCACAGCATGAAAAAATAAATGAAGGAAAATGCCATTGTAAAGAAAAAAGCTCTCCACTTTTGTAATCTCATGTGCAAGAAGTTATTTATCTTTAAGTTCCAGACATCTTTATAAGCAGTTTTTTCAACTCCATTATTTTATTAAATACGAATCTCTCTTGTAAACAGTATTGTCGAGTGTAATTGATCAATACTCGTTAAGTTTTCTTGAAAGTCTCTCACTTAATTATGGGTGGGAGCGGTCCGACTTTGTTTGAATTAAAATTATGAGAGAAATCAAACTACCGTACAAAATGAGAAAATTTGAACCAAACAAAATTAATATTACACCTTCTAGTGTAAAAATCAAACCCATTAATTCTTTTGCATTAACCAAATTTTCTCCTCTCATTTAGCCAACAGACAAATGCGAAAAGCATAAATCAAGCCGCAAATCATAAAACAATGCGATTTAACCCGTCAAATTTGTTTTTAATTTTGTTCACGAAGTAAAACGAAACAGACCAAAAACAAAAACAAAACTATTCCCGGTATTTTCTCGACAACGCAACGCAAAAGTCCGAAATCTTTGGTACCTGGGACGAAGGAATCGGCCTCTCTGTATGAAAAAATTAGGAAGACGAAGAAAAATTCTCTCCTTCAATAGTGAGGAATATACAAAGATTACAAAACTAGGAAACAAATCTCTAGTTATAACAGGACTAACGAAAAAAACAAAAGGAAAGTAAAAATACAGCAGAAAAAAATTTCAATTTCCTAGGGGAACCAGAGAAAAAAACCCCTTGCACGACTTGGAACATCTTGAAAAAACCTATAAATATGAGGCCAATTTTAGAGAGACTTCACGATCACAACAGGCGCAATGGCAAACAACCTCACCTCGGCTTTCACTTTTTCTCTCATCCTCTGTGTTTCAGCTCTTTCACTAATTCCACACACCACCTCATTATCATCCTCATTCCAATTCCCTCCAACCCAATCCACAATCCTCCCTGACCCTTCAAGCTTCTTCTCTGCAAACCTCCTCTCCACCCCTCTTCCCACCAGTTCTTTTTTTCAGAACTTTGCTCTCAACAATGGTGACAAACCCGAGTACTTCCACCCCTACAGCATCAACTCATCCTCCTCCTCTCTATCTATCTCCTACCCATCTCTCTCCTCCACCTCTGCTTTCATCTCCCAAACCTTTGTCCCTGACCTCACCATCTCTGCCTCCCAAACCAGCGCCAACTTAGCTACAGCTAATAACAGCGGCCGTGTAATCTCTGCCTTCACTGATCTCAGTGTCACCTTGGACTTTCCCTCCTCCAACCTTCGTTTCTTCCTCGCTCGAGGAAGCCCCTATGTCACCTGCAATGTGTCTAGCCCCACTGCGGTTTCTATCTCAACCATTCACGCAATCCTCGAATCCTATTCGAGCAACTCAAAGACCAAGTTCACCGTCCAGCTTAACAACAATCAAACATGGGTTATGTACACCTCCTCCCCAGCTGATTTGACTAGAAGCAGCCCATCAACTTTAACTTTTGATGGCTATTCTGGGAATATTCGGATTGCATTGGTGCCGGGTTCTGATCCAAAATACGTGGCAATCCTTGACCGGTTTAGTTCTGCTTACCCCGTTTCTGGTGAAGCGGTGTTCACAAAACCATTCACTCTGGAATATAAATGGGAAAAGTATGGACGGGGAGATTTGCTTATGCTAGCTCATCCTCTCCATCTTCACCTTCTGTCCAATGCCACTGTTTTGAAGGATTTCAAGTACAAGAGTATTGATGGCGATCTGGTTGGCATTGTTGGCGATTTGTGGGAGTTAAAATCTCATAATATATCAGTCACTTGGCATTCAATCGGAGGTGTCAAACAAGCCTCATACCCTGAAATTGTTTATGCGCTTCGTCGTGATGTTAAGGCTCTTAGTTCGACGCCAATAACAACTGAATCGTCATACTTTTATGGGAAATTGGTTGCCAGAGCAGCAAGGTTGGCTTTGATTGCTGAGGAGGTGGATTGTCTTGATGTGGTTCCCGCAATTAGGAAATACTTGGCGGACGCCATTGAGCCATGGTTGGATGGTACTTTAAGTGGGAATGGTTTTTTGTATGATCCTAAATGGGGTGGACTTGTCACCCAACAAGGATCAACCGATCGCGGTGCAGATTTTGGGTTTGGAGTTTATAATGATCACCATTATCATCTTGGATATTTTGTTTATGGTATTTCAGTGCTTGCAAAGATTGACCGTGCATGGGGGAGCAAGTACAAGCCTCAAGCTTACTCTCTTGCAGCAGATTTCATCAACATTGGCAACCAATCGAATTCAAACTATCTGCGGTTGAGATGCTTTGATCTGTACAAACTGCAGTCATGGGCTGGAGGACTGACTGAATTTGGAGATGGAAGGAACCAAGAGAGCACAAGTGAGGCAGTGAATGCTTACTACTCAGCTGCATTGATGGGCTTAGCCTATGGAGACACCAATCTTTTCAATAGTGGATCAATGCTTACATCTCTGGAAATTCAAGCAGCTCAAATGTGGTGGCATGTAAGAGAAGGAGATACACTTTATGAGGAAGAATTCACAAAGGAAAATAGGATTGTGGGAATTTTATGGGCAAACAAGAGAGACAGTGGACTTTGGTTTGCTCCTCCAGAGGCAAAAGAAATGAGGCTTGGAATTCAGTTGCTGCCCATATCCCCAATCACTGAGATCTTGTTCTCTGATGATGGCTTTGCTAAGGAAATTGTGGAATGGGCATTGCCAGCCCTGAGTAGAGAAGGAGTTGAGGAAGGATGGAAGGGCTTTGTCTATGCCCTGCAAGGGATTTATGATAAGGATGGTGCTTCGGACAAGATTAAGAGCTTGAAGGGTTTTGATGATGGAAACTCTCTCACTAATCTCCTATGGTGGAGTAGGAACTTAGTTTCACAGTAGGATCTTTGAGTTCATTTTCGTTGATTAGTTTTTAGGTTGTGTTTTTTCATTAATTTTTTTTTTAAGTTGGTAGCATGCATATTTAACAAATTCTTATGTATGTAACTTAACAAATCAAAATTAGAAGTTCAATTCATAGCAATGGTCATGAACTATACATCCACCCCTACCTAATCAAATCCTCCTCTCTGTCTCTCTCTTACCTTTCTCGCTTTTCCAACTCTGCTTTCATATACCAAATTTTCAAAGCTAACTTCACTATCTATATAGCTTTTCAATTCCTTTTCATGCCAAGAAAGATAAGCGTTCCAAATAACAAGCTACAATGTTTTGCTTAATCTGCTGTTCACACAAGGAAACATTATCTTTAAGTAAACACAACCACTAGCGTGTTTTCACAGCATGAAAAAATAACTGAACGAAAATGCCATTGTAAATAAAAAAGCTCTCTACTTTTATAATCTTGTGTGCAAAAAGTTCTTTATCTTTAAGTTCCAGACATCTTCATAAGCAGTTTTTTCAACTCCATGATTTTATTAAATACGAATATCTCCTATAAACAGTATTGTTGAGTGTAATTGATCAATACTCGTTAAGTCTTCTTGAAAGTCTCTCACACTTAATTATGGGTGGGCGTAGTTCGACTTTATTTGAATTAAAATCACGGGAGAAATCAAACTAAACTAAACAAGACCACTATTGAGTAGTTTGGTTCCGGCGGTTTAGCTATTTAGATTTGAGACAAATACTTTTTTTAGTTTTGTTCCCTTAGTGATTTAGCCTAAAAACGTACAAAATGAGAAAATTTGAACTAAACAGAATTAATATTACAATTTTTAGTGTAAAAATCAAACCCATTAATTCTTAATAAGTTCTAGCGAAAATAATCCTTCTAACTTATGAGTTCTTCGGCTCTCTTTTATCTACTTATCGGCCCAGCAAGACGAGAAAAAAATATAAGGCCCATATGAGATATCCTATTTTGTCTTGGTGATTAAATATAATTTCAATTTCATACAGAAGGGAAGCCTATCATTTTTATGCAATATGTAATCCATTGATCTCTTAAGAAAACTGTAAGTGGTGGTACTCGTAAATACACATCTATAAGGAGAGATTCTAGGCCTTCTAGAAACTTTTTAACGGCGAATATAGAGATAAGTGTTTTATCATTGAAGTTAGAAAATACAAGCGCCTCTTACTTTCAACTATCTCCACATATGATTGCTAGCGTTTAAACAGTCTACGTTGTAAATGCTAAATACGCTTCAAACTTTAGAAACAAAAAATAGGATGAACAGCAAACAAAACCGCAGAAAAAAACTGACTGGCAACCAAAACTCATATAAATTGAGTGCCCCTTAAGCCAATATTGAATACAATACAACAATTGGAGCCAAATTAAGTAAGATCATGGGGATTTCAAGCATGAAGACATTCATCCTCTGTTTGCTCATTGTTGGCATGGTGGCGCTGAACGAAGGAGTGGAAGCTGGGGGGACCCGCATTAACCCTGGAGTTCTTGACCCATGCCTAAAACCAGGAGGGCCGCATCCTGGTTGTAGTGGTCCTAGTGACAGCAACGGTGAACGTAAAACCGCTAACCCCTACAAACGTGGTTGCTCGAAAATTAATCAGTGTCGTGGTTAGACAGGTTAATTATGTTCTAATTACGGCTAGCTAAGCCAGTAAATCAAAAATTGATTATGTTAATATATATGGTGTACGTGGTTTATGTTCATGGTGAAAAGTCTTAAGGGGTTTTATTTGTGTTGAATAAGTAAGGTTATAGAAAGAAGTGTTTTGCTTTTCTAATACAGTAATGCATGTGTGTTCTTTACTCTTGCCCCCTTCAAAAAGAAACAGAACTTTTCATATGCTTTACCTTTTAATTATATAAAGGTGAATGCTAACCAATATATTAAGAGATGATGATCATGTAGCAATCATAATGTTATGTCATCTCTAACATTCAGAGTCACGTCTAGATAACATAATGAAGTTATCCAAATGTCATTCCTTATTTGGTGACCCGATCTGAATTAGAGGAATTGAGTTCAAGCCAGTTCTTATGAGTCCCATTTAAAGATATAATTTGTAAAATACGTCATTTGCGGTGAAGATATTAATTCAATTTTATTGGAATAGTGCAATCTAATCTGATCTACCAAACAAGGCCAAAGTAACATTAGATTGAAGAAATGACAAATAGCGTAATGAAGTCAGAAAATACTTTCGGTGGGCATTCATGATGTAATTGGGAATGGGAAGAATTATGAAGTGTTTGCTTTCTCTGCTGAGAAACAGTAAAAGAAGCCATCTGCATAATTGGTCCTCGAAAACTTGGAAAAAATTTAACCCCCCCAATTGATCAAATGATCTCCACCTTCCTTGTCTTTTGCTTAAACGAAAGAATCTGGACGCTCATATAGTTATAATAGCGACTGGTGTCTCCTGTCTGAAGAATCACTTTCAGAAAGATAATGGACCATTGATCAGCATGACAAGAGCTGACTCAAAAGAGCACTACCAAAAAGTGTCAAAATCATAAAGTGGCAAACATCCATGCTTCCTCTTCAAGTTCATGACCACATATAGAGCCGTTGGCACTTGGCATTGCCATAAAAAATTGCAATATATTAGGAATAAGAAAAAGAGGTACAACGAGGTAGGAAGAAAGCAAGAAAATAGCCGTTGGAAGAATGCAGAAACTACAAAAAAAAAAAAAAAAAAAAAAAAAAAAAAAAAAAAAACCTTGACTAGCTCTAAAAGTCTAAAACCACCCTCTATAAATCATCCCTAAATCTTAAATAGATTAAATATCATATGAATAAATTTTCCAAGAAGAAAATAGCAGCTTATTTCACCCTCTTGCATGCGCTCATAGTTTTGCACCAGGGAACTTGCAGGATCCATAACCTGCAACACAGACAGATAACCCATAATAAGGACAAGCAGATTATAATCTGAATACTTTTCATTCTCAAGCTAATTCTTTTTTCTTTAGGTGAACATTACTTACTTGGGTCCTTGATGGTTTGAGTAGCAAGCCCTCCAAAGTAACAGCTGCCACCGACGTTCCTAAACTGAGCCCAATACGCGCTAAACGCATAGCTAGCGTGCCAAACCAACGAGTTGGGTTTAAAACACTTCCCTCCGGGTTGAATCGGGTCGCAAGTTTTATTCCCCTGCGAGCAGGCGTACGATAACGCCGACGCAACCGCGCTCCTGTTGGCTCCCTTCGCCACCAAGCACCATATCGGCCCTTTGTATGGCACATTGTTCGTCGCCGCCGGCAATGGCCCGTACTCTGACTCGGGCGTCTTCCCGCTCAAGTCAATCGGGTACACATTCGACCCGTTCGGGTACAATAACCCGAAATTCCGCTCCGTGCTTGGACCCGGTTTCTTGTTCTCGTTGTAGAGAGCGAAAAGGAAACTCGGCAGCACTGAACCGGGTCGGGCCGGCGTCCCGACCGGCGGTTTGGCGTTGAACTTTTTGACGACATTTCGGTTGTAAGTGGCGGCGTTGCGGATGTTAGCGCCAATCTGGTCGTAGTCGCCGCCGCTGGGCCAACCCGTTTCGGCGATCCAAATCCGGATATCCGGGTAGCCGAGTCGCTTCATTGCGAAAATCAAAGCGTCCACCATTTGGTCGAATAGGTTGTGGTAGGTTAGGCCCGAAACCGGGTCTTTGACTGTAATGTTCTTGGATTCGAACAGAGCGTAGTCTAAATTGATGTTGGTGGGATCGGAAGACCAAGGGAAGTACGTGTAGACATCGACGAAGAAGAAAGACTTGGTCTTGTTCACGAACTGCAACAGGGGTTTGATGACGGAAGCCGAAAAATCGGACCGAAACGTACCGTTTGATGGTGGGAACGACGATTCGAGGACGTCCATGGCCAATGGGGTCCCGACTTTGACCTTTGTAATGCCATGGGTTTTGAGGGCAGCTTTGATTTTGCGCATTGCCGGGACGAGATTGAACCAGATTGTTTTATCGGGTTGGCTGAGAATTTCGTTTCCGACGAGGAGGTACCGGATCAGAGTCTCGGGGTAAAAGGGCACCACATTGGCATGGACCCATTGGTCTGCGAGTGTTTGATTTGAGGAGATGTTGTTGATGAGCTCGTTGGGCACCATCATTGAGACTTGGAGGTCTGTGTTTCTGAGAGCTTCGAGGATTTTAGGGTTGGCATCATAGATTTTGACTCGCTTGGCTTTGAGGGATTGGATGAGCTTCACCGACTCTGATGGAGATGGTAGGTTGTTGCCTAGCTGGCCAAAGTTCACGCCCACCTTGGCTGCGAGCTCTGCACCTGCAAAATACAGAAGGGTTTAGAGCAAAACCCAAAATGAACAAAACCCATGTCACAAATTTTGAGATTCGTAGAGGAAACTTACTGGAAATGGAGACTAAGAAGCAGAGGATGAGCAGGGGAACAAAATCCAGCTCCATTTTTATTCTGCTTGAGCTCAGTGTAAATTTCAAGCCTGCCAGAATAAAAAGATGATCTTTTTAATAAAATCTATAAGTTCAAAGCAGAAACAGATGATATGGAGCTCAAAGATTGGATCTTTGGAGGGAGGTGGGTTTAGGTTATACGTTGGAGTTGAGGTGTTTTTAAGGACTGAGAGAGAGGATTGGGAATATAACTTTTTTGAAAAGATAAAGAAAAGAAGGAGAGGGTTGAGAGACAGAGTGATGCTAACTGCTAAGAGAGAATCAGATCAGATGGCTGAAGTTACATACCGGGCAAGAAAAGATCAAAGATCAAAAGATTTAGAGCAGAGAGAGAGAGAGAGAGAGAGAGAGAGAGGCAGTGGGGCCTGTTTAAGGTGTTTTATTAGTAAACAAATCCCCTTTGCTCGGTTTCCATGAAGGAGAGGAAAGGTGGAAACTGGCGAAAAGTCTATTAAATACCGACGAAAAGTACAATTAGCCGTTTGAGTGTTGCTGGCAGTCTAATAAATTTGCAGCTCAGCAGAGGAAGAGAGGAGAGAGCTTCTCATATACACTTGCTGTGTAGCAGATTAGCGATGTGGCTTGCGAGACACAGAGGACACCAAAACCTGTTTTTGAGGGACGAAAATGGCTAAAGCTTGTTAAAACCACAGCACCATTTATTCTTGGTGGGTGAGGTTGAAATTGAAATAACTTTCAAAGTGTAAAAGACAACTGCTGCTAAACTTACACTGTCAGCAGCATCATTCAATTTTGCATGGTTCCATTTTAAATACTCTTTCTTCTTGTACCATTTTCTAATCTTTCTATTTGTCTTTTCCCTATAACCCAAAAAAAGGAAGGCCCCTGGTGTCCATGTTCGGGCCACCAATGTCCTCTATACATTAAAATATTGATTTTGAGGGTTCCTCCAGGTCAAGATATAATTAATCAAAGATATTATTTTAGAAGAAACCAAGCAACAAAATAGAGGACTTTTGTGAGGAGGAAAGTGGGACGCAACAATTGTCTGCAAAACATGTTACCCGTACAGTCATACCAATGTCTGCAAAAGATGAAGAAAAAAAATTGTGCATTACAAATGTAGCACTCTAGAAGTCAAGAACTAACTCAATGTTAGGGGTGACCATTTTTAGGGCATAGACCAGATTGTTGTCCGATCCAATCTATCTGGCCGTGGTTGACTCGGTTTTTATCTTTTATTTTAAGCATTTGGGTTAATGTTAACATACAAACTTTTAAAAGTCTGAATCATCATGGCACTTTGGTAGTGTGTATGTGTATGAAAAACATTCATCCCCGTAGTTTAGACTTTAGACTATCATTTATATTAGAAATAAAATAAAAAGTTTCACTATGATTTTTTGTATTTTAAACAATTGATATATTAAATTACTCTAACTTAATATAATTTACGAGAAGATAGACTTCAACTTGGGGGTAAAGGGAACTACTCACTGGCATAGCTAATTGGACTTCGTAAAAGAGAAATCCGACTCTACGAAGCTATGAGCTAAAACTTTTTCCGGGTACAACCGGTAACCGGCTCCAACCTAGAGCCATCTTCTCGGATCTAGGGTTATAAACCGGCTCGTCCGGTTCTACCCCAAGTGATAACTTGGGCCATATTTTTGTTGGGTTCAAATGCATCTAACCCTCCAATCCAATTTGACTCAACATAGCCCAAATATTATTCATCCAATGACATGGGCCCAGCCCTACTCTACCACACCAAGGCCCGGCCCAATACCATTCTTAGTCTAACCCAAACCCAACAGCTCCTCCCACCTCACCAAACGCATCCCGCCATTACCAGACACTCTCCCTCGCTCTGCAACAATGCCGGTGACCATACGTCGCCTTCTCACGGCCACTCTCAGAACCCCAAATATTATCTCTCATCCACGCCCAGCTCTCTCCTCTCGCCATGTACTCCCCCAACCCTTATTTCCGCTCACCCACCCGTCACTCTACCACCGCCTCCTGTCCTCCTCATCCACCGAAAACCCTAACCCACCAAACCCGCTCAGAACCCGAACCCCACTAGAAAAGCAATTCGAGACATGGGTCCATAAGCTCAAACCCGGGTTCGGGCCACTCGAAGTCAAGGAGGCCCTGCAAGCCCAATCGGACCCGGATCTCGCCCTCGACATTTTCCGGTGGACTGCCCAGCAGCGCAACTACAAGCACAACCAGGCCACCTACCTCACCATGGTCAAAATCCTAATCAACGGCAAGAGGTTCAGGCAGGCCGAAACCCTAGTGGAAGAGGTAATCGCCGGAGCTTGTGAAATTAGCGTGCCTCTTTATAATTCCATGATTCGATTTTGCTGCGGAAGAAAGATGCTTTTCAATCGTGCGTTTGATATTTATAAGAAAATGTTGAACTCTGAGGATTGTAAACCCAATCTTGAAACTTATGCTCTGCTATTGAACTCATTGCTTAGGAGGTTTAATAATATGCATGTGTGCTTTGTGTACCTGCGTGCCGTGCGGTCTTTATCGAAGCAAATGAAGGCGTGTGGAGTGATTCCTGATACTTTTGTGTTGAATATGATCATAAAGGCTTATTCAAAGTGTTTGGAAGTTGAAGATGCAATGCAGGTTTTTCGCGAAATGGGATTGTATGGGTGTGAGCCGAATGCTTATACTTATGGTTACATTGCTAAAGGGTTGTGTGAGAAGGGGAGGGTAGGTCAGGGTTTAGGGTTTTATAAGGAGATGAGAGGAAAAGGGTTGGTGCCTACCAGTAGTACATACATGATTGTGATTTGCAGTCTCGCTATGGAACGGAGATATGATGATGCGAGTGAGGTTGTGCTTGATATGTTGAGTAATTCCATGTCTCCTGATTTGTTAACTTATAAAACGTTATTGGAAGGATTGTGCCGGGATGGGAAGGGTTCCGAGGCGTTTGATCTACTAGAGGATTTCAGGAAAGGGGATAGTAAGATGGGTGAAAAAACTTACAAGACTTTGTTAAATGCATTGCATTTTGTAAATGGGGAGTAATTCAATACTGGTCCTCTGAGTTCAGTTCAAATCGTATATACCCTATCCTTGGTTGGATTCATATATGAGATTTGAAATCTTCAAATATCATATGAGATGCCCAGTGTTGACGTTATGGGCGATACACGTTGGATGTAATAATGTGGCTATGGCTGAAGATGTATTAGCATTTATGTTCTGCTATGCATTTTGGCGGCTCTCTTGAATCAATATTCAAGGATGAGTTGGGATTGCTCAGAATGTTATGGAGGTTAGTTTCTGCATTTCCAGGATACATTAGAATCAAGGAGAGTAGAGTTTCCTTCTTTTGATTGCGGTGTAAGGTAAACAATTCAAAATTTCAAGAAGACTTACTTTGTTTATAATGTTGTTGGATGGAGTTGGAACTAAAGTGAAACTCTTTTTGAGTTGAAGTGATCTTACAGTCATCCATTGTTTTGCCTATCTTGCCCGTCTTCAGATTGATAATTGGAAATCGAACCTAGAGGATGCCATTTATTCAGATAGACATTTATACTTGTCAATCTAATATGGTCATGCTACTGAGATTTGGGATGTTATAAGAGGTTGGTATTAGAACCTTGCATGGCTTGAAGTTTTGTTGATCAGTTTTTTATTCCCTGAAGAGGATGTTTGTAAGTTTTTTTTTGTTTGACTGAGTTAACAAAAGAATGTGTAATCAGCCACAGATCTTGCCCTTTTATAAATATATATTTCTACGGATCCTCATTTTTAGGTGCAGGTGGGCAAGACTGTATATTTCTAACTGAAGTTTACATCTTTGTTAAGACTTGTCCTTGGCTAAGAGATGCCCTTACCTCCGAATATTCAACAGCGCGAGTTTTTTTTTTTTTTTTTTTTTTTTTTTTTTTGGGAATTGCAAAGATCACGAGTTTAATTGAAATGAAAACACATGATTGATATTCTTTTTTTTTAACATAGTCACGACTCACGCTTGATGGTTCGAAGTGATATGAACTATTTTAATTAAATTGAAGAAATGTTATGACCGTTGTATATTAAATTTATAAATATCCAGACTATACGTTTCTTTGTCAGAAAGAAACATTTCATTGAAATAACATTGTTAGAATACAATTCAACATAAAACTGAATCCTGTGTGCTCTCGTTAAAACTTTGCCATAAAAATATTCGGATTAAATTTATTAAATTACACAAAGAGGATCTATATGTAATTGGAAAAGGAAAAAAAAATTACAACATTTGCTCAATGGATTCAAAAGTGTAAGTTGTAGAGCAAAAATAGATGTGCTTGTCGTTGACTGCCACGTAAGGCAAGAGAATTACATCGACGTGTTCATGACCAATAGAAGCAGGATTTGAGAGCCAATAAAAGCGAGACCCACCAAAAACACTCGAGACACGGGGACTGAGAGATCGCAAAAATGGGTTCCGTTGCTGCAATGAAGGCCGTCGCCGTTCTCTTCTTCTTGTCTCTCTCCGGCTTTGGTAGGTCTCGTCATCATTCATGGAAACATCGTTAATTCCTGATTTCATGTGTATTCATAATATTTCAATTTCATTGCTGACTTCTTGTTCTTTTTTCTTTTTCAAAATCCAGTTTTGGCCGGCAAGGTGAAGGAAGTCAAAGAGTTGCAGATTGGTGTGAAGGTGAATTACCCTTTTCATTTTGTTCATCTATCTCTTTACTAGTCGAAGTTGCGATCCAAAACGCTGTTTTGATTGTGAAATTGTGAACAAATTTTTAAATATTTTAAAAGGTAGCTGCTGGAGTTGGTTGATTTGTAGTTATATATGTGTGTGGATCAGCTGCGTGGTCGAATTTTAAGTTTCTTACTTAATGGGTCATTGCAAGTTATTATCTTTTTGGATATTATAATTGTTTAGGACTTTTGGGTATTTATCACTTCAGTTATTTTCATTGATTAGCTTAGTTTTGGATAGTTTTAGAAGGCTTGGGGTGTCCTGTGATACTGCTTGAAGTGGTTTTAATTTGGCTGAATCCTTGGCATCTGTTGACATTGTTGTTGTTTCTTGTGTATGGATCGTTTAAACAAAGAGGGGTTTGCTAGAGTTATATGGAACTATCCTCAATTCCTCTTTATTGATAATTTACCTTTATGTTGCAGTATAAGCCAGAATCTTGTGAACTTCAAGCTCGCAAAGGTGATAAAGTCAGGGTACACTATCGGGTGAGCAGAATTTCTGAAACATATGCTTTTAAATAGTGTATGTTAGTAGATATATGCGTTAAATACTGAAGTTAATTGCACTCGGATTTAGATCAACATGTCATAAATAAAATTTGATTACCAAACATAGCATAATTTTTGTTTTTCTTGACAAGTTCATATGCTTTTAAATCACCACATTGTTACCTGAGCTGAAAATCTAGTAGTATGGTTGACGAACTTTTGAAATGAGAGTGCTTTCCAGTTTCGAAGAAATTTGAAGCATTGATTAAGCATCCTAACAAATCTATTGTTATTTCATCATTCCTTGGGTCTATTTTTATTTAGATTATGCTGCCTAAATATTTGTTACTCCCAGGCTTGTATGTCTTTTTGTATGTTTTGATTACAATGGAGCATACTCAGTGAAACCTAATAGCATCTGGTTACATCCTTGAAGCTCTTATGAGACTGATGTATATGTACATTTGGCCCTTAATTTGGTATTTTTTTCCCCCAATGTTTGTTGTCAGTCAAATTTCCATTCCCTGCTGTGGTCAGCTTATTAATCCCAAAGACTTCTTCAATATGAGCTAGGCATTTGGGAGGAACTAATAACAGTCCTCGTCAAGACCTCTTGAAAATGTTCAGCATGTCCTCCCATGTTCTGGCAGATTGGATGTGACATAGTGCACTTTGACATTAAAATTTCCGTTTTCAGTATCTATTTTGGTAGTGGTTTAATGTATTCAATATCTAAATTCTACCCACATTATTCTCGTTGGCTCACTATACATTAGATGAATGAGCCAATCTCTCATCCTATAGTGAAGATTGATTGACTAGTTTTTCTTCTTTGACCTTTGCAGGGGAAACTCACAGATGGAACTGTATTTGATTCTAGTTTTGAAAGGGGCGATCCAATCTTTTTTGAGCTTGGGACTGGTCAAGTTATTAAAGGTGTGTGGTGTACTATTTAACTCAATTACATATTCTTGCGTAATTTTCTTATTACAAATACCAAATAGTTGGAATGCAGAGCAGAGGCAAACCCGTACTTTTGACAATGGTTCATATAGGAAGCATTTGATTATGCTTTATTAGTAATCAGTTTCAGATAATCCTTTTTTTTTAGTGTAAGTATATTGATTCACATTTAATAGTCGTTTCTACTGGCCATAAGAGTTTACTGGGTTTTCAGCTTGTCAATACTCTTTAAAGCTGCTTCCCCTAATTTGTAATTAATGATGGGTTTTCTATGACTGTTTTTTAAACTGCACTGATTGTACTTTATGTTCATGTTGTGTAGCTTATATTTTATTCAATTTTTAATTAATGCTGGGAATATGTAAGAGTGTTTCTAGATTGTCCTTGATTAGAGAGAGAGAGAGAGAGAGAGAGAGTTTCTGCTTTTATCTGTTGTGTCAACTTCCATGTGATTATGGCAAACATCAAGCATGATGGGTATGCTGCATCCTGGATGTGATGCCATGGGTAGCAATTTACTTGAATATTACATGTAGCTTACACAGTGCAAGTTCACTGTACTCTACTCTTACTGTTGGTTTACCTGAACAAAATTTTCTTACAGGATGGGACCAAGGAATTCTGGGAATGTGCGTAGGTGAGAAGAGGAAGTTGAAAATTCCGGCAAAGCTTGGCTATGGAGAGCAGGGTTCTCCACCAACCATCCCAGGTTAGTGTGAACCAATTCTCTTCTGCATCACTGTACTCAATTCTCTTCTGCCTGTGCCTCTATTTAGTGTGAACCATATATGTGTACAAGCAATGAAACGATTAGAGTAAATGCATATGAAAACTCAGGATGGCGAGATCCACATAATTGTCTTTACAGACAATGATGCTTATAGATAAAATATAGTTCAGAATCTCAAATGATTGTTCCTTGAACGTTACAGGAGGCGCAACACTGATATTTGACACCGAGCTCGTTGAAATTTTGGGAAGAGGATCGAAACCTAATGATGACGAGCTGTAGTTGGGGAATGATTTCTGACTCGGGCTGCTCCTTTGTTTTTCATTTCTTAGTTGTGTTCATGAAATTACTTGTAACCAGTGGCTTGGTGAGCCAAAACTTTATTTTGCTTTATTTAGCAGACTACACTACATTTTTTTCAATGTACTTTTGAACTTGAGAGGAAATATGTTTTCTTACCATAATTTGACATGCCGAGGTGCGATGTTTTGAGATTGTTAATCTCAAACATAATGATCATGGCACTGTTTAATTACGCGATTAAAATTTGCAGCCAAATATGTCAAATCATTTTATCAGAAACCAAAAACAAAACGAAAGGAAGATGTGGACTTGGGGGGGCATTATCATTTCAAAATTACTTGATAGTTTGCTCAAAAGAAAGATGTAAACTTGGGGGCCTTTATGCCAAAAGCCATGTTGCCCATTTTGGGAGGCTTTCTTCTAAATAAAGCAAACTCACTGCTTTCTGTTGCTTCTGTCTTCTGCCTTCTGCTAGAAGAAGACACTGCATATTAAAGACAGTGAAAAGTGAACACTAACGTCACAAAAGAAAACGACATGTAGTATTCGAACTGTGCTGTGGATGCTATAAATGGAAAGCACACGACGTCGTATCTGTCATCAGTATAATCTGAGCCGTTGGATTATACCTGGAGCACGATCGAAGAACTACCGAATCAGATTACGAGCCTCCCTGCAACCTAAACCCTCGCAGAAGCCTCTAGAACTCATAATCACACCCATAAAAAAGCCTCGACTTTCACACAGACAGAGACACACGCAGACTCACACTTCTCTAATTTTCCTGAAGCTCAAAATCTAAGTCTAGAATCTTCGGCTCGCATCTCACGCTCGCGAGAAAATGGATGAGGACTTTGACATGCCAGTGCCGGAGGAGATGAACGGGGACTTTGATCTCCCCGACGAGGGTCCCGTTCTCAAGGTCGGTGAGGAGAAGGAGATCGGCAAGCAGGGCTTGAAGAAGAAGCTCCTCAAGGAAGGTGAAGGTTGGGACACCCCAAAAAATGGCGACGAGGTTGAAGGTGCAAGATTTTTTTTTGTATCTATTTTTTTTTTTGTCTGCCTGCATTTTTTTTTTTTTTTTTTTTTTTTTTTTTTTTTTTTTTGGTAGTGGTTTTGGTCGTTTTTGTTTGTTTTGAGATTGGATTGCGATGTTTGATGGTTTTAGTTCATTATACTGGGACATTGCTCGACGGGACTCAGTTCGATTCGAGCCGTGACAGGGGGACTCCATTCAAGTTCACTCTTGGACAAGGTGAGAGCTTTTTGATCATTTTTCAGTTTCAATTTAATGAGATTTAGTAGCTTGATTAAGCTGCTGGATGATTTAGATGGAAATAATGCCTTGTTAAATTAGTTTTGCACAAATGCATGCGTGCAATGAAGAAGTTTTCAGAGCACGAGTGTTTTTCATTAGGAAGTGGGTGGGAAGTTTGGGAATGATTGGTTTAAAGTCTTTAAGTGATAATTTGACGACGAAAGAGTGGTACTTTACTTCGTTGGGACTACGCGAATGTTATCAAGAAGCAAGCTTAAACTGGCAGTGAAAACATGCATCGTATTTGTATTTTAAAATCTTTTGTACAATGAATTCGTCACCTTTGGAAGAAGAATTGACAAGTAGAGGCATCTTTTTGTTAAGTTAAAGAGATGAAGTTGAGTTTTAAATAGCTGTATTGATATGCAATATTATGGTCCCTGTTAAGATTTTGTTGTCGTGGTTCTTATTGTTTTGTTATCTTATGTCATAATCCAAAAGCTCCTGGGAAATGCTTTGGAGTTTGATCTCCTTTCAGGGTGAGCTCTCTCTCACGGAATGAGTTTTCTGATGTTGTGGTGCAGGACAAGTGATTAAGGGATGGGATGAAGGTATTAGAACGATGAAGAAAGGTGAGGATGCCCTTTTCACCATCCCTCCTGAGCTGGCTTATGGAGAGGCTGGATCCCCACCAACTATCCCTCCCAAAGCCACATTGCAGTTCGATGTTGAATTGCTATCATGGACCAGTGTCAATGACATATCCAAGGATGGTGGAATAATTAAGAAGATCTTGAAAGAGGGAGAAAAATGGGAGAACCCAAAAGACCTCGATGAAGTTATAGGTAAGTTTCTCTTTAATGCTGTTTCTATTGGCTTGTGTGCTATCTATGATCGTTGTCTATTAACTTCCTTCCGCTCCTGTTCTTTATGCAGTTAATTTTGAGGCTCGGCTTGATGATGGAAAAGTTGTTGAAAAATCTGACAGAGTGGAATTCACTGTCAAAGATGGTATCATTTTCTTGTCATATATATATATGAATTCAGTTCTATATTTTTTGGTTGAGAATTTGGTTTTTTAAATGTTCTCATAATCTTGTAAATAGGTTACTTCTGTCCTGCGTTGTCAAAGGCTGTTAAAACAATGAAGAAAGGGGAGAAGGTATTATTAACGGTGAAACCACAATGTGAGTTGCCTTGAGCCATCAGCCTGATATTATATGAAATATAAAAATGACCGTTGTGTTATGATCTAATATTTGCCTGCGTCTTGGTTCCAGATGGATTTGGGGATAAGGGTAAGCCTGCATCTGGTTATGAAGGTGCCGTTCCTCCAAATGCCACTCTTCACATCACTTTAGAGTTGTTATCATGGAAAACTGTCTCAGAAGTGACAGATGACAAGAAGGTTATTAAGAAGATCCTGAAAGAAGGGGAGGGATTTGAACGTCCAAATGAAGGGGCTGTTGTTAAATGTAGGTGTTAGCCCATTGATTTTGGATGAGTATTTTACAATCTATACCAGGTTAAAAAGTTTTTAAATAGTTATCTGATTTTGTTGCTGGCAGTGAAATTGATTGGGAAGCTGCAAGATGGTACGGAATTTTTGAAGAAAGGTCATGCTGAAGAAGAAGAGCTGTTCGAGTTTAAGACAGATGAGGGTAATAATAATGCGAAGTGCTTCTTTTTGACCTTTTGTTTTGTTCTTTTTACCTATAGTGGTACTGAGTCAATGATTGTATTGGACAGAGGAAGTGATTGATGGGCTTGATAGAGCTGTCCTGACAATGAAGAAGGGTGAGGTAGCACTCCTGACCATTGCACCAGAGTATGCATTTGGTTCTTCAGAGTCCCCACAGGAGTTGGCTGTGGTACCTCCTAATTCGACAGTCTACTATGAGGTTGAGCTCGTATCTTTTGAAAAGGTGGGTCAATAATACCGCTCAGATTATGTTGTGCAACATGTATCCATTGGCATCAAATTACTGAGATTGTGTGTTTTTCTCAAATAATTTTTGTATTATTCTTTTCGCACCTCAGGATAAGGAATCATGGGACATGAATACTGAAGAAAAGATTGAAGCTGCTGGTAAGAAGAAGGAAGAAGGGAATGCACTGTTTAAGGCGGGTAAATATGCAAGAGCTTCCAAGAGATATGAAAAGGTAGGATGACAAATGTTGACTCATGAACCAGATGATTGGACTTGAGCTGTTATGCTCACTGGAGCTCTTTCCATGCAGGCTGTCAAGTACATCGATTATGATACTTCCTTTAGTGAAGAGGACAAAAAACAGTCTAAGGTGTTGAAGGTTGCTTGCAATCTTAACAATGCAGCTTGCAAGCTGAAGCTGAAAGATTATAAACAGGCTGAAAAGCTGTGTTCCAAGGTCCGCAATTTAGAACTTAGAAATGCTTGGAAGTTCCCGTTCTGTGGTTGACTTATACAGTTACTAACCGACTATTTTGTGCACAGGTGTTGGAAATCGAGGGTAGAAATGTGAAGGCCCTGTACAGAAGGGCTCAGGCATATATTCAGCTGGCAGATTTGGATTTGGCTGAGCTTGACATCAAGAAGGCTCTTGAAATAGACCCCAACAACAGGTTTTGCTCCTTCTCAAGTGTCTGGATTCTCTCTTACAGTATTTTGTGTGATGGAGAAGTTGAAATGTTCACACTTCTTTCTGCGTTGAAACAGGGATGTGAAGTTGGAGTACAAGACTTTGAAGGAGAAGATGAAAGAATTCAATAAAAAGGAGGCCAAGTTTTACGGCAACATGTTTGCCAAATTGACCAAGTCGGACTCTCCGGATTCCAATGTAAGTAGTATTCTTCTAGTCGGACATTGTTTTCAATATATGATTCGAACGATTGTCGTTTGGTTGCAGTTGCTGGTGGTGATTTCATGATTTCTGGGTTTAATAGACTGGTTTTGATTTTGGCTTTACAGAAAACAGCGGCTAAAGATGCTGAACCCGTGAGCATAGATAGCAAGGCATAAGGGGACTGCATCACATAATCGGCTCGCAGCTTCCAATTGTGTCATTAAGGAGTAAATTCCTAGCTTTTTAAAATTGTGTAGGACTACTTGGTCTTGGCTCAAAGAAGTTGTAATGGATGATTTACTAAAACTGGATTGTTGACATTGAATTTTATAAGTTAAATATTTTTAAACATACCTTACTTATGTTGCTTTAACCATCAAAGCTTTTGATTTCCTTAATTTGAGTTTATCAGAGTTTGAAATGCTTACAATGCCAAAAACCGTGGAATATGGACAAGATTTGGCATTGGCAAGCTGTTGGAACCGCTGAGGTTTCGGGTTTGTGTGCGTCATGGTCCTGAGGTTTGTCTAAGCTGAAAAGACCAGGCTTCAAATTGCATATAAACGAACCATATACAATAGCTTTTCTTGAAGAACAAGGAAAAAGTCCTCTCAACAAAATTTCGAGCTGATCAAATCAAATATAATTTCTCATACACAATTTGCTAATAGCAAAAATAAAGAATAACGAATGTGATGATCTAACGAATCAGCCTTTGGCACAGGCAACCAATTGTACATTGGTATTTTATACCAGACAAACAGATGGGACTGGAAAATTGGATCCATTCCTACAAACTAATCTTTAGGGCCCCTTTCCCATATCTAAATCAATGAGACAAACTTCAAGAACTGTGGCTTGGCACCAACAATGATACATACAGTTTTGGATTGAGAGTCTAGTTACCGTCTACAGATTCATGCCGAGCACAACAAAATTGCTTCTATCAGGGGAGTCGACTATCGGAAATAGCAGGGAACTGACGGTTACAGCTCTCTCATCGGCACACCGATATGGATTTCAAAGCTCTGATCAAAGTACCCGACCCATGGTACATTCCGGGAAAGCACTCAACACCACTTGAAAGCATTACTCGGAGGAGGTCAGCTCACCTGCTCTCCTATCAAATCAAGGCCAACAACTAGAAAGGTGATCCCTTGAAATAGTAGGAAGTAGAAGTGAATTCCTTGGGCAGACAGCAAGCTTCTTGCTGAAGCAGCCAACAATACAAAGGCAATTACAAGTTCCTTCCTATATAATCGATTTCTTCTCCTCTTCCCAGTTTTCTTAGATGTCTCTAGTTTGGTCAGCTCATCAAGGCCTGATTCTGAGGCTGACCTTTGAAGACCAGTAGTTTGCACTAGCGGCTCAGACTCCCTTTCAAAAGCAACTAAATCTGTCTCTGATGACCTTCCCAGTTTCTTTGTAACTATCCACTCATAAGAAGTTCCAAACTGAAACAATCCTGATATCATGGCATTAAATTTGGTCACTGACATGGTATTCTCGAAAAGAAGGTAGGGGACAATAAATGGGAATGAGCGTGGTGCAGGAAGAATATTCAAGACAGACATAATTCCAGGGACATAACAAACAACCCATGCTGGTAGCTGAGCTTCTGGTAGGAACATGGTCAAGGGAAGAATGATGCAAAAGAGAGTGAACGAATAAAACGGCAGAATAAGCTTCCGAAGGAGGAAGAAGAGAAATATCAAATTTGCTTTCTTGGTCAAACTCACCTGGAATGAGAAAACAATAAAGGTTATGTTCATGTGTACTTATATTGGTAAAAGAATTTGTACCAAAGTCAAATTTTTTCTGACTTGAGATTTAGATGACCACAAGAAGCCTATCTTTCTCATAACAAAAGGCAATGCACCTCAATCCCTTTCTTAATTTTACAGATAATCAAGTCTTTTTACACTATTTGTGCCTTAGACATCCTACTATAAAAATAATGAATAATATTCTTCTAAAAATTAATGAATATAAAGGAACTTCTATACCTTTGAACGGAGTATGTCAAAGAAACACACACGGAATAACTGCATTGGACCAGAATGCCAGCGATGTTGCTGTTTCTTGTATGCCCCGTAGGACTCTGGAAGTTCACAAAGGCACTGCAAAAGCAGCAAGTTCAGCAAACCATACAAGGAAGCTTTAAACTATGTAAAGTCGAAACTTTGACAATGGAAAATATGCACCTTGACATCATTCAGATATATGAACTTCCATCCACAAAGATGAGCACGAACAGCAACATCCATGTCTTCGACAGTCGTTCGTTCCAACCAACCACCACATTCCTCAAGGGCCTTAATCCTCCACACACCAGCTGTACCGTTAAACCCAAAGAAGTTGATAAACACCCCATTGACCTGTTGTTCAACTTCAAAGTGGAAGGACAAGTTTATATTCTGCAGTCTGGTAAGCAAGTTCTCATCCCTGTTTACAAAAGACCACCTTGTCTGGACCAATCCTAGATCATCATTCCCCTTCAAGAAAACAATACAAAACCCACTTTCAATCCAGCAAACAAGGACTTGTGATTTAGGAAGTGAAGTTGCAAGCAGCCTAGATGATTTAAGTATTGTGAACTTAATCATGCACATAAGCTGAGAGTGTAAATGAATGGTCCCATTCTCTATAGCGTATACTTGTACAAAACTCCGAAAACACCAACGGATTAATCAGAATAGTGTGTTCTAATAGAGAGTAAAAATTACCTTGAAATAAGGAATGGTTTTCTTCAAGAACTCAGGTCCCGGCTGAAAATCTGCATCAAAGATGGCCACAAACTCATAATTCTTAACATAATCGCAGCTCATAGCAGATTTCAGATTCCCTGCCTTGTACCCTGTGCGCATAAGCCGATGTCTGTACAATATGGGGACACCCCGTTGTTGCCACTTGCTTACTTCCGCCTTGATAAGCTGTTGAACCTCTATATCATCGGAATCATCCAAAACCTGCACAAGCATTCTCTCCTTCGGCCAGTCCTGAATACAAACCGCAGCAATCGACTGATGGTACACCTGTTTGTCACCCAACAGAAGCACATTTCAATACTAAATGAGAGACAAAGGGTAGCTAGAAGGCATAACAGAAACACTAGTAATCTATCAAGACCAACATTGTAGCATTATATCAAAAGCAATCAAATTTAACAATGCCCAGTTCTAACTTCCAACTTATGTTCGTAACTAATCTAAACATGTAAAATGCCATACAAGGCTCATGAATCACTCTTATCATTTTATGAAAAACAATAAAAATTGAAGCTTGATATTAACTAGTAACTAAAACATAAATATAAAAACACATTAAAGGAAATCTAAACGGTGTCGTTAGGGATTAGAAACCTACATCATCTTACCTCCCTCTCATTGCACATAGGGATCTGCAACAACACCATGGGATAATCCTCCACATTCACATCCTCAGTACTGTTCCCCTCCTCGTCCTGATTCGACGACGACGTCGTTGGGTACTCCATGACCGCCTTGGGCTTGACTCTCCGAAACTTGATCCAGAAGCATCCGAACACCAAAGCAATGCGATCAACAGACTGAATCAGAAAGAGCACGATGCAGAGATTGGCGAAGCTCTGCAATGGCGGCGCCAAGTAATTGACCCGAACGTGGAGCCAATTGGCGTAGAGAAGCTCCACGAACTCGGCTGATCTCACCGATGGCGGACTGAAATGCCACCCCTTGAAGTAGGCCACGAGCTCGAAGCAGAGCAGCAGGAGCACGACGATCAGAAAAGCCTTGATGACGCGGTAGAGGCGCGACGAGGACGAATCGGCGGGGGAATCGGGCGACGTGACTCGGCGATTCGCTGTGCGGAGGAGGACGAGGAAGGAGCTGGTCACGGAGGAGAGGGAGGCGGCGATTTGCTGAAACTTGAGGAGGTAGACCCAGGACAGCTGGCGGGCGCTTCGTGAGCGGTCTTTCCCGACCGTCCGATCGGGCCCGGGGCTGTGGATATCGATGGCGAGCAAGTGGCTTGATTCGTTGGAGAGGAGGAGGTCGTGGTTGCTCTGTCTCTGCTTGTTCCACCATTCTTGAAACTCATGGTTTTGAGCTCGAGACATTAATAAATTAATGTGTGTATATATATATATATATATATGTGTGTGTGTTTCTTCTTCTGCTTCGTCTTCTTCTTCTTCGTCTTCTCAGATCTCTGTTCTGTGTGTAACGACTAAATGACTCTGTTTCTGTGTGGCGCTGAAAGAGGGGGCCTTTTTTGTGTTAAATTTAGTAAGAGACTTGCCTGAAGGAGCCTCTTAGCATTTTTGATTGATTTTCTTACTTCGATTGTTTGTTGCGACTTGCGAGAGTGGGCAGGCCATGTGACTTTTCGCACCTTCTTTTCATATCTACATTTTGCTCTACCTACGCGCTAATTATGGTGCTATTTTAGGAAATGCTTATTGAGAAAGCAATTCTGTTTATAAGCGCTTTTAATAAAACAACGGTTGATAAATATCGACGTGATTTTTTCAAAGTACTTTTTAACTTTTCTACTAAATGTTGTCATAAATAGTTTTAGTTATCTTAAATATTTTATAAACACTTCGAAATCGGTACTTAGCTAGATCATTGTCTAATAAAGATATTCGCATGTATAGTAATTTATGATTGAGAATGTTAGTTACATTTCCTTTTCCGTATTCTCTTCTACCTTCTCATGTTACTATTTCATCTCACATAAATATAATAAATCGTCTTATTTTTAGGCAAATCGTGTATAGAGAAGGAATCGAATTTTAAATGCATATGTAAGGAAATCCGAGTGCAATGAAAAGTCCAAGCACGATCTTTTCCCCAAAAAAAAATGATAAATTGTTAATCAAATGATTCAATTAGCTTGAATTGTGCAAATTATCACATATTATTTGGTCAAACAAGCAACACATCTAGTTCAAAAACCAGGCGGGGATTGGTCAAATAAGCGAATACAACCAAAGGACAAACGACAAACGACTGATTTTCATCTTCCAATTCCGAAAGGCAGAAATCAAATGATCTCATGACACGACATTTGACACCCTTCACCCAACAAACGAGAACGACAACCTATGGAAACAAACACACACAAACAACTAAACTAACCAACACTGCCAATTTGTTTGGTTTGGCAATTTTGGGTCACTTGTACGAATGGGCCAGCCGACACACCCATAACAATGAACCCAGATCTCAACTTTTCCAATCCAAACCGTTTGGGTTTGTTGGGGCCTAACTAGGAACAAGCTGCAAGCTTGCAGGCCCAAAGTTCTGCTTGGGTTTTGGAGAATTCAATTGGTTATGGATAATGATGATCAATACATCAACTTCAGGCAGATGGGCACCACAATGGAGTGGTTGGGGCTTTGCTCCTCCCTGGGAATGGCCTTGGGATCGACTCCCTGCATCGGCGTGCATGTGAGTTTAAGGATTTACCGACCTTTTTAAAAGGAGAGGACTTCAGAATATATATAATGAGTCCCATTGTTTTATGAATTCTACATTTAAAATCTTTATTTCATATTAGGGAGTTCTCTTCCATTGAAATCTTGTCTACTTGCTTGATTTTAAATACGAGTGTTTTTTGAATTCTACAATTTAAACTCTTTATTTCAGACTAGGGAGTTCTCTTCCATTGAATTCTTGTCTACTTGCTTGATTTCAAATACGAGTTTGTTTTATTTTGACCCCAAAAAAAAACGAGTTTGTTTTATGAACTCTTGTCTGCTTACTTGATTTCAAATACAAGTTTGTTTTATGAATTCTACAGTTTAAAATCTTTATTTCAGACTAGGGAGTTCTCTTCCGTTGAATTCTTGTCTACTTGTTTGATTTCAAATACGAGTTTGTTTTATGAATTCTTGTCTACTTGATTTCAAATACAAGTTTGTTTTATGAATTCTATAGGTTTAAAATCTTTATTTCAAATCAGGGAGTTCTCTCTCATTGAATTATGAATTATTGTCTACTTGCTTGATTTCAAATACGAGTTTGTTTTATGAATTCTACAGTTTAAAATATTTATTTCATACTAGGGAATTATCTTCCATTGAATTATTGTCTACTTGCTTGATTTCAAATACGAGTTTGTTTCGGATTTCTAAATGTCATCATAGATGTCTACAACAAGAGTTCGACTCTTACTCTATTATTCTTCGAACTTCTTTAATGCAAATTAAGCAATTGTCACAAACTTACAAATACTCTCTCACCAATGAAAAATGTGAAAAGCAAGTAAAACAAATGAAGTAGGGCAAGAAAATAGGTGAAGCAAGGTTATGTTTATTTTAAGTTTCCCTCATTTTTTTTAAAAAAAATCTTTATTGTTTGTATTTTACTTGTTTGACATTTGAGGTTTACTTCGCCACCACAAAACTTGTCCACCGTTCTAACTAAAGGAAAACCGGGTGCGATTGTGACATTTCAAATCTAACCAGATTTTATGAAAAGGAGATGGCATTAGATTCATTCATTCATTTCTTTCTTGAATAAAGTGTAATTTGTGTAATAAGAAAGAAGTAAGAGGCTCTAGAAGAATGCAAGGGAAAAGAAAAAAAAGAAATAACGAGAGACAAAACACGTTTACAGTTGGAGAGCATGAAATAATGCAAGGGTCGGTGAAGCAAATGATGCTTGTCTTTCTCCCCAACAAAAGCAAAGCGAAAAACACCAAATGGCCAATTAAAGTTTCAAAAGGCAGGCCCTCTCTCTCTCTCTCTCTCTCCCTCCCTTAGGTGAAAGGTAAAGAACCCAAATGAGAACATTGGGGAAAATGGGGTGATAGAATAGTGACAACTTGGTTAATTCATAGGACACCTACCCTATAATAATGGGTCACTATAATTGCCCTTAAACCAACAAACCCACTTGTTGTCTTTGAGGTTTTGAAATCTCTCCAAACATTCTTTCTAGCAGGAGGGCTATAGGTAAAGGGTAGGGTCCCCTCATTTCTCTTGGGGTTTTTGGTTGCAAAAGCCAAAGCCATCTCGCGGAGACCCGAAGCTTTTTTCCCTTCCATTAAGGTCATAGATTTCAGGATTTGATTAGGACATTTCACCCACAGATTTGTTTCCAACAGCTAGCTTAGTAGAAGCATCATGCCAGACACACAACAAATTGCTCAAATTGCTCAAATTGCTCAAATATCAGTGGTTGGTATTCAAGAAAAACAAAGAACAATCCAGACCCTCTCTTTTGATAATCGAGAGAAGAGAGGAATCGAATGCACGTCATATTTTGACATTGAGAAGAAAAGTACTGTTAAACTAATAAGCGGGTAAGTTCTCATGAAAATAAAATAATCTATAAGATTATTAAAGCTTGAACTTCGATCATTTTTCTAGGGTAATTTAGATATTAAATACATAACGTCTAGAGTAATATAGAATTATCTTATTAATTCAATTGTTTTGTTGATGCTAGCTCAATTCAGTTAAGAATATTGAAATTGGGTGCCAGTTAAGTCTAAAGTGGCCAGTCCATGTCAAGTTAAGTAATTTCCCTTTTTATTTCCCAAATTCTCAATCAAATTACTAAATACGAGGAATCTTAATCATGAGAGAAATTCTCAATCCAACGAGGATCACTTTTTGCTATCTTTGGTTAATAACACAATGACACGTAAGATAACTTTTTTATATATTATTATATTATTGACCGGAATAATAAAACAACATTATCACCAATACAAGTAACTTTTTTTCCTTAATCAAAAAAGAACCACCCAAGCATTCGAAGAAACAACTGCATAAAGAATCAAGAAGAGGACAAAGGAAAAAAAGGGGGAAAAGATAAGAAAAATATCGATCATGTACACGTCTCCATGTAATTGGCTTTAAATTTCATGGAGACAAGACTGTCAGACTATAATTTTCTAATTGTAATTATTAATTTGCCTATCATTACGACAATTATATAATAAGATATGTAACTGTTGAAGTATGCTGTGCACCACATCCAAAGCATCTTTCTAGTAATTAAATTACACTAATCTGCAGACCAATAATAGACCCTTGAATTAAAAATAATGATTAAGGCTGCAATGCACAAATCTTTTGCTGAACCCAAAACTTGGATTTTTACTAACCACCTCTCAGAAAAAGATTAGTCTAAATTTTAAAGGGTATCTTTCCAAACCTGAACTCCACTACAAGACCCTTTTTTCCTGTTTTTCTATTGCCATACAATTTTAAAGTGGGTGAGATTATAAAGCTCTATTATACATTGGGCCTAGTCAGAATCTCACCATTGCCAACCTGGGATTCTTTTGATGTTCTCTGTATAGTTGTATATCATAAAATTTTTATAAAAAAATCTAAAGATTTTCAATGGGAGTGGTTCTAACTTCTAACTTCTAACACCTCTGCTGCTGCTGCTGTTATTCATTTTTCTATTCAGAACAGTAAAAAGGAACAGAAGCTTCTGTTTTTGGATAACCTGTGAAAATTACAGATGCCCAAAATATGGCAGAAATCATGGTTGACCCCAGCTCAAAATTTATAACCAAATGTCTTAATCATTCAAATTAAGACTTTTTAGAGAGCAAGAGACCCCACTCATACAGCTGGTTGCAACACAAGTTAGAATCAAATCCAAAAGATTTAGATGCAAACTTTTAACAGTGTTCCATTGACATGACCTTTGTGGAAAATTACAAATGACAATAGACAAAAATTTCTCATTGAAATGAAATGACAAAGCTCTTCCTTCTAATTAATTAGCATTTGTTATTTTACATGGTGCTGTAAGCAAACACTAAATTTGCACCAGAATACAGAAATTTGCTTCTGGGATTTTACAGTGGATGAAAATTAGACAACAAAATTACATTGAAAAAAAAAGAAAGAAAAAGATGATGAAAGTGAAGGGCAGAAAAAAATAATGGCTCTCTTTGATCAATAGACCTAAAGATGATAAAGGGCTTCTTGGTACCAAGCAAATGATAAAAGGCTCAGTAGCAGTCCATGCAATCTTCAAATTTTTATATCTTATATATACAACAGCATCCCCTCTGTCCATTATGGAAAAGACTGACAAAATGGTGGTCAGAGCTCAATTTTCATGTGGGATACTTGATTTGAACCTGCAGCATAAAAAAGAAGAAAAAGAAATTACCATTTATGAATTTATGATTCACAATTTTATAATATACAGTAGGGATTTGAGAGGGTTTTTAACATGATTTTCTTACTCACCATCCAACTCTGTTTCCCTATTTGGATTTTGACCATACCCCATTTGGACAATGGTTTGCAGATCATCTTCACCAAATTCTGGAAACTGGAACAAATTAACCAGAGACAGAGTTAGATAAACTTATCAAACTACCAGAAAAAGGTACTTTTGGCTTGGAAAATTGTGTGAAGTAAAACTGTAAAATAAATTACCCGAGGAATGCCTTCACTGCTAAAACCACTGAGTGGAGGTAACTGCATCCCAAGGCTTTGGCATAGTGAGGTATCTAAGGGGTCCACTGCTCCATTAGAAATGTTGTTCTGTAGTGCTGGATTTTGCTGGCGCTGGTGGCCATAAACGGCTTGTGCCGAGGAATCTAATGGGAATATTGGATGTTGTGGCAAAGAGTTGTTTTGTTGAAATATCTAAAACCAGAAAAACCAGCAAAATCCCAATTCAGAAAAGTTGGAAAACATATAGAAGAAAAAATATATATAAATATATATACAGCCATTAACTTTGTTGAGAGAATAAATTATGAACCTACTTCTTTTGACATTAGAGCATCCATGTTGAAATCCAGCCTGGTGTTCACAGAAGCCAACTTCATAGAGAGGAACTGCACAAGAAACATGCGGATAAGGGAAATGACTTGGAATCTGCCATACAAATTTACAAGCATCCGACCTTGTTGACCTTTTTTTTTTTCTTTTTTATCCATAAATGTCATTTTACCTCGACTTGACGTTGTAATGACTGAACATAATTTATAATCTCATCAAGCATAAGTGCTTTTCCAGTGACCTAAAAAAAAACCAAAAATCAAAGTCATATTAGTAAAAAGGACACATCACACATTCATGCACCTTAAAAAGATAGAAGCTTGTCAGTAAAATTCTGCATTTTTTTGCAGACCTTGTTACAGCCAGGTACAAGATCTTGAAGAAGCTTCATCCTTTCGCTGATCTTCTCTCTTCGGACCTATCAAAATTACATAAACCCATGTCAGCATATTGACAATCTAAAGATTTTGGAGGGAATTAAATTAAACTCATAATTCTTACCCTTTCAGCTAAACTATGGCTGTCAGTGGCTTGACCCCTTCTTGCTCTTACATGAATGTAGTCCTTGGGAGGCTCAGGTGGCTTTGGACCAGTCTTGGTTTGCTTCTCATCACTACTGGTGCTTCCCTTTGTATCCTCCTCTGCTTTAACAGAGCCATTTTGATCATTCCCATTATTTTCATTTGGCTTGCTTCTCTTTGCATTAGAATTATCATTAAGTTCAGCCCCCTGTACCCAAAAACAAAAAAGAATAAACATTAAATTAAATAATGCTGTAATGTATGATCAAAGTAAAATGCTGCTTCGACCAAAAAAAAATGCTGCACAAATTTCAAAATGGGAAAATTGATAAATTTATAATTGTATGTATGTATGTATGTATGTATGCAAAGTATGTACCTTTGTAGCAATGGGAGACGGGGATGATATTGGTGGAGGCTCCTTAGCTTTTCCCTTGGAAACTGATTTTCTTTTCCTGGAATTCAAATCCATGGAGTTGGAAGCTACCAACCCTGTCTCCCCATTTGGGTTTTGTTCAGAAAGTGTTGATTCCTCTCGAGAAATGGGCAACTCATTTCGATCCTGCAGCAAAGAATTCATCTTTTCTTGCAGACCTGTCTGAGATCCAAGTGCCTTAAGAGCAGGGCTGCTCGAAACCCGAGGAAGCTTACCATTTCCCATAATGGCATTAGATCTATAAGGCAGCTCAGTATTGTTGTTGCTGCTGTTGTTGTTGTTCATTCCAAGTTGGGTTGTTCTGCCATTGAAGCTCCTGCTCCCAAAGCATGAAAATTTAGCAGCTCTTTCTGCAAATCCAGGGTCAGCTGAGAACTCAGCCACACTAGAATTCAAAGGCATGGGCTTTCCCATATTGGGCAGCTTTTCTTTCTTCAAATGATGATCCATGATGGGCAAGCTCAGCTTGGGAGGCGAGTTCAAAGGAGTGCTATAACATGAAGTGTTGGTGCTTGCATTTCCATTTCCATTTCTACCCATGTAAGTATTCGCCTGAATTCCCAACAAGGACTGAGAGTGCGGCGAGATCTCACCGGAGCTCCCGATGTTTCCAAGCTTTCCTATCAACTCTCTGATCACAAAGCTCTCATTGGAGATGTTGGAATTTGATGCCGCCGGAGAAGACACCATTGAACTCAGGGCTGACTCGAAGTGGATGTTCTGGTCGGCTGACTTGTCCCAGTTGGGATTGTAGAAGCAATCCGGTGACTGCTCTGATGAGCAATTCCGGTCTGCCATGGCGGTGGGTTGGATGTCCATGGCGGTCGAGAACGAAGAACGCCATGCCGGCATTGAAGATGTTTGGTCAAAGTGAAGTGGTGGTGGGATTCCAGCATTTAGAAAAAACTCATTCTCCATTATATGATCAGCAATTTGTCAATCCGTATGAAAAGGCTGAAACTTTAAATGTTGCAGCTAAAAAGATTGTTTCTTTTTCTTCTTTCTTGTTGGGTTATGTGGAGAAACAGAGAAAGAAAGAGAAGAAAGGCTTCCAAAGCCAACAGGTTGGTTTGAGAAAGAGAAGCAAGAGGAAGTGAAATTTGGGGTGGTGGAAGATACAAATGTGGGGTTTGATATATATGATTGCAGATGAGAGAAGAAGAGTAATGAGTATGATGGTTTGGTGCATAAAAGCTTAAGCAAAAGCAGAGACAGAAAGAGAAAGAGAAGCAGAAAGGAGAAATAGAGGGAAGGAGGAGAGGGGGAAGGGGGTGGGTCGGGGGGAGATTGAGTTAAATAGGGAAAAGAGGAGAGAAAATTTTCACCAAAAAAAAAGAAAAGAGAAGAGAGAAAAAGGTTAGTTTGACTTTTTGCATTTTGGGGTTTTTTTTTTTTTTTTGTGTGTGTGTGTGTGTGGCTAAAGGGCAGGGGTAAATTGGTAGTTTTACTTTGGCCACCTCCGGAAAAGGCGGGAAGAGGTGGTTGCCGGGCCTTGGACGTCAAAACACCTAAAATGTCTAATTGTCCAATTTCCCTCTCGAAGTAAACAATCCACATCCACTGCCCCTAGAACAAGGCATGGAAACCACTACCAAAGTTTTTCTCTACTTCTTTTACTGTCTTTTGTTTGCACGTATTCTTTTCATAAAGGATATTTGAACTTGATTGCAAGCGAGCTGACTTATTGACCAAATCAACTGACCTAACCCACATTTGTTTCTTTCACGTTTTTATTTGGCTACAAAATGAAGACAAATTTTTTTGGTAGTTGAAAGAATACACACGAGCATGTAGTCCATGTACACAAACCATAAGAACCATTTTGGGTTTGGAGGACAATTTGGGGTACAACTAATCATGGCTTGGATTGTGAAGGCTTTTTAGCTTTCCAATTCTAACTTTGTTTAAAGCTCTCGGACCTTTTCATGATTTCCACCCCAACCAAATTGACCTGGTGATGGTGTTAGAACTGTGGGTCAAACATAATAGTTGTACGACATTCAGATATCATAAGTCGGGTATCTTCTTAAATTGCACTTACGCCTAATAAGATAAACTTCGTATTTGCTTTGTTGAAAGCTCTCAAATCTTTTTGATTTCCTCCTCAAATAAATTGACTTGGTGGCGTTAGAATTGTGTCGAATACAATAATTATCTGACACGTTTTTTAAATTGAATATCTTCACTAATTACACCGACAACTACTAAGTTAAACTCCACATTTGAATTCTCTCACAGTACTTCTAGTAGACTTTTATGTCTCCTTATGCTTAATCAAATGGAGCATAAATGAATTCACCACCCTTCATGGAATTGTCAAGAATCTATAGAGAAAATCCCCAATAACCAGGCACGTATGCTCATTAGGCCATTTGGGTAATTTTATTTATTGTTCTTTGTCTTTTTAGTTGGAGAGGGGGGGTGTCTGATTGGGGGGCCATTTGGATACCTAAAAATAGGAAAATTCATCATCTATGACATAAGTGTTATACCTGACATTTTGACGCAGTTTAAAATAACCTAACCTAAGCTTTGGCCGGGGAAGGGGTTAATTTCAATGTAGATATTCCCCAACTCCCTCTTGTTTATGTAATTTTTAAGAAACCCTAATTTTATATTCAGCAATCATTTGAGTCAACACAAGGGATTGTTTGGGTTAAAAGTCAAAGTGAATAAAATAGATTCTGTTTTATTTTTATTGAACAGTAAAGTTAATTTCGTCTACGTTCATGCTAAACCAAATTTTAATTATTCATCTTGTGGAAAACATAAAAAGAAAATATATAAATGTGTATCTTCATCAAGGAATTGTTTAGGGCTTGGTCAATGATTGAATTAAATGGGGCAACTGGGCGGTTTACCCGGGTTTGGTCTGGTTCACATAACAGGCCATCCCTCTCTCTCTCTCTCTCTCTCTCTCTCTCTCTCTCTCTCTCTCTCACACAGCTGCCTGACTATATGTTATGTATACTTTTTGAATTGCTTAGCAGCAACCCACTTTCTAAGAAATACAAGAGAAGCAGAAGCACTTGTTCCTATAAGTTATTTTTTGTATAGCTGTTTCCCAGCCATGAGGCATTGAAGCCTTATGCATTGAATTGAAACTTTTCCTACGGTTTTATTGATTATTATTGTTACCCTACACACATTTGGCCACCCAATTTGGTAACTTCCTCATGAAAATGCAGTCGAGTCCCATCTACTCCATTGCACACTCTCCTTTATAATGGGTTTGTCTTATGTTTAGATAGTGAGATGTTACCCTAGTAGAAATAAATGTTTTGCCTCCCTACGTCGAATTAAGCTAACTGTATTATAAGTTCATATTCCAAGCTCAAATTAGGAGTTTTGGATTACATTATTCCAACTCGTCTAATTGCAGTTTTGTCACTCATAAAATATTGAAATTTACGAGTTGTTCTGCAATATTGACCTACTCTTTTGTTCACACACACATATATGAGAATAACGCGTAAAACTCACAGGAGGAAGTCGTGTGTTTATACGTCAAAGTAATTCATCAAATGTGTTGTGATTCCTTAATTGCAACATGAATGAGAGATTCCCCGCTAAACAAATCATGGTAAGTAAAGTCACTATCTTGGAAAAGTTTTCAAAAAGCAATATGAAACAAATACTAAATGTGTTTTAGGCCAAGTACTATGTCTTAATAGTTGTGACCAACCCAATCCATTTTTTGGATAAATTCATGTATCTTTCAAGTTTTTTTTCTTCTTTATAATCCGCGCATGTGTATCTTTCAAGTTGGAAACCACGATATCCATTGCTGGCTATCTATCATTTATGTATACAGCAAAAACCCTGTCTGGTCTTCATATTTATGGTCCTAAAGTTTTCCTTCCATTCAACCAGACTCCATCTCTGACTACTTTCTGGTCACTTCTCAAAAACTTATTTAGGGCACGAAAAATATGCATCACATGAGATTTTGCCAACCCTCATGGGCCATGCATGCATATCTCCTCATTTATGAATGTCCTGCCCATCGATCTACATGTAGCCGTTATCATGGAACATATTTATGATGTATCTAACTACATGTATTTATATACATCTATGGATTAATATGTCAACCGACATCTGAGAACATCAAGTTAGTTTTGAATTAACCTCTGACACTAAAGCTAATATAGAAAACAAATTTAGGGATTTAAATAATATCCATACATATATACTTATATATATATATATATATATATAAATACACAGAGAACTTCAGTTGATGAATCACTCAAATAAATCCTTATAGGGCCCACTTCGTATTGTATTTCACTAATTCAAACCGTCTATTTTGTAGATATTTATTCAAAGATCATATCTACAAAAAAAATCAATTGAATCCGATATCATTTGACCACTCAATTGAATTATTGACATTTTAGTATTCTTGAAGCACCGTGTTCGTTGATCTTGTATGACACAATTGGATCTCGAAACTGTTTCTGATTTATCTAATTTTTTGTAAAGATAATTTATGAATGAAGATCTAAAAAATAAACTATTTGGATGTTGAAAAAAAATTCATAGAGTACCCACAAGGACGTTACTCAAATAAAAATATTTAATGAATTTCTCAAATGGACTGATATATATTTACATGTTATATATATATATATATATATATATATATGGGGAAAAATCTTGGCACCAATTGCACTGGTTTGTCACGTGGCCTGGTTTTACACTTGCAACATTGATAAAAAATAAATCGTGAAAATAATAGTAGTAGATATTTATCAATTTCGTGGCTTGGTTAACTGGGCAACTCCACCGCCCTAGTTCTCCACAAACAAGATTGTTCTTCAGCATTAAATGTTGGGAAGATTTTGGGTCAAATGTGTACCTAGAAATAATTTTAACATATGTGGAAACAATCACGTACGTAAGTTATAAAATAATATTATATCAATTTGCGTGTCGGTTTTAAGCCTTCACCTGTTTTTTCTTCTTTTCTTTTTTTGTTGTTGGAAGCCTTCACCTGTTTTGATTTCCCCTTCTGCATGGCTTGTAATTCAAGATGTCATATATTTCTCTTTTTCTGAAAAAAGATATCATATGATTTGCATGAGAGTAAACATAGATATTTCTCGGCTTTTGTGTTGTGGTTGTGTTTGTTATTTTAGTTTTATTATTAAAAAATTAAGAACCCGTTTGGTATCGTACTCAAAAAATTAAACTAAAAAAATCATGATTTGTTTTTAAAAATATGAGTTTTTAAATACCGATTTTAGGATCTAAAACTTGTTTAATATTGAACTCCAAACTATTTTAAAGATCTAAATGAAATTGAAATTAAAATCAGAAAACTAATTCCCAAATTGAAATTAGAGAGAGAGAGAGAGAAAAAAAAACTGTAAAACCTCACTTTTTTTGTTTTCAATAATGTAGGTGTTTTTGAGTTTTGTTTAGGTTTGTGCTTTTTAAAATGGGCCTATCAAATGGGTTTTTTGAACTTTGAATTTAAAATCTGTTTTTGAGTTTATAAAATTGAATCAAAGTAACATACCAAACAGCCCAAAACATTTTTAGCTGAAATTGGAGAGGTATGAAGTAGTGAGTACTTATAAATTTATATGAAATTTATATGATATAGGTTCTTAGATTCCAAATCACTCTGATTCATTCAACCCTTTTTTTCAAAAAAATATTACCATTTTAGCGTTTTCTTCTTTCTGAAAAAGACATTTCTTTGGTGGTAACCATTTCTTTTTTATACCAAACAAATTAAGTAGTGTTATATGACTGTTTTTAGAAGTTCATATCAATCAGTTTCGCTAATCATGGTTGTTGGAAGGGTTGTCAATAAAATATATTTTTCCTTTGCAAAATTTTAACTAATAATACTAATTAAGTAAACAAAAACCCGCTTAGACGTTCTTAATAATTTATTTTGATAG